GGGGGCGGGTGGGAGCGGTTAGAGGGAGAAATGAAAAGGTAGAGGAAGGGCCGAGGGCAGGGTGGATTAGGCGTGCGGGATGGAGTGCGGGAGGGATGGGGTGAAGGAGTGCGGAGGGGGGAAAGTAGGGAGGGGGGGGGGGCTGAGAACCCGGGTGGGAGGGAGGGAGGGAGCGGGGTGGACTCGCACAAACACGCACGCACCTGTGTACACACCGCGCCGACCCGGCCGCTCCGTAATGAATAACAGCGCTGTGCACAGCTCGCCTTCCCCCCACCCCACCTTAGAGATTGCGGGGGGATCAATGGGGGGGGGGGGGGGGGGCGCACCGCGTGGGTCCGGGACGCAGGAGAGCGAGGCAGGGAGGGGGGGGGGGGTCCAGGTGTCCTGCTCCCGGTGTCATCAACACCCGCACCCATCGTCAACGGCGTCAACGCTGCACGCAGCAACCGCCATCAACGTAAACACCAGCACCAGAATAACACCACAACACCATGAGCATCATTACCACCACAGCCGCCGCCACCGCCTCCCAACGATTGTGATCAGCGTCCAAGAGTGGACCACGTGGCCAGTCGTTCTTAGCCTGGGGTGCGAGATGCCCTTCCTGAGAACCGAAGGGGTGCAAGGGCTGTAGCAAAGGTTCTAAGAACCCACTGCTCTAGGCCCTAGGGTTTTGCTCGAGCGGAGGCTATTCCGCCCGCAGTGGCACGAGTAGGGAGTTGCAGGGCCGCGCCTGTACCTTCACACCGCCCTCGGAACATCGCGCCCCCCCCCCCCAATCCCCCGCACATGCACGCGCGCTGGGTAAACGCGCGGCGCCCGGGAGCGCACGAGAGAGTGACGAGCGGGGGGGGGGTTAAGAGGAGAGAATGGAGATGAAGGTTGAGAAAGGGGAGAGATGGAGAGCTGCATGAGGAGAGTAGGATTAGACGGGGGGGGGGGGGGTATGAAAATAGGGGATGGGCGTTGGATCGGGATGAGAAGGGGGGGGGGTGCAGAATGATATGTAGAAAGGTGAGAGGGAGTCAAACCTGGGCGATCAGGGTTCGCGGCTCCATGCACACGCGGGCGCGCGTTCGGCCACCGTAAACATCGCGGTGACACAAACACATGGGGGAGGGGAGGCGGCGGCGGCTTGACACGAGGGTGGCTTTCATGGAGGGGGGGGGGGGTAGGTTGGTCAGGGTGCGTTGGACGGAAGCAGAGAGGAGAGCAGTGACGGTGACTGCAGGTGCCCCACGTGATCCACGTGACTCCAGGCACGACCCACGTGATCCACGTGACTCCAGGCACGACCCACGTGATCCACGTGACTCCAGGCACGACCCACGTGATCCACGTGACTCCAGGCACGACCCACGTGATCCACGTGACTCCAGGCACGACCCACGTGATCCACGTGACTCCAGGCACGACCCACGTGATCCACGTGACTCCAGGCACGACCACTCCAGTACACCGCGTGCCTTTCCGTCATAATCCCCTATTGTAACCACCTCCCACCCTCCCCCACCCCCGATATTCCTCTAATCCTACGGCACACCCTGGGCACTGCGGACACCTGGCCGTGGCACGGCGTGACCCCGCCATGGCACAGCACCCCAGACACGGGCATCGCGGCCGCAAGCCGTCACGGTGAAAACTCCTCCCACGCGCTCCGCGGGACCCACACGAGGCTCCCGAGTGAGCCGGGAGTGAAGCCGCCCCCCCCTCCCCTCCCGATCGACTCCCACCCAGACGGACGAGTTTGCGAGTGCGTGGAGAGTTCACCGTGGTGAGCGAGGTGAGCAGGAGACAATGTGGCAGCACCAACATCATCACCAACATCATCACCAACATCATCACCATCATCATCACCATCATCACCCCCATCATCACCAACATCACCACCAACATCACAAGCCACGATCTATCCACTGCTGAACAAAGCCCCCACCCCAAAGCTGGCACCATCGCTCTCGGTTTCAGGATGCAACAATCCGTGTAGCTCCTGCACACGAGGTGCTTTCAGCGCTCCATCTCCACGGTGCACCTCCTGTCCCCTCCACTGGCTGCCACTCTTTCGTGAAGTCTCGAGCGCCAGTCATCACCGTCACTGTCGTCATCATCGTCGCATTTATTTCATCGCGCGCAATTCACACAACACGGCTCTCTACGCGCGCAAGCCCGGGAGAAATTTGGGGGGGGCGACTCTACGAGTCGTCGATTCAAGTCGAATCGGGGTGGAACGCATCACGGGGGAACGCGAAGGCAATCGGAGCAAGCGGGAAATGAGGCGAGGAAAGAACCGAGTCGGGAAGGGGATCGCGGCCGAGCTGTGGCGATCCAACGAACGTCTCGGGGGGGGGGGGGAGGGGAGGGTGCGGTCACACAAAGGGTGCCCACACGGCACCCTGCACGCCACGCACGCTGCACACACGCACGCACGCACACACACACACACACGCTGCACACACACACGCACGCTGCACACACGGACGCACGCACACACACACGCACAAACACAAAGATCCTCCCTATAGACTTAACCAGACTATTGAGGCACGTGCTGTTAGCGAGCACCTATGAAGGCCTACACAGCACACGAGGGGTTGGGTGGCCAGCTTCGCGCCCGGCCGCCTTTGTCTCCCCAGTGGCGATGTTGACACACCGCACCAGGTACTCATTTGAGGCTGAGTGGACCTAGGGGAGGCCCGGGACCGGTTCAGATAATCGTCACTTAGTGTTGGCAGTGAGCGGGTATCGGACTCGGGTCGCCGGGTTCGTAGCGCAGCGTAGCGCTAACCGTTCCACAACCGCTCCCCACGCTTGCACGCACATGCCACCCACATGCCACGCACACACAGGCGGACACAGGCGGACACACACTTCCCCCGCTGGCGCCACCGTTCTAACGCACGACGCGGCACCCGGGCTCGTGCGTGGGGTGGGGGGGGGGCATGACAGTGCACCCGCTCACGGCAATTCGTTTGCTCACCCACTCGTTTGCACACCCAATTTTCCGATTACCCACTTGCTCACCCACCCGGATGAGGAGGTGAGTGCGTAAGGGCGAGAGTGAAGGTGAGCTGGTGACTGAGTAAGGGGTAGGGTGAGTAGATGAGGGTGAGTGGGTGAAAGCGAGTGGCTGAGTAGGTGAGAGTGAGTGGGAAAGTGTGAGTTTGTGAGTGAGTAAGGCTTATGGTGAGTGGACGAGCGCGAGTGGGTATGTGGTTGACAGTGAGCGAGTTGGTGACTCGGCGAGGGTGAGTTGGTAAGGATCAGGGGTGAGAGCGAGTCGGTGAGTGGGTAAGGGTGGGTGAGTGAATTGGTGAGTGGATGGATGAGTGAGCTGGTGAGTGGGTGAGTTGGTGAGTGGATGGGTGAGCGAGTTGGTGAGTGGGGCGGGTCTCAGGGCCCAACCTCCACCACGGGTCGCAGGTCCTCCAGGATCCCGCTCATCTCCTTCTCCAGCGTGAAGATGAGACCTGCGCACACACACACACACCACCGTCATCTCTCACAATCACCTATCCATTGCTGGATGAAGCCCCGAGTCGTCTCCATCCCTCACAGCAACAGCCGTCATTCGTCACTAAGTGGCGGTTACGTCACCGCTTGTGCCAGGCTAGGTGGACTCGGAGGCCACGTGAAGTGTCGAAGGCTCGCAGCTGGCAGGAGGTCACGGGACAGCCCCAGGTGCCGTGGGTTGAATTTAACATGTGGGGCTTTCACAACCAATATTTAGATTCATAATAGATTTTGGAGTCCTGTCGTATAAATGAGATGTATGTTGTACACCCTCCTCCACCTGGGTTAACACTTAAGACGTAACCACACACACAGAGTGTGCAAAACCCTGCAACACCAAGGCTGGCACGGCACATGCGGGGGTGGGTGGCCTGCATCACAACCGGAGTCATTTGAGGCTGAGCCGACCTAAGGGAGGACCAGGACCAATTCGAATAATCGTCATTGTCGTTTTGCCGTGAGCGGGAATCGAACTCGGATCGCCGAGTTCGTAGCACTGCACACTAACTGCTACAGTACCACTTCCAACACCCCGTGTACACCCGTACACACAAACAAATCCAAAGATCCCCCAGTATAGCCTTAACAGACCGTTGGGGCAAGTGCTGTTAGCTTGCACCTATGAAGGGCAGCACATGAGGGAGTGGGTGGCCAGTACCATGCCCGGCCGCCTTTGTCTCCCCAGTGACGATGTTTAGACACCGCACCATGTACTTATTTGAGGCTGAATCGACCTAGGGGAGGCCCAGGACCAGTTGGGATAATCGTTACTGGTGTTGGCCGTGAGCGGGAATTGAACCCGGGTTCGTCAGGTTCATAGCGGGGCGCGCTAACCGTTACACTACCCGTAACACAAACACACTCATGCGCGCGCGTACACACACCCACTCACGGCACCTCCGCCCTTGTTTGATGGGGCCGGCATCAAACAGCGGCACCAGCAAAAACATCCGGGCTCCGCCACCATTACCACCCACACTTTCACCTGCACCTTGACAACAACCGCTCACAGCCACGATTTGGTTCAGCACCGGCCTGACCCCCCCCCCCCCCCCCCGATTCAAAAGGGGCCGGGGGTTGGTGGACAGACGGTGGGGAGGGGGGGGGGTAGTGATGGTGGCGAGTGGGGGGGGGGGTGGCAGCCGTGAGCTCGGAGTGAGAGGGAGGAAGACCACCACAGTGCTCCCGCATGGTTCCGTTGCGAGTAACAATCCTCGTCTTCCTCCGCCCGGCGTCACGCTCAGGCGGCCTCTGTCAATGGCCGGAGCGGAGTGAGGTGTGGTGTGGTGTGGTGGGGGGGGGGGGGGGCCCAGCGGGCTTGCTCGCCCCAAACTGGTTTGGTGGTGGAGCTGCGCCAGGGCCACCCCGGAGCCGGCGCCCTCACCTGTGTTGGCGGCGCTGCTCGCCACGAAGCTCACCACCAGCGGCAGGCGGTTGAAGTGAACCACCTGGGCCACACACGCGGTGACGGCGGTAGGGTGGTGGGGGGGGGGGGGGGGGTGTCAGTTAGCAAGGAAAATAGGGACGTACGTACGCGCGCACGCACGTGTGTGAATGGACAAACGCGCGCTCCGTACGCGCGCGTTGACGCACGCGTGCGTGTGCGCAAAGACAATGATCCCCGCTGTGCAGCCCACACAGGATGTTGGGGCGAGCGCCGTTAGCGAGTGGCTATGAAGGCCCGGCACGGCACACGTGGGGCACGGGCGGCCAACACAGCACCTGCCCGGCCGCCTGTCTTTGTCTCCGCACCAGGTACTCGTTGAAGGCTGAGTCGACCTAGAGGAGGGCCCAGGACCAGTTAAAAAGAATCGCTATTTGGTATTGGAGACGAGCAGGAATTGAACTCTGGTTGCCAGGGTTCGTGCATGGTGTAGCGGTAAGCAGCGCTTGCACACACACGAACACGTGCGAACACACAAACACACGTGTGTGTAAACACGCGCGTGCGAACACATAAACACACGTGCACGGGGCAGGGTGTAAGTCTGTGAGGAGGGCAGACACAAAGACAAAGATCCCCCATGTAGCCTACATAGGCTGTTGGGCAAGTGCTGTTAGCAAGCACCTATTAAGGCCGGCACGGTACACCAGGGGGTGAGTGGCCAGCACCATGCCTGGCCACGTTTACACACCGCACCAGGTACTAATTTAATGCCGAGTCGACCTACAGGAGGCCCAGACTGACGTTGCCTGTGAGCGGGAATCGAACCTGGGTATCAGGGTTCGCAGCGCAGTGGTTAGCGCACTGCGCTACAAACCCGCTCCCCACATGCAGATACACGCACGCACTCTCTCACACATGCACGCTCACACACACACACGCACCTCGGTCACTGCCGGAAAGATCGCCGGAGGAAGGTCTCTCGCGGAGCGTGAAGGTAAACACGGCCTTCAAAGCGGCGCGCTCATTAAATCATTCGCGCGTGCGGCCCCCTGGGCCCATCGCCAAACACGCGGCCCACAGCCGGGCCGTGCGGCCCCCTGTCCCGCACACAAAAGACCTGTGTCTTGATGGCCTCTTACTTTCCCCGCACAGGTGCACTCACGTTAATTGGTAAGCTGCCCACACAGGCACGCCCGCCGCGATTACCAAGTTACCCACACAGGTGCACCCACTGTGATTAGCAAGCTGCCCACAGGCACAAACCACCGTGATTGGTAAGCTGTCCAAACAGGCACGCTCACCGATTGGAAAGCTGCCCACACAGGCACGCCCGCTGTCATTGGTAAGCTGCCCACACAGGTTCACCCACTATGATTAGTAAGCTGCCGGGAAAAAAAGTGTAAACAAAAAGTCTCTCCATAGGACAACCACTGTTGACTTCCCCACAAAGTGGTGATCATCGTATCAACCCGGAAGGGATGATGGGCTGAGTCAACTTCCCCAACCATAATTCGAACTCGCGACCATGCGAGCCGCTTGCTCTTCTGCTGAGCCACCTGTGCAGTGGTTAGTGCTGCATTCAGCACAAGACACTTGGTTGTAGAGCTGTCCAAAATAACTAAACACACACTTCAACCCCTTCACGCAAATGTCTCTACACATACAATATAAAATACATTTTGAAAAAGGGTACCACACATCCCATTGGCTACACAAGGCCTTCTGGGTGCTCATCATTTCAGCAGCATTGATTCGACACAAGCAAAACTCTGGACCGGCTTCAACCTTCGGTGTCTCATCAGGAATCAGGCTTGCTTGCTTGAACCGATGCTGGAAACCTGGCAGATGTTTATAGGCAAGGACCCTCTCTCTTTTTGATTTAAAGCTTTCGTGACTGCAGGGATTCATATGCTTTGTTCTTTCGGTAAAGTCACATAGAAGGGAAACAATAAAATAATAAAAAATATAAAACATAAAAATTATCACGACGTTTCGACTGCAACACAAGCAATCATCATCAGGTGTGAAAACCACTTTTTTTCAAAATTTTCCTGCTGTGGTTTTCACACCTGATGATGATTTGCTTGTGTTGCAGTCGAAACGTCGTGAGAATTTTAACGTTTTATATTTTTATTATTTTGTTTCCCTTCTACGTGACTTTACCGAAAGAACCAAGAATATGACCCTCTCTCTGTTAAGATGTGGGTCCCAGTTCGATGCACAACTCGACAGTGTACAACAAAAACTAATCACTAGCGTCGCTGCAGAGAGAACACCGTCGCTGCAGAGAGAACACCGTCGCTGACTGGGAAGCGTAGGGAGCCCTAGGCGGTCGATTTGTGGCGAATTTGGCGTTTGCTGGTGTTGTGTGAAGACTTCGACGTAAGTGCTGCCCCACAGGGAGATGGAGCGGGCAAAGTGTGGGGGCGAGAGGGGGAACTCGCGGATGACTCTACTGCCTCCTGGCAGCCACGTCTCCGCATTGCAGGCTCACGGCCCCACAGACTTCAGTGTGCATATGTGTGTGGGTTATAGCACGCTGCGCTACGAACCCGGCGGCTCGAGTTCGACTCCCGCTCACGGCCAACTCTGGTGACAATTATTGGAACTGGTCCTGGGCCTCCCCAAGGTCGACACATAGTCACATAGTCACTTTAAGATGTTTTCTTGTTAATGTTTTTGTTTGTTGCGGTTGCACCCGATTCAAGAGCCGAATGGCTCACAGGGCTATGCCAAATAAATGAAACTGAAAACTGAAACTGACTCAGCCTCAAATGAGTACCTGGTGCGATGTGTAGTAAACATCGCAACTGGGGTGACAAAGGCGGTCGGGCGTGGTGCTGGCCACCCACCCCCTCGTGTGTCGTGCTGGCCTTAATGGATGCTCAGTAACAGCACTTGCCCCAACAGTCTGTTCAATCTATACAGGGGATATGAGTCCTTTATGTATCTACAGGGAGCAGTGGTGCAGTATTTTGAGGACAAAGCCAAAGACCCCGCTTCTCGCCTTAACAGACTTTTGCAGCCAGTGCTGTTAGCGAGCACCTGTGAAGGCCGGCACGGAACACAATGGGGTGGGTGGCCAGCACCACGCCCCGGGCACCTTTGTCTACCCAGTGCCGATGTTTGACACGCCATATCAGGTTCTCATTTGAGGCTGAGTCGACTTAGGGGGTGAAAATCATCACTGGTGTTGGCCGTGAGCGGGAATCGAACGTAGGTCGCCGAGTTTGTAGCGGAAGCGTGCTAACTGCTACACTACCGCTCCCCATGGTTACACATCCAATACCCGCCATTTGCCACTAATTGACGGTGCTGTCACCACGGCGCATGTGCCAGGCGCACTTTGAGGCGACGTGAAGTGTCGAGGGCTCGCTGACAGGCGGTGACAGGACAGACCCAGTGTGGCACGTTCTGTTTACGTGACAAACCTCACTAATCGGCTGCGTCGGGTGGTGGCGGGTTTAACGACACATTTATACATTTACTCGATCTAACCCCAAAAAAAAAAAACCTCTTATTACGGATGACCGAGATCGCTGGCAGATGCACCTGGCGCGCCCCCACTACTGTGCCAACATTACACCGCGCAGATGTGTGCGTCCTGCGTCGTGAAGGCACCTGGAAGGAGCTGTAGTAGCACACGATGCTCTTGTTCTTGGACAGGCCGAGCTTGCTGCCTTGATCCGTGGCGAGGGCGAACGTGCCCAGGAAGCTGGGACGCAGAGCCGTTTCTGGCGCGTTCTCCGTGGCCACTGAAGGGGCAACAAGGTGGGGCGGGGGGGGGGGGGAGCAAGGGGAGGGGGTAGAGAAGGCAGCCAATATTAAGGATTCATGATAGATTTTTGGGTGAGGACACGTAATGATTTGGCCAGTAGAGAAGGCAGCCAATATTACGGATTCATGATAGATTTTTGGGTGAGGACACGTAATGATTTGGCCAGTAGAGAAGGCAGCCAATATTAAGGATTCATGATAGTTTTTTGGGTGAGGACACGTAATGATTTGGCCAGTAGAGAAGGCAGCCAATATTAAGGATTCATGATAGATTTTTGGGTGAGGACACTTAATGATTTGGCCAGTAGAGAAGGCAGCCAATATTAAGGATTCATGACAGATTGTTGGGTGAGGACACGTAATGATTTGGCCAGTAGAGAAGGCAGCCAATATTAAGGATTCATGATAGATTTTTGGGTGAGGACACGTAATGATTTGGCCAGTAGAGAAGGCAGCCAATATTAAGGATTCATGATAGATTTTTGGGTGAGGACACGTAATGATTTGGCCAGTAGAGAAGGCAGCCAATATTAAGGATTCATGATAGATTTTTGGGTGAGGACACGTAATGATTTGACCAGATTTCTGCAGTCAGACCCTTCACCACCCAACACGACATAGCCGAACAAATTAAGCTGTCACAAGAGTAAGAGTTGAATGCGCAAATTATTTGTTGATTCAGCTCACTCACCGGTGAGCTGAATAACAATTCTCACACCCCAATCTTGCGACGCGACACGATGTTTTAACTTCAAATTGTGCCTCGCATCTTCAGGATAATCTCGTGAGAATGTAATCCAGAAACCCACTGTAATATGTATGCGTTCCAAAGTTTCAGATTAATTTTTTTTTTCTAAATCAGCCCGAGGAGCGTGGTGAAGCACGATGAAGCATGGTCAAGAGTGGTGAAGCGCAGTGAAGCGTGATAAAGCGCGATGATGAGCGGTGAAGCGTGGTGAGGCACAGTGAAGCGTGGTGATGCACTGTGAAGCGTGGTGATGCACTGTGAAGCATGAAACGTGGAGAAGCGTGGTGAAGCGTGAAGCACTGTGAAGCCTGGTGAAGCGAAGTGAAGCGTGGTGAAGCGTGGTCAAGCGTGTTCATGCACGGTGAAGCATGAAACGTGGAGAAGCGCGGTGAAGCGTGAAGCACTGTGAAGCGTGAAGCACTGTGAAGCGAAGTGAAGCGCGCGGTGAAGAGCAGTGAAGCATGGTGAAGTGTGAAGCGTGGCGAGGCACTGTGAAGCGTGGTCATGCACGGTGAAACATGAAACGTGGAGAAGCGCGGTGAAGCGTGAAGCACTGTGAAGCATGGTGAAGCGAAGTGAAGCGCGGTGAAGAGCAGTGAAGCGTGTTGAAGCACAATGAAGCGCGGTGAAGCGTGAAGCACAGTGAAGCACAGTGAAGCACGGTGAAGTGTGAAGCGCGGTGAAGAGCAGTGAAGCGTGAAGCACAGTGAAGCACAGTGAGGCGTGGTGAAGTGTGAAGCGCGGTGAAGCGAAGTGAAGCGCGGTGAAGAGCAGTGAAGCGTGAAGCACAATGAAGCGCAGTGAAGCGTGAAGCACAGTGAAGCGCGGTGAAGCGAAGTGAAGCACGGTGAAGCGTGAAGCACGGTGAAGCACGGTGAAGCGTGGTGAAGCACGGTCAAGCGTGGTGAAGCACGGTGAAGCGTGGTGAAGCGTGGTGAAGCATGGTGAAGCGTGGTGAAGCGTGGTGAAGCCAAGTGAAGCGTGGCACCTTTGATGATGGGCACGCCGTCGCGATCCGAGATGACGATGGCGTGGAGCCCGTCCACCCTGAGCAGAGCAGAGCAGACACGGGACAGAGATCACATGACACACGGCGACCAACCACAGCTCACCGTAACCCATGCAAGCGCGTGATCACATGAATCGGAAGCCCAATCGCAGTTCAAATTATGATTTTGGTTGAAAATTCATGAATTTAGACCAATGTGAAGAAAGATTACTTTGTAGAAGGGAAAAAGGAAGATTTGACAAAGTTACTTACTTCACCAGTTGCTTATACAGGTACCTCTTGAGATCCTGTAACACAAAGATGTAGGGCAAATAAACCACGGCCTCCCGTTTACCAGGACACCTCAAAATCACACACACACATACCTACATATACCACAAGTGCACACACACACACAACACACGTGCCAACATACATGTAACACAACAAACATGCATCACACTCACACACCGCACAAAGACGTCTGCAATTACCATGACACAACACGTACACACCACACACACTCACAGATGTCTCCCCGGTTACCATGAACATACATTTTAGGTGGTACGCCATCCACCCTCCCCCCCGCCCTTACCGTCCCCGTTTTCTGTTTCCAAGAAGTGAGGGCGCTTTGCATAGGAGGGGAGAGCGAGGTGAGCGGCAGAAGAGAGTGCACGGAGAGTGAGGGAATGCGTAGAGTGGAGAGACTGGTGGAGGGGCAGAATCAGAATCTGTATTTATATTGGAGGAATCCGATGAGCTATAAAGCTCTTTTTCACAGGCAGTCAGGGGAGAGTGAGGCCCTGTAATTGACGCCACCTGGGCGCCTCTGCCATGAGGGGATGAGTGCGCAAACACACGGCAGCACAGCAAGTAGCATCCATCGACCCCTGGGGGTCAGACGTGTGTGGCGGAAGTCGTCGTCTCTCACCTCCGCCATGGCGAGGCCGGACCACCAGAGGCTCGGCTCGGACTCGCAGAGGGTGGAGGGAGGAGGCCCCGGGAGAAACGTCTGCAGTGAGCGCAACGATTATAATAAACCACAGTGAGAAAATATATAAACAGTTCTAGCATATATCTCCGGATTATGAGACGCTCTGGAAAGTACACACACACACGCAACACCCCAAGTTTTGATTATAAACACAAGTGGCGCAGTGCGTTTTATAATCAGGAGACTAGTTTAGCCAATTCCTCATCATTGTGTAATCTCTGCGCGCCCTGGTCAAAGCCGAGGAGCTCACGATAAACTACTGGCGCACGATGGCACGAGATACGGCTCACCAGTCAGCAGTGACGGGGCCATGAACCGACTTGCCGTGCTAGAATGTAGCTCAACATGGGCTCTGTGATGGTACAGTGAATGTGGCGAATCCGTAACAATAACACTGTATGTACTCTGTTCTTTACTTACTCAGGATAACCTTACCGCGTAATGAGATTCCTGCTACATTATAAAGTGTGGGTTAACTCCAACCTTTTCCAAAAACTCCAGCGTGGAAGAGTAGGCCAATGTACCTTCTAGAGGGCTTTCTTGAGCTCTAGTCGAGGGCCCCTTCCGCCAGTAGTGGCGTGAGCGAGCTATTGCAGAGCTGCGCCTTTATACTTTTACCAAGAGACTCGGCGAGGTTCTCCTGGGTGAACAAGCGTCCTTATAGCAAGAGCCTGCTACCAATCGCGCACGTTAGACCAACTCCATTATTTGTAAGAGTTTAGCTTCGTATTGGGAGACTTCTGACTCACGGTTTCCCCTTCCCTCACCTCTCATTTTAACCTCGCTAACCCGCTTCCCCAGATCTACCTCCCTAAACCTCCGTCACCTCCACCTCCTCCATCCCCGGAGTCCCCCGTCTCACAACCGCCTTCAAACCCCCTCTCCTCCCCCCATGGGAGACCGACTCAGCCAGCGCCCCCCCCCCTCCACCCCACGCGCCGGGCCGGGCCCGCCTTTCTCGGTAGGGTCTCTAGGCAAGAGAGGTGGAGACCAGGCCGCAACCCGAAGATCCACGGGGAAGCGAGGGCCCCCCTCCCCACCTTGCCCCGCTCGTCCTATCGCCGCGACGTGAGCGAGTCGAGTGTCCCCGACGATGAGGTTGGCAGGGGAGATGAAGCGGGGAGCGGTACACTCACCCCGGGAGAGGGAGTAGACGAGGCGAGAGGAAGAGCCGAGGCGACCGCGAATGCAACACAAGCGACGGCACGTGACCCGACCGACTCACGTGGTCACAACCCGACCCACGTGACCCCAGCCTTCACAATGGTGTGGTGGGGGGGTGGTAGATTTCGTGATTATTTTAGGCGATTCAACCCACACAAAAAATAACATTTATTGCGGATAATATTGGTCGCGAAAGCCTACGTGATGAAACTAAACTTTTTTTTTAATTTCCCCAGGTAAGGCCCACCAAGGTTTTCGCTTTTTGTTCACAAGAGACCGATTACACTATTATGTAACACGATGTAATGTCCCTGGGTCGTGTTATTTACTAATTGCTTATGCCTCAAAAGTACAGACAATTGCTATTATTCCCCACAAACGTTGCTTTTGTGACCAGGACTTTATGTTAAGGAATGACACAAATTCACACGTTTTCTCATTGAAAATAGGTACATTGCAAAATATCACTGTTCTGGTCACAAAAGCAACGTTTATAACAAAAATAAGCTATTTTCTGTACTTTTGAGGCATAAGCAATTAGGAAATAACACTTATTACCCAGGAACAAATTAATAAATGTGTTATCGTGTTAATGGAGTGGATTATTAACTTTGCTTTTGTGTCCTGGTCAAAAAAGCAAAGTTTGTGGGGAATAGCCACTTTCTGTACTTTTCAGGCATAAGCAATTGGAAAATAACACTACCCAGGAACAAAACAAAAAAAATTGTTACAGTGTTATCACAAATAATAGCCATCGAAAACAAAAAGCGATGCAGAGAAAGAAAAAAAGAGTCCAAACCTTTAGGATGCACTTACCTGCTGGTGGTCCATTCCCACCTATTTTCATTCAGTTGTTGTTGATGCGTGGAGGGTTTAGTTCAGCACCTCCCTGGGTTGCACGGCAAAAGAATGAGCATCTCGCCATTGGCGACATACATTTCTGGATGTGAATGGGGCGTGGGGGGGGAGGCGTTTACTCAGCCCCATTGTCCCTCCTGGGGGGTCGATACAATAAAAGAAACGAGTAACGCCTCACTTTTTGGTTATTTCGGTAAAGTCACGTAGAAAGAAAAAAATTTAATAGTACAATACGTCTCGATTGCAACACAAGCAATCATCATCAGGTACGAATGAATGAGAAAAAAACAAACCTAGTAAACTTATAAATATAATGCAATACAACACAGAGAGTCGGCGAACATAACAGTCAACACCCTACCTGGTTGATTACGTTCTTCCAAAGATTGCTACATTTGAGAGACAAAACACAGACACGGAGGCATAATTCCTGCAGTCACGAAAGCTCAAAATTAAGTTTAAACCACCTCTACAAAAAGGATTTAAGTTAGTTTTATATCTCTGTGTTGTCTCTCTCTGCTTGTGTCTGTCTTTGTGTCTCCGTGGCTGTCTTGTCGCTCTCTCAAATATCACACTTAACTTTTAATTTAGCAATCTTTGGAAGAACGTAATCAACCAGGCTATGCGTTGAGTTGACCGACTGTGTTGCATTGCATTACTTTCCCAAATTTTACTAAGTTTTTTAATTAAGTTTATTTTCTCTGAGTCTCTGTGTTGTCTCTTTAGTAATTCCTACAGTCACGAAAGCTCCAAATCTCTCATTGACATGCTAATTTCTCTACCCCCCCCCCCTCTCTCTATTTAAAGCCTAGACACAGAGGCGTTGTTTCTCTGTGTGCCTATGTGTCTGTGTTGTCCCTCTGCTTAGGTGTCTGTCTATGTCTCCGTGTCTGTGTTTTGTCTCTCTCAAATGTAGCAATCTTTGGAAGAACGTTATCAACCAGGTAGGGTGTTTTGAATGTTATGTTAGCCGAATCTCTGTGTTGTATTGCATTATCTTTCTAAGTTTACTAGGTTTTTTTCCTCATTCATTCGTACCTGATGATGATCGCTTGTGTTGCAATCGAAACGTCGGATTCTATTATTTCATTTATTTTCTTTCTACGTGACTTTACCGAAAGAACCAAAAAGTTATTCCTGCAGTCACGAAAGCTCCAAATCATGAGCAACGCCTTGTAGTGGGAAGTCAAGTGGTTGTCCTCTGGATAGACTTCACCGCGTCACGGAAATGCAGAATTTACAGTTTCAGAGCTCTGAACAGTTGAGCAGCACCTCAATGCTCATCTTGAGCCATAAACGCAATAACTTTTGTTTAACTTAAGGGTTTGGTTTTAGCATTTTGTGCTAGGGGCATGGGGTGAGTGATTGGAGGCTTAGTGGTTAGGTATATTAGGGGTATGTAGTGGTTTAGGGTTAATCGTTGGGTGTTTATTGTGATTCGGGGTTCAGTGTTGGTAGTTTCGAGTTTGGGGACTAGAGCTGGTAGTTAGGATTAAGGTCAAGGGCGGTCTCGGCCGTTTCCCTAGCATCTTGAGATGCGGCTGCATTTAGACGCTTATACGGAAAAAATACAACCACATTTTGCCTTTTGTGAAGTCTCCATCCCTGAAGATTTATGAAGCAATTACATCATATTATCACACGAATCAATCAACTCGTGTATGCACGATGGAATCTCAATCGTCATGTTTTAATTGGTGAATCGATGCATCGACACTTGCCTAATCCAGCACCTGACACTTTTAGGAAATGTATTTCCCTTTATCCGGTCACTCAATTGTTCAGTCGCTTATTGCTACCTTAGCTACTATAATGGATCTCTGTACCCATTAAGTTCCAACACTTTCATTAATGAGTGTTTACCTTCCCAGCTGACCCTAACCACTCTGAAACTATTCTCCGACATTCCGATTTCCTGGTTTTTGACCTGAAGGTGCTTGACGCAGTTTCCAGCGAAACGTCACGTATCCAATTTCAAAATCTGGCAGCGAGAATTGTTCTCCCGCTCACTGGCGTGAAGGAAAGCAATCGAAATTGGCGCATTGTTAAAACGCTTGTCCACCACGCGACATTTTTTATTTGCTTTGAATTGTCGAGTGGTGGAGGGCTCCACACAAAAATCACGGCCAGATCGTAAATTATGAATCACCTGGGGGACTCGCTGGGCATCATCCCTTGACGTTATTGTTCCTGCGCCTTCTCCCAGCGTCGCTGTCAATTCCCACGTTGCCTTCCCTGTTTCACCTTCTTCCCCGATGCTGTCCCTCCACTCGCGTAACGCGTGTCGAGATGCGGACGCATACATTTTAGACGCGAGAGATTTAAATTTAAAACATCGGCATTTCCCAGCCAATGTTACGATTCTTAAATAAAACATTTATTGGTCAGACCACGTAACGATCTGGCCACAATTTGTTTTTGTCATGAAACCCTCCACCGGCCCGGCGAAGCCAAAGAAATCAAACTTGCATGGGTACAGGCGTTTAACACGTCGATTATAAACATTTCAGCTAATCGCTAAATTTGCAAGGACCTTGCCGAAAAAAATAACAAATGCTGCGTCGCTGCACGCTTGTACACGCGACAAATGAATTTGGTTGCCCGAGTTAGGTGGCGGAGGATTACACGACACACATTTGGCCATATCATTAGGCGACCTAACCCACATTATGAATTTTTCATCGTTGCTGCTGCTCCTGTGGGCGTCCCCGGGCACCGCTGTCGTGCGGCGTGTGGCACCATGCACGCGGTTCATCTGTAAAACTTTATTCTTAATTTATTTTGCAGGCAGTGCCGAACCGTACATTTTTCTTTTTTACAAAATCCTCATCGTCGTCCAAAGGTGTTCGCCTCTTTCCCAGCCCCCAACGCACCGCGGTCCCGCACAGACTCTCATTGCAACACTCTCCTCCCCCCCCAACATTAGAGCTTTCACATTATAACTTAAGTCTCTCTACATTCACGTAATATACAGTTTATATGTATATGCCATTATGTTACGAGTGGTGAGCGCGGTGAGAAGGGGGTAGCGGGCGGGTGCGTTGTTTGAGTTGGGGAGGGTGGGGGGCCGCTCCGAGCCAGGGGAAGGCGAGGTTTTCCACGTGGTTGGTGCGAGTGAGTTGGGTCCCCCCCGCACCACCGCCGGAGCCTGTAGTACACAGAGAAGCGCTTGCGGGAGCGCAAGGAGTGAGGAGTCAGGGGTGTTCCGTCGACGGCAAGCGAACGAGAGGAGAGGAGCACCGTCGATGGTGATTCGGATGCAATGGCGGGCCGCCGCCAATGAAATCCAGCCGCAGAACTTAAAAGATCGAAATTAACGATGGGAAAGATGGGTTAACAGCTTGGGGGTGAGGCTCACCAGATAATCAAAGACATGCTCGCCTTAATCAAACAACCAACCAGACATTAGTACTAGCCCTACCCCTGACCCTTGCCATCTAGCCAACCAGGCAATAGTATTAACCTTCTGGCTCACCTTAACTCTACCCCTAACCAATTTCCAGACACAACACGAGCATTACACCCCTTCTCCTAACCAACCAAACACTAGCACCCGGCCTTTCATTCACGCTAACTCTCACCAACTATCCAACCAGACACTCGTACAAGACCTCACAATGAGCCTCACTTTAACCCTAATCAATTTAGCCGACCAGACACCAACCCTAGTCCTGACCCTAGCCTCACCCCTGTTGCTTCATCGGGTGCCTTGACGTCGTGTTCACTTCTCTGCGTTGGCGATCTCAGCTTCTCTCATCAGTTCCATCCTCTACCTGGGTCGTGTGCCACCCCCCGGGCTAAAGCCACAACCGTAAAATTACGCTGCTTCAGAAGGTACAATTAAAACGCATTAGACGTGAACAGACGCAACACGTGAGTCTTGATTAAAGTGACAAAGCCGCCACTCGGATACGACTGGGGACTAAACACACACGCATTCGCAATAAACTTGTGTACACCTATCCACAGTTATGGTATTGTACAATAATATTTCAACACAAATATTTTCCAGTATTTTTAAAGTCCTACAAATCACGCAAAATAGTTTTCCTTCCAGAGGTTACCCTCCATCAGACTATACAGAACGGTAACTGGTTTCGAGCTTAAATATAAATAGGCGTTTGTTATTAATTAATGTGCACGCTGGGCCGATCCTGACTGGGCTTTGCCAGCCGCACGAGGCACCTACACACCGAGAGATCTCCGTGCCGCCCATTCTTCGGACACTGCCCAGAGACGGCTCGGAGATGAAGGACCGTAGCCAAACAAAAACCCGGACTGGATTCTCTACGGGGTGGCCGGCCAGGCAGCCACAGGGCACCATGCAAGTCGCGGCACGGCTCTCGTGCTGCGCGGTTGCAGGGGAGCAAGGGGATGGGGGTTGTGGGGGAGAGGAGGTGGTGGTGGTGGGGAGAGGTGCGGATGGGGGCAGCGGCTGGGCGGAGGTGTCACACAGCAGGGAGTGTGCAGAGGAGGGAGGGGTGGGGGGTGTGGAGCAGCACAGAGACCGCAGTTGTGCGTGGGATCGGCCGTGTGCGGCACCGAGCGCCGTGGCGCAATGTCGCGCGAGTCCGAGACAGCGCGCGCCGGGGCCACGAGCGGCAAAGAGACGGGCTGCGGCGAAGAGACGGGCTGCGGCGGAGGGTCACGAGAACCCTGCCATAGCCGGCACGGAAACGACGGGGGGGGCACCGGTGCGGAGGTCGCGGGTGACGTGCGGTTGCGGACCTCGGCCACGGTCGTGGTCACGAGCGGCCGGTGTCGCAGCGCTGGGCTCGTGTCACTTGCGGGAATGTGGTTTTACGTTTCTCCGGTTGAGCCGCGGACGCGTATAGAGGTGACCAAGATTTAAAATCAAATCGGCCCCAACGTTTGAGTCGACTGAAGGACAGGCACGAGCAGGTGAGGGAGGGAGTGATAAAATGACCGATCTCGAGACACGAGGCAGCATTGAGATGAGCGCGTCGAGACATTTACACTGCTCCTGCACACTGGAGCGCCAGGCTGCAGGAGATAGCGTTGAGAGTAGTGGGTAACCGCACGGAGAGTGGAGAAGCAGTGGGAGGGCAGCAGAAGTGATAGCAGCGGTGATATCATCGACAGCGGGTGAGACTGGGAGAGAGCGCAGCAGTGATATTGACAGTGGGAGAGAGCAGTGGTGACAGAGAAGGAGAGACAGTGGGAGGGAGCACAGCAGTGATGGGACTGATATCGGGAGAAGCAACGGGAGACACCATTAACAGTGGTAGTGAGAGCATCGGTGATATCATTGACAGCCGGAGAGACTGGGCGAGAGCGAAGGAGTGATATCCCTGACAGTGGGAGAATCAGGGGGGAGAGACAGCATTGATGGCTGAAGTGATAGCAGGAACGGCAGCATTGACACGGAGAGGAGACGCAGCGGAAGCAGCGGCAGAGGGACGGCGGGCGTGTTCGTGGCGTCGCGGAGAGAGGAGCCGAGCGCGGGCGAGGCGAGTGGCGGATCACTCGGCACAGCGCAGGACTCTCCTCCTCTTTCTCCTCATCCTCTTCCTCCTCCCAGACACGAACGACCACAGTTTCCCCACAGCTTCTCACACATGGGGAAGCAGAAGGGGGCACACGGAGCACCTCCCTCTGTCCCTATCTGCATTCCACCACTTTCCCCATGCCCAGTGTCCTCCCACGCACGCTTCCGGTTCCTGACGGAAGGGGAACAACGCACGCACACACACACACACACCTCGTTACAACTCGACGTGCAGGTGGGGGCCTTGTATAGGCTCTCACCCTCAGGGTCAGAATAAAACAGTGATTTCCCTGCTCAAATGCACATGGAGGTAGTGATCATCTCCCATGTACTGCCCTGAGCCATTGGTGGAAGTGCTACATTCCTAGGGTGGGAGCGAGTGTATCCATAGGGAAACCCACTCACGTTTGTTACTCATTTTATCAACCTGGCAGGGATGACGGAGTTCAGTGATTGAGTGAGTTAACGTGGTCCCTGTATGCGTGGTCTGGGCAAATGTGTTTCTGGCGAGCGTGGCAGGTGAGCGTGTGGGCCTCACCAGCCACGGTAAGTGCACTCACGGTAAGCAAGCGTGCCTTACCGGTGTGCACGTGCGATGGATTTCCGGTGTGCGAGTGAGCGAGTGTGTGGGTGAGCGAGTGTGTGGGTGAGCGAGTGTGTGGGTGAGCGAGTGTGTGGGTGAGCGAGTGTGTGGGTGAGTGAGTGTGTGGGTGAGCGAGTGTGTGGGTGAGCGAGTGTGTGGGTGAGCGAGTGTGTGGGTGAGCGAGTGTGTGGGTGAGCGAGTGTGTGGGTGAGCGAGTGTGTGGGTGAGCGAGTGTGTGGGTGAGCGAGTGTGTGGGTGAGCGAGTGTGTGGGTGAGCGAGTGTGTGGGTGAGCGAGTGTGTGGGTGAGCGAGTGTGTGGGTGAGCGAGTGTGTGGGTGAGCGAGTGTGTGGGTGAGCGAGTGTGTGGACGAGAAGAGGGCCTCACCCGTGTGCCGGAGCGGGTGAGTGCGGCGCTCCCGCCGGGCCGCTATCCGGCGCGGGCCTGCAGCTCGTTAAGCCGCGCGCAGCTGGGCGTCGCCATGTTCTGCGCCTTGTGGTAGAGCGTGCTGTCTCCGAAGTAGCGCGCCCTGTAGATCATGTTCTCCTCTGGCCCGGCACACGGCGCACGGTACACACGGCAAAGGCGCGGTCCGTTCAGCGCGGCGACCGAAAAAAGCGTGCGTTAACGCCGCTTGCTCTCGGCGCGTTCGGAAGCCCGACAGCGAGCGGCGGCGATTGTGAGACTCGGACCGCGGGTCGCGTCGCGACCGCCCACGGCGATTCGGCCTCGTGATGCCACGTGAGCGCCGGCTACGGTACGATTCGAGAGGCGACGCCGTGCCTTCTGGTTTTCCACCGTCCCCGTTTGTATCGTTGTTTGGGATTACCCATCCCGACCGTTGGCCCCTCTCCTGTCTCCTGGCGGACGTGCAGGCTGGTGCCGGGTTACCTTGTGTCGTAGCACAGGGGCAGCTGCCGCTCGGGGTCCCCCCCCCCCCCCTTTAAATGGTTGAGATGAGGTAGGAGGTGCTTACTCAAGCACCACTCTATACATGCCAAGATGAGTATTGTTGTTGTTTCCACAAAGTTCTTCGCTCAGCGTTTTGCGCATAACCGCTGTGAATGCGGTAGCTTGAGGGGTGAGGGTGTAGCTCAAAGGGAGGGGGGGGGGGGGTGAGGTGTCGGTGAGGGAGGATCTTGGGAGTGGAGGGGGGGGGTGTGGATCTCGGGAGGGGTGAAGGTGTAACTCGGGGGGGGGGGGGGGGGGTGAGGGAAGATCACGGGGGGGGGTGGATCCCGGGGGGGTGAGGATGGAGCCCAGGAGGGTGAGGGAGGAGCCCACGGGGGTGGGGGGAGGGTAAGGGGGGAATTCGGTGGGGGTGGAGCTCACTCTGTTGTCGCTCCTTCCAGCAGTTGTTGCGAAGGTTGGCGACGTAGTCGTCCTCCACGCTGCGCTCCACGCGCTCCAGGCCCTGCCCCTTGTTGTCTCGCGCAAAGTCCTTGTCCACGTAATAGGGCACGCCCAGCTGCATGGTGTGCCGCGCCTCCGTGTGGCCCAGGCCCCTGCAGTGACGAACACAGCAGTGACACATGGTACACAGTGACAGCGACACGCACAGCGGTGACACGCACAGCAGTGAAACAGTGACTCCCGGTGACAAACACAGCAGTGGCACATGGTAGTGACACAGTAGTGACACAGTGACACGCAGTGCAGTGACACACTGTGCAACACAGTACCCATTGACAGTGACATAGTGACACAGTACAAAGGGAGGGACACACATTGATACAGGGACACAGCAACTGACAGCAGGAACACATTGACACATTGAGCTGGGACAAAGATTTGTGATTTGCAAAATAGTCACACAGAACAGTGACAAGAATCAGCGACAAGCTCACTCACTTACACACACACATACGGGCAGTAGATAAGGCTGTAGGGCGAGTTGTGAATTATTTGTGTGAGCGAGTCGGTAAGCAGGTAATCGAATGAATGGGTGAGCGAATGAGCGAGTGAGTGGGTGAGTGAGCGAGCGAGTAGACACTAGGGTCGTAGTTGAGGCTACAGCACAGGATTGTAAATTATTTGCGTCATTCGGTGAGCGGGAAAGTGAGTGAACGAGCCAGTGGGTGGGCGAGTGGGTGGGTGGACTTACGGGCGATAGCTGAAGCTGTAGGGCAGATTGTGAATGCTTTGCGCGAGTCATGAGCAGGTGAGTGAGTGAAGGGGTGAGTGGGTGGGTGAGTGGGTGGGTGAGTAGGTGGGTGAGTGAGCGGGTAGACAACTGTAGTAGCTGAGGCTGCAACACAGGTTGTGAATGGTTTGTGTGAATGAGTTGGTGAGTGGGCGAGTGAGTGAATGAGCGAGCGGGTGGGCGAGTGGGTGGGTGGACTCACGGGCGGTAGCTGAGGCTGTAGGGCGGGTTGGACACCATGAGCTGGCTGATGATGGATACGATCACCAGGATGAAGATGGGCAGCAGCTGTACGAACATCGTAAACCCACCCTGCTGAGACAGCGAGGAAACCGCGCCGTAACTCAACACACGTGGTCACGCGGATAGATGCTCACAAAGGGGCGGCGGAGGACGACGCCACTCAAAGCAATTCGTGTTTTATCATCTGAATGTAACTGCACAGTAAAACCTCTCGGAGACGGACTCGAGGAAGCCAGAATTTGGGATAAGCCAGGAAAGGATACCAAAATAAATATACACCAGCTTAGTGTTCATGTGCTAATGAACACCTTCCCATTCTGAGATGTCTGTAAGTTGCAGGCTGCGTGCCGTTCACCTCTGAATCTCGGAACGCGCAAGTGGCTCAGCGTTAATTATTTTAGAGGCGCATAGCGGCGTTGTTTTTAAAGACATTGTTCTCACCACAGAGAACCATAGCGATACGACCACACTCTATGATAGCTGGCGCCAAACTGTGCCACAAGCCCTCCCGCGTGGCCTTGTGGAAGCCTCGGTACCGATAAAAGTTATTTTAACCTCGTTTTTCTTTCGGTTTCGTTTTGATGACGGACCTCCACTACGTCGGCTAAGCCCTAAATGAATGTCTGGGGCAGTGCATAAAACATCATCACAAAGGTGGCCAGGCATGGTACTGAGCTCCCACGCCCCTCGTGTACCACGTTGGCCTTCACAGGTGCTCGCTAATAGCACTTGCCCTGACAGTCTGTTAAGGCTAGAGGGGGATCTCTGCCTATGTTTTGTGTGTGAGTGTGTGTGCGTGCAAAGTCCTTACATCGCCATGCTGGTGGTCTGGCCGAGTGTTGCGCTGCTGGTGGTATGTGTAGCGCGCCTGTCCGTTGCTGTACACATGCACATTGGCTGCAACACACACAAAGCATGCACCGCGTTTCATCATCACCAACGATGTCATTAGGTTCAGAGCTTTAAATATTTACATGTATTTGTTTAACCGGGTGAGATGCACTCAAAGACACTAGGAGGGGAGTAGCATTTGCCAAGAGTGACCTGGGTCACCAAAATGACAGAAATAAATTAAAGCATTGGAGCAAATAGCAATCAGTGCAAAAACAATTGCGTCACGTGAGAAACTGAACATATGGTACAAACACGAATCAATGCTAAATAAATAAATAGATTGGCTGTAGCGCGTGTCGGCATGTGTCCCCGTGTATATATGCTGAACTTCTTTCGCACTGCACCTAGCCAACCGTGCTAATCGGAGGTGCGGATCCCATGTCCCCGTGTCCCCATGTCACCGTGTCCCTATATCTACGTGTCCCCGTGACCCGTGTCTCGGTGTCCCCGTGTCCCCTGCTCACAGCTGGGGAAGCCGCCCCCAAAGAACATGTTGAAGAGGTCCTCGGGGGAGATGTCGGCCTCAAAATCGCGGGAGTGCTCGTGCGCCGAGCGCCGGCCCCGTGGCGCCGCCGCCTGCTCGTCACCGTACTGGTCATAGCGCCGCCGCTTCTCGGGGTTACTGAGCACCGCGTACGCGTTCCCTATGCCTGCATGGTCACATCATCATCAGAGTCACCACATTGTCATCGTGATCATTGCCGTCATGACCATGAGCATCGTTATAAAAAAAAATCACAAGCATCATAACAATTGCCGATGACACTGATGATCACACAGACCCTCTCGCACGCACTTCCATCACACACACACAGGGCTCAGTGAGCGACCAAGCATGCAAGTGAATGGAAGAGTGAGTGAGGGAGGGAGCGAGCGAGCAAGCTATTGAATGAATGATTGAGCGACCGAGTGATTGAGCGGGTGGGTGAGTGAGTGGGTGTTTGAGCAGATAGGTGAGTGAGCAGGTAGGTGAGTGAGTGAGTGAGCGAGGGAGCAGCGAATGAGCGACTAGAACAAGTGAGCGGGTGAGCATGTGAGCGAGTGGGTGGGTGGGAGTCTCCTCACCCTTGAAGGCCTCGGTGGCACCAGGAGCGTGGTTCTTGTCTGGGTGGAACTTGAGTGCCAGCTTGCGGTAAGACTTCTTCAACTCCTCCTCCTGCGCATCTTTGGCCACGCCCAGGATCTCGTAGTAATCCTTGCAGCGCTTTATCCTTCAGGGGCAAGAGGAGGCGGAGATCACGATGGGAGGGAGGGAGGGGAGGGGAGGGATGGGAGGAGAGGGACCCTCTCTGCTGGCACCAGGCACAGTGCCAGTCGCCAGGAACATGTACACTCTGACCTCATGTCAAAAGAAAATAGAACCCATTTGAAACTCTCACAGTGAGCAGTGCATCACCCCGAGTGTGAGTGACCTGCTGAAGAGAGACACTTCATTAATTTCCAGTGACCTCTTTACCAAAATTAAACACATTATTTGAAGCTGCTGCATCGGCAGCGGTGCAAGGGCACAATTAACAAATATAACTCAACACGTTCATCAGTGACACTGTGTGGGCCTTGAAAGGAACAATATACAATCGGCGACGTTTCAAGCAATGGCCCTTCTTCAAGTGCAGTATGCACTGTACACCACTGTGCAACGTGCAGTATCCCAGCTCGTATCCACTCCTCTGGCCTCTCTATTTATGGTCTTTTTCCAGACTCGGGACTCTGCACTTTCCCAGATGTCCTGTTGTCACGATGTTTGCAGCATGGCAGTCAAATCAAATGTTTTATTCTCTGGGTTGGAAGTTTGCCAAATAGGTGACAAACCGGAATTCATGATAGGGTTTTTTTTTCTGTAGTGTGCAGTCATTGACTTATATAAGAACATGAACTCCAAACACTTGAGAACCCGGTTTAGTCACGAGCGGCTGAAACCCAAGTTTGAACCTAGGATCTCAGCGGTGTTGGCCAAGTGCTCTGAACCCTGAGCCACCCGGCCTCACTAGAACCGCCACTACTGTCTGGAACTCGATTCCCCCAGCCACCTGTGCTGTTGACTCCCTAACCCCTAATCAAGTCCAGGCTCAATACTTTTCTGTATTGCCCTCTGCCTATGACTGCCTGCCTCTCGCTTTCAAATAACTATGCCCGCTCTTTCTATACAGCATATTCATATGGTATTGTATATAAATCCAAACTGTATTTACTAGCACAGAGACCCACAGACTCACACAGAAACTCACAAATTGTATATATGCATGTTGAATTTATTTCACGTAGCCAACCGTGCAAATGGGAGTGGTGGTGCTGGAGACCATGGCGGGCCCTCACCTCTTCACCGCCTCCACCTGCTCCTGAGTGTAGCTCTTGGCCGTCTCAGTGGAGCCGGCGGGCCCCTTGGCGTCGCCCGCTTCCGATCGGCGGCGCATTTGCGGTGAGCCCGGCGCCTCGGCCTGCCCGTTTTGTCCCGCGCTGCTCCCATTGCGAGAGATTACGTCGATCAGGGCTGTGTGGGAGGGGGGGGGGGGGGAGTGCACGGGGATACATCGGCAACATCAGTCATTAGCGCCTAGCCCTGCCAATTGACCAACCAACCGGCCGGCTAATAATCCGGCCGGCACAATTCCACGCCGAGTTCACGCCGTATGTACTCCTCTACAGCTGATTTGGTTTGCACAACCGATTGTTCAGGTGTAAACATGGCTTTAAAGGAAGACAACCTTAGTGATATATGCTAACCCTGTAATGACGCGCCGATTCACATCGAGTCTTACAATGACGATACTTAAATACAAGAATACGTGACATCTCGTCACCCATGACCGATCCACTGCCAGATGAAGGCCTCCTCAAGTCGTTGCAATCTCACTGGGTCACGCAATGCAACGACACAAAGCTCATGCACATGAGCTGACTTAATTGCTTCATCTCCATGGTAGACGCCTTCTCGGGCATGTTCCATCATTTGTCTTGACTACCAGCCATCAGCACTGATCAGCGTGGTGAAGTATAGCCAAGCAATGCAGAAATCAAAACTAGACTTAAACCAGCATTGACTTGACAAATGGCTATAAACGAGATGCAAGGTGCTATGAATTGGCAAGGCATTGCAACCACTATCTGGCTCTTTTTGTATGGGAGTGTTTTGGGTGCGTTTGGATGAACGTTGCTTTGTGAGCGATGTCCGTTGGAAACTCGCGGTGTCTCCACCACGACGGTGGGGTTATGATCTGGGTGACGTATACGGCTCGGACTCATTTGCAGAAGGGTGATGAGCTACAGCCGTTTTGGTGGTCAGCCAGGGCCCCGGTGCTCATGGCGACGCCCAAGGGCCTTGTCTCCTGGCTTGGTGTGAAGGGACGGCACCCCCCCCCCCCCGAGGATAAAAATAACGCCGGAACACAGTGTTTCGGTATCCTGGCGTCCGGGGTTCCGGTGTCCACACCGCACGGTGTGTGGTATCGGACACGGTGAGAGCATACGTGACCCGGTATAAAGGGGAGGCTCCATCGGTTACTCCAGCACTAGCTTCACCAGGCTAGCACCAGCCACGCGGCGCTAACGGCCAGCTACAGCCCCCCGGCGCGAGATACAGCACAAGCACAAGCCTAATTCGGAGCCTTGGCTGCGGTCCAAACACAAGCTTAGCACGTCGGTCCTGACACCACCCCCGAAACAAATACTAGCCCTGACGCCAGCTCTATCCCTAATGCCACATCAAACTAAAGTACTAGTCCTGACACCCACACCCCCCCCCCCCGAACCCAAAAACAAGCGCTAATACCAGCATGAACCAAAACACTAGCTAGCCCCTATCAAACCAACAGCCCTACCAACAAGCCCTGATGGCACTTTTAACCCAAACACGAGCCCTGATAAAAGCAATATCCCTAACACGGACCCTGACTCAGCCGAGTCCAATTCACCAGCTGATAAAACAGCACAAGAGGAGTAACGGCAGCAGCATCGCTACGCTGTGGCGTACAATGACATTACGCCACTTTTATCCAACGTTCATCAGACCCCTGCGAGCGATGTACTGTGCACGCGAAGGAGTCTACTGTATTCTTTAGCGACGGGCAATGCACGCAAAAGCCTAATCCGCAAGTGGAGCTAAGAAGAGACAGCCTCAGCTTGAGCGGCAAATGCGTGCACAGCATATTGACGCGTACACAAAGGGCTTCGCATACATGAGTGTACAGCTTCATATGCACAGCGTGTATGCATGTATAATACACACACAGCTGTATATACACAGCAAGTACTGTATATGTGTACACACAGCTGCACTTAAGAGGATATAGACAGCATGTACCTATGATGCACTGCATGTATGAGATGCGTATGCTGAGCACGCACACGGACAGTTTAGAATGGACTTGCAATCCAGAGGTAGCTGGATCAATCTCCCAGCACAGCAGTTGAAACAATGGTGCAAGTTCTCTAAATTACTCACAACCCACCCCCAAACACCTCCGTCCACCCGGAAGTAGAGACGGGTACGCCAGTTAATGGACTCTGCGGGTCAACGTGTGGTGGGTGGGGTAAAATGTGGCTACTCCCACCTCTTCCATAACGTCTAGAGGGATTCTACAGAGCTCCCTCCGTCAGTATTGCCGTGCAGTCGGCAACACTGATGAAACTTTACCGCTTTTACTAATCGATTCATAATATTCATGAACGGCACTTTACTTCAATTGACATTCACGCCATTGTCACAGCGGCAAAGCTACGTTTCAAAGTCTGCGGCGGTTTCGCGGAAGGCGGGCGATGTCATCCCAATAGAGTAACTTGCAGGCCATTTGTATTTTATTTTTTGGCGAACTGGACCATGAAGCCGGCACACGATGGCCCACGGCTCGTTCCGAATGACGTCGGGGGATCTTTAACGTCTGCTCCGAAGCAGGCGGTGCACATTCTCTGCCCAATACGGTACAGCAGCCGCATGCATTTGAGCCGTGAACCTCCCCAACAAGTGGCGAGCGCGCAACCGCTAAACCACGTCGCCGCCCTATACACTACACCTTTAAGCGCACGGTGAACGCACAACTTTATTTATGTAGCATGCATCAGAACTGGAGTCAATTATAATTACAATTGTAGCACCACCAATGGGGGGGGGGGGGGTTTCAAATTACATTCTCGCTACAATTCATTAGGAATATTACGAGTACAAAATATTCGACACCAGGTCTGGAATGTGGATGCACGCAACTTGATGTACACATCATGTACGCCTACATCATGTGCCCATACAGTATAGAGCTTAATGTACACAGAGCACATACACATACAGTATGAACACGCAGCTTCAGGTACACAGCATTAAATGATACAGCATGAAACAACACCGCTTCATCCACACGGCAAGTAACATATAGCAGGTACACAGCATGGAATTATACAGCATGTGACAACACCGCTTCATCCACACGGCAAGTACACATATAGCAGGGTACACATATAGCGTGGAAAGAACTTCATATACGCAAAGAGATGCATGTTCCACATGCAAGACAACGATCCCCTGTGTAGCCTTAACAGACTGTTGGGGCAAGTGCTGTTAGCGAGCACCTATGAAGGCCGGAACGGTACACGAGGGGGTGGGTGACTACAGCACCACGCCCGACCGCCTTTGTGTCCCTCGTGGCGACGTTTACACACCATACCAGGTAATCGTTTGAGGCTAAATATACGTGGCACATACATATCACGAGCTAGCAGTGGCACCTTGTGATCCAGTGTTTTGGAGGCAAGAGTCGGCGGATAACAAACATTCACGAAAAGCTCAAGCCCACAAAGGCTGCGAGGTGCCCACGGTGTAAGCAGCACAGCAACTGCGTTCTGAAATCCATGTGTGTGAGCTTTTAAGTGTTTTCACCCGATATATGTGTCCCCATGGGGTTGCTCCGAGTTCTCGACTTTCTTTCCATATGCAAAGTAACGAGCAAATGGAAACGATCAAACGTCTGAATTCAGAACCCTCCTGAAAAAAGTCTTGAGACTCAGTGAGGGCTTTTCTGGTTAAAAGTACATTATATATGCATTATCCTGATTGGATTACGCATGCAGGGACCCTAATGGGGGCAACTAGAGCCGCTCTTATACTCTAGTACATGTATGTTATACTATACACGTATGCACGTATGTTGAACCTCTTTCGCGCCGTACGTAGCCAACCGTGATAATTAATCGGAGGTGCAGCAGGACATCAAAATATACAGTCAGAATCAAAGTGAGTTCCTGGTCAAATGAGCATTTAGGTCGTGCTCATGTTTCCCGTTTGAAGCCCTGAGCCAGCGATGACAATTCCATATTTCTATGGCGGGTGGTGAGTATAGGACAACCACTTTTGACTTTACACCCACAAAAGTGGTAAATTGTTTTATCCGCGCAGGAGGAATGACGGGCTGAGTCATCATCACCTGGCCGCGGCATTTAACATAAACAGAACGTGGGCACGTACAGGGTAGTAGCACCAGCAGAAATACCAAACGAGGTGACCAGTTACACTGACCGGTTGTACACATACTGACCATGCAGACAGACACACTCAAAGACGCATGCACGCATATATTACCGGGTATCTATACCGTTAAACAGCCCAGCATATAGACCGAGATCGGTGGACTCATTTGTTTGACAGAACGACCGGCAGGTTTATTATAACATATCGACAGGGATATCATCCGGTCGACACACTAACGGTAACCATATTTACCTTCACTAATGCTCGATATACCGACCGTAATACCGCTAGACTCATCAACTATTGAGACTAGTATCAGACCGCAGAGTAAACCGCTGTAGTTTTGCGCTCCTTCAACGGAGGAATAGCAAAACTACACCAACTCTATCTTGCCCAACTCTCTCCCGAAGCCCTCTCCGTCGTGGCTACCAGATTTTACTCGACATTGGCATTTTAGCTCCTGGACGCAAGAATGGAAACCAGTATCGTACCGACCGTATGAAACGCCGACTGTAATATCGGAAACCACTTAACCGATATAGAAGTTTACGCGCCACATACCAACAGCTCGGTTGACACATTCAGTCGGTTGTCATACCGCCCCTAACAGCGGCACACGCTCGCTCATCACCCGCTAGAAAACAAGCGGCAAACGTACTGGAACCCCCGACCTATGCACAACACCGACAGTTTGATCAGCAAACGCACACGGTCGGTCCCGGTTGACACACTGGCCCAACAGACAAACCATCAGTCACGGTGGACACAAGTGGCGTGGAGCAGCAATACCAAGAGGCACTGAACCGGCCAGCATGACACCAACCCGGAATCACACCGACCCGTCTGGTACACCCCGACCCGTCTGATACACACCGACTAGTCGTAGAAACACCGACCCGTCTGGTACACCCCGACCCGTCTGATACACACCGACTAGTCGTAGAAACACCGACCCGTCTGGTACACACCGACCCGTCTGGTACACACCGACCCGTCTGGTACACACCGACCCGTCTGGTACACACCGACCCGTCTGGTACACACCGACCCGTCTGGTACAGACCGACCCGTCTGGTACAGACCGACCCGTCTGGTACAGACCGACCCGTCTGGTACACACCGACCCGTCTGGTACACACCGACCCGTCTGGTACACACCGACCCGTCTGGTACACACCGACCCGTCTGGTACACACCGACCCGTCTGGTACACACCGACCCGTCGCAGACACACCGACCCGTCGCAGACACACCGACCCGTCGCAGACGCACCGACCCGTCGCAGACGCACCGACCCGTCGGAGACGCACCGACCCGTCTGGTACACACCGACCCGTCTGGTACACACCGACCCGTCTGGTACACACCGACTCGTCTGGTACACCCCGACCCGTCGTAGACACACCGACCCGTCGTAGACGCACCGACCCGTCGGAGACGCACCGACCCGTCTGGTACACACCGACCCGTCTGGTACACACCGACCCGTCTGGTACACACCGACCCGTCTGGTACACACCGACCCGTCTGGTACACACCGACCCGTCTGGTACACACCGACCCGTCTGATACACACCGACCCGTCTGATACACCCCGACCCGTCTGATACACCCCGACCCGTCTGATACACACCGAGTCGTCGTAGACATACCGGGAAGCATACCGACAGGCAGACTGCCCAGTGTGTAAACTGACCGGCAGGCATACCGAGGAACCGGTAGGACACCGACTCACAGACACGACCGCCATAACCAGTCTCGGGCAGCACGAACCCGCCCTGCCTCGCTATCGCTAGGCCCGAGGCGGGCCAACCCCGCCGCTCGGATAGTTTCCCTGCCGGGCGCGGCGAGGGTGAAGCCGCCCGGGGAGGGCTCAGCCTGAGACGCGGCTAGCGCTAGGCCCGATTCGCGGCGCGAGCGGGCGCGCGACACGGACGCATCGGCGGCCGCCACCTTTGGCCTTGTCGGTGGGGAAGAGCTTCTCGGCCTTTTGCAGGAACTTGAGCGCCTTGTCGCGCTCTCCCGCGCGCAGCGAGCGCTCGGCGATATCCACGCAGCGCGCCGCCTCGTCCCGATTGCCGTCCATCTTCCCGCAGCGTCACGTACCCGCAGCGCGCATGCGCGACACGAGCCCCCACCTCCCCTACAGCAGATCACGCGAGTCACGTGACCCCCCCCACCACCGCCTTCCCCCCCCCCACCACCGCCTTCCCCCCCCCCCACCACCGCCTTCCCCCCCCCCCCACCACCGCCTTCCCCCCCCCCACCACCGCCTTCCCCCCCCCCACCACCGCCTTCCCCCCCCCCACCACCGCCTTCCCCCCCCCCACCACCGCCTTCCCCCCCCCCACCACCGCCTTCCCCCCCCCCACCACCGCCTTCCCCCCCCACCACCGCCTTCCCCCCCCCCACCACCGCCTTCCCCCCCCCCACCACCGCCTTCCCCCCCCCACCACCGCCTTCCCCCACAACGGTGGCGAGATGTTAACTACCTCGCCTGGTATACAGGAAGTGGGTTCAATCCCGACCTTAACGCCTGCTGTATATTTGGAGTTTGCAGTCTCTCTCCCCATGTTCGCGTGGATTTCCCCTCCACACTTAGAATCAATATGCGCTTAAAGTATTTAGCGGCTATAATTTTACACATAAGCCACTTTGGTGAGTTTTAATTTGTGGCCAGGTTGCTTCTGAAAAAAAGATAGATAGCTCAGTGGGCCTTACCTGGTAAAATATAAGTTCAGTGAAATGGTTCGCTAAACCGTTGTGGATACGAATTAAATAACCAGACAATCCGCCTTCTTCACACAACTGTCGCTCCACATTTAAACTTGTTTTTTACACATCCCACCGGCTACATAAAACTCAGGGTGGCAACATTATTTCAGAAGCATTGACTTGACGCACGGTGCGTGAAGCTTCCAAAATTGCTGGACTGCAAAGTGTCCATTAGATGGCAGTACATCAAGACTGTCAACACGCCTGTACGAGTGTTATCCCCTTGTGTGGGTGGGTTTTGCCCCCCAAATGCTGCAGTGTACTCATCAAGTGTCCTGCCACACGTGAAACACTGAAATAAGGAGATTGTCCAAATAGACAATACAAGGCTCTCCGAAAAGTCAGTTTGACACGGAGGTTTTCCCGATAATAAAGTTTTTTATTTGGGTTAGCTCGCGTAAATGACTGTCGTCAAAACCGCCTCCACCCGAAACAGCCAATTAGTAAGTTTCGTCACGTAAACAAAACATGGCAATTCGTTACTAGTCCAGCACACCACGTGTGTTGGAGAGTAAACCTATAAATGATTGAACACGCATCAATCCTCTTCATTAGTGTCCAGACGCCAAGCGAGGCTCTTGAATAGGCGAATGTCGTTGTTGCCATCGTTGCATGCTCAACGACTCCACGCGCGCACACATAAAACACGCCGCGCCCAACACACGCACGCACACACAGGCGCAGAGGCAACTTTATCACACAGCTTTATTGCTTGCATTCTGACCTCCGCGGAGAGAGGGGGGGGGGGGTCAACAACAGGCAGACCCGCGGTGGATGGCACCGCCCAGCCCGATCCGGCCCGGCCCGACCCGACCCCCACGAACTCAAGACGAAGGCTCCAGGCTCTCGCATGCAGCCATGGGGCCATGAGCACCAAACCACCAGACCAGGGGACCGAAGTTGACTTCAGCATGAATACTCTTGCAGTATTACACCGCACGCAACGCACTCTTAGCCACGCAAACGCCACGGGCGAGCTCCGTGCCGTCCAACACATGTTTCACAGAGCAGCGGTTTAATATAAAGACTGCTTCGTTGAACAATGGTGATGCGACCAACTGCTAGCCTTTACCCGAACACTACCCATCCTCATGGTCCCCAGTTATGGGCAAACCCAATACCACGCCTCGTCAGTCAATGAACCAAATAATTGGCTGCGCAAGTATTATTCACGTAAGCATTTTCACAACTCATTCACTCCTGATGACCCACCCGGCTCGCAATTCCACGCGTAGCATCGCCAGCGCAAGTCCTTTTTTAGACAAATAAAACATTTTAACCCAACCGTTTCAACTTAAAACTTTTTTTATGAAGTCAACTGCGTGAGATGGGTTATAATTTGTAGAAAGGGTCTGGTCTAAGATCAAGTTGGTCTCACACAAACGGTGTATTCACAATGGTGGCACAACCAGCGGCATAAATTTTGATTTAAAGCTTTCGTGACTGCAGTGATTCATATTCTTGGTTCTTTCGGTAAAGCGGCATGTTTCCCGTTGGTCGTTTCTTTACACGACTTTGCGGTAGCGCTCAGCTGCAGTGCCGACGAGACTGGATAAAAAGGGGCTCTCAAGGATCAAGGTGGGATGGCCCATGTGGGTGGTGGACGTGCGAGAGTCCACGTGATCCGATCATCAACCACATAAAACACCTAATGTGGATATTTCACCCGGTCACTTCAAGTAGTGCAAGGGTAGAACATTCACGTCAGGTGCCCTCGTGCATTGGGCCAGTGACACCTGCAGGGCCAGCACCAATGTGCCTGGGCAGAGGTGTTCGGGGTCATAAGGATTCATCCATTACCATTCATTATTACACTCACGATACCCGCATGGAATCGTGCGTGAAGGAATGGATTATTTATCATTCATGCAAAATACATGCCAAAGAGCGAATGGGACGATTCGAGACGGAACGAGGCAGCCAGTACACGTAGGACTTGACAATGCAAACAAAGCAGTACGAACAAGACAGCCAATACGCACACTTCAAACCAGTACAGATGAGACAAAAAAATCAGTTCTTGAATTTAATACCGATTCCAAATAGTGAAAAATCGCTGAGGGTGGTATTGAATCATTACATGCCCAATGGATGTCATCACTGGGATCCACACGTCCTCCCTAAATATGCACACACCACCGCAGTCCCACTCTTGGCAATGGCAACTGCAGCAAGGCCACAGCCTCTACGCATATGCAAAACGCATCAGTATTTCCAGATGCACCATCAGCATTGTTTTACACACAGAAGCTGTTGCTTCAAACATGTCGGGTGTTATTTGAAAGCTACGGGTTTCCGGCCTGCACTTATTCCATTACGATTGTGTTTCCCCATAATTTACGACAGATTGGACCATCTTTTAGCAACGACAGTTGAGACAACTCCCATTTACACAAGATAAAGACTTCGGAGTGAAACAATTTTGACTAATTATGTATACTTTTTTAAAACTAGTTCCTTTCAGTTGGGCCGTGATGAACTAAATGTGAGCATTTCAATTCTATGGGACTAGTTTGGTAAGTAATCAAACCCCATGAACGGATATTGGCCTCGCAAAAGAGGGTTTCATTTTTCTCAATGGGATCATTCATCTCCAAGGTTGAAGGATATCACCTGATTGACATTAGTTGCCCTAAACCGGTTTGATTGAAACATTGAACTCAAAATTCGGTAACACCAAACTGGTTTTTAGCCAAAGATTGTCATATCGGTTTCACCAACGTAGATTTACAAGTGTAGTCAATTATGTTGCACTAAACCGGTTTACTGTCCTTCGTGCAAACAAAGCTCTCATGTTGCACAACGCAAAGCCCACTGGCGTGAAGAACGACGCTTCTCAACGCATGCAGCTCAAGGTAAACTCGAGTCCACGGTCCCAAACCAGTGGCCAGTGCACATACATCACCCTAAAAATCACAGCGCCCACAATACGAGCCGAGCCGCAGCTCGTTCCGAGCAAGATAAGACACCGAGACAGTGTCCCTTGAGCTGCCCAACACGGGTCTAAAGCAAACTAGCTCAGTGGTAAGCTAGTAGGGCAGTTTGGTTTCTGGGTTGTAATTTTCTTGTTCTCTTTTAAAGCAAAATTCAATTAATGAATTTCATGCAGCATGCAACAAACAAAATCACTTGGAGTTCTAGGGTGGGAAAACATTGTTACTATTTTGACAGATAAAAAAAGCACAAATATTGATGAACAATTAGTTTACCAATTCTCTTTCATGGATCATAGAGAAATGGGTAGGTTTAGCCATCTCTAGTGGTGCTATAATCCTGTTTTGGCCCATGGACCTATCACCACGGCTCATGATTGAACCTGCCCATGGTAAAAGTGGTCCTGGAAACAATAAAGTGAAGTGAACAGGGGTCCTCTGGTGACGCACGGAAGGTGGGGTTGAGTAGGGATAGTCGGCGGGTTTTATACTAGTGGCTAGTTGGTTCAGGTAATGGGCCATCATTTCGTATCCATCATGCCAACTTAGATCAATAACCAGCAATTGTGGGCAAAGTCCCACGGCAGTCAGTGATGGCAGGGTTGTTGCTGTTGCTATGTAAGGTTTTAAGAGGAATTGCAGATTACGAGTAATCTGGCAAGGCCTGCGAAAAGCACGCTTTCTCCGTCAGTGTAAGGCTAGAATTTGATTGGCTAGTGTGTTCTGCCCACATCCTGAGTGCATCTTACACAAAAGCCCTTTTCAGAGATTGCCATTTATGGTTGTTAACGTTACATGAACACTCCTGTCCAGCTGTGCAATCACGCGGCACGTGCAGTTATAAGGTTTATTTGTTCCCATTGGTCACCGCAGTCGAGCGTGAACACACATGCGAGGCTTAAAACAAAATAGTAATTTGGGGTTGCAGCTACCCCTGTCGAGACCACACACACGAGCCTACATTTGTGGCCCAAGCGTGGCCAGTAGGCCAGTAGCGCATGACCAAGGTGACTCGCAGACCAGTCTAGCAGCAAGAGCCGCGGGTAGTTCCTCCAACCAAAGACACCTTCAAGTGCTCACAGCAGCAGCGGCCAAGACAGCTCAAAGCATCACAGAAACGTGTAGAGGGAGCGCGAGGCCGAAACCACTTGACTTCAGTGCTTCGGAGGGAAATAAATTGTATTTCTTCATTTGTGATACAAACCTCGAAGGCCCCGCATCATCATCATCTCCCGCAATCAACTGGGAACAAGAGGCAGGGCCGTACCACTGGTGGCTTCCTGGTGGTTAAACCCTGGGGGCGACTGGTTCGTGGGGAAGGTCTAGCTGCTATAGGGTCAGTGCGGTGGATAGCGCCATGAAGGCCCCACCACTCATGGGGATCTTCCTACCATCAGCTCTGCACAGCACAGGTACCGTCACCACCATCACCCACAACCAGATCCAGAAGATCGCGGTGGACGTGACTTCTCGCAGGTGTCACATGACCTCCGTTCTGCCGTGCAGGGCTGAGGGCAAGGCGTTAGCCCTCCCAGAGTAACCGTACCACTCAAATCCAGACGGCTACTTCGGGTAATTTATCTCTCCCTCTCTCTCATTCGGTGGGGTCGACAGTGGAGGGGTCTGCGGTGGTGTGGGCACCCACCGAGGGAGCGGGGCGGTGCGTGCAAGCGAAAAGCGGCCTTAAGACTTAAACGCAAAGGGGGACAGGGGCCGAAACTTGGATGACTAAGCCGAGCTGCAATTTGAATCGCATTAAAATACTTTGGTTGCGGCAAAGTGGCCGCGAGTGAGGGGGCGGATGGGTGGGGGCCGGGGGAGACATGATCGCAGGCCACCTTGCTCTGATACAAACTTCCACAGCAGATCTCACAGTAAAACAATTAAAAAGCGTACGTATTTAGCCTTTAACATTATCTTTGACCTCTGAAATAGAGGCAAAAACGTTTTGAAGCCTGAAGACAGCTTCATCCCAGCCCTGTTAATCAATAAAAATAGACATTCAGCAGAGAGAACGAATACAAACAAAATATAGAATGTTAAAGAGAGAATCAATCAAGTGTGAATGTATGGATTTCTCTGAAACCCCCAGAACTCCTTCCCACACTTCAGCAGTAGTCACAAGCACAAGTGGATTCCTAACAGTGTCTGTACTTATTTTGTTCATGCGGAATACCGATGGATGGTAGCATTTGCGTGTTTTTCCAAACGAACGGACTGCATTGAAATTGATCGTTCCTTATGAACAACGTCGAAGTAAAGTGCTCCAAAAGGACTTCACAGCAACGTCGTTAAAATGTAGCCTGCCGTCGTGTGGATCGTAAAAAGGCGTACTGCCGTGTTCCACTGACTGAAGTGTGGGCGGGGAGCGTCGGCGATCGTCGTTAAGATGAGGTTGACGCTTATAAAACAAGAGCGGTCCCGCGAGGGGACAGTGAGACAAGGGTTGAGCTCCACTGAAAACGGTTTGCGACGCGGACGGAGGCCCTTGCCCTGCGGACGGAGGCCCTTGCCCTGCGACGCAGGAAGAGCTTCTGGCGCCATTACAGGAAGTAGTCGGGGGTGCGGCGAGTGACGTGAGGTTCCCCTCGCCGAGGGGCTGGGTCAAACTGCAGGCTGTGGGAGGGGGGGGGGGCGGACACCAGGCAACTTTAAAAACACTCCCCCCCCCCCCCACCACCTAGTCTCTCTCGCAAGTGCCGCTCAACCAACCACACTCTCACCGCGATATCATCGTCGCTTTGTGCACTTCAGCCGGTTATGCGGTTGAGATAAGAACATTTAAGTTATTGATGCATATCACATTCATCATTAATTTAAGTACCATTATTATGAATATTAATGGCGCCGAGAGCAATATTTAGAATCGCTTATACTTTTTGCTAAAAACATTTGGGCAAGTGGTCTTGAACAAGGGTCCCCGGTTATTCAAATCTTGCCACACACGTACCCCCATATTTTGCGGGTTACGAAACGCAAGCTTTTGACGTGCGCATGCAACCTGCGTGCGAGTAACCTGTGTGTGCGCGCGTAACCTGTGTGTGTGTGTGTGCGCGCGTAACCTGTGTGCGCGTAATCTGTGTGCGTGCGCAACGGATGACTCACAAAGAGTACTTGAGAGTGTCATCGAGCTCCATGATGGCCGCCTGATTGCCGCAGCGGTAGCAGTAGTTGGGCGCGCTGAAGATGGTGACAACGTTGCGATCGTGGCACCAGTTGTAACCCTGTGGAGCAAAGCGCACGCCGTCACCGAGCAGCGGAGGATATGCACGTGGTCTGTAATCCAGCAATGCGGATGCGAGGGGTTGGTGGATCGTGTAAATGTTCCGAACGTACATTCCCGCGGGCATCGAGGTGCCATGCTGTGGCTTTCCAGAAGGTAGTACACACAAGTGGACTAATCGCCATATTTTTTCATCAGTGGGTTTTCACCCACAAGTGTAAACACTCGCGATTAATTGGCCGAAAACATCATAAAAGTAAAATCCAGTGTAGCAGAACACTGCTGATAAAACAAAAATAGTCCTTGGACAATGTAGCTCTCTCGGACAAATAAATAAATAATGCACGGGTAAGGGTGCCGTGATATGTTGTGTGATGCTTTATATATCAAGATTTCTCAATGACACGACGTCTAATTTCACAATACGTCGAATGCTGCTTATTGTCAGTGTCCCCTATTTTACTCTTCATTGTCTTGCTTTTTTGCTTTGTACAAATAAACCATGCTCAAACAGATCTTTAACCGCAGTTCACTTTATGCTAATCTGTAATAGCTTTGTTTTGGATGACCCCAGGAAAATATGTAACCAATTGAGGTCACGACCCAACATTGCGTACATTCACGCTATTGCCGTGTAGATTGCCGCTATTGCCAAATGTGTTGCAGGGTTCACGTTTATGACATCACTTCTGAGCTGTTCCCACAAAAACGTGCCGTCACGTGCATCGGGTGACGTCACTTTTGTTGCCATGAACACAAGTTAAATGATTACACACGTTAATGAACCGTGAAAATCTGAAATTCCAAACAACGAACTGCAATTGTCCATAAAAAAGCATGTGAATGTTTTGAAATCGGAAAGTCATCCTCAACTTCTACATTGACAGACCGACTGTTGTCTGCATATTGGTTCTCAACCTACGCGGTTCGGCACTCTACCGCCCCTCAAAAGCCTTTTATCAAGGCTGCGGCCAAGATACTGTGCAGGGGAAATATCAAACGTATACAGCGATCGTCAGTGCCACATTATGTCAACACGCTAAACACAACACAAAATAAATGCATGATTATCACCGCATTGACTAAGAGGCATGGACATGTGATCTCGCTCTGTATTGTGGGCTAAGTGAACTGGGCAAGGGGGTGGGGGGGGTTAGGCACTGGGGGGGCTGCCACACCAAAATGGTTGATAAGCACTATTTGAACATATCAGATCAAAATTGAAGTGGTCAAAATTTCCAATGTAGCAGGACCCTCCTGATCGTGAGTCTTGAGTCTCGGCGTGGCTGTGTAGGATCAACAAATGAATGGAGGATGGCATGGCACCGCAAGCGGTGGGGGGGGTGGGCGAAGGAGGGAGGCACGGGGCACAGCAAGCGGGTAGTGACCTCCATGACGAGCTGGTGGGCACGTGACACAAGTGTCAGCCCGTTGCTGTGGTTGAACGTTTCGGAGATGTCCTGGCCGAATGTGTAGCCGGCGCCGCGCGGGGAGATGCCCCAGCCTCCACGGTCGTCAGGGTCCGACCACAGCAGGTCACACATGGGGCCCTACGCCACATACATACACACAACAATCAACATTCATACATACACAACATACAACAGTCAAAAACCGTGCACCCAAAAGATACAACATTTACGCACAAAATACACAATATACGCAATAAACACAACACGCATCATGCAGACAAACACGATGTTCAACATTCAGACAAAGACATTTCCTCCCGTATAGTTTTTGGCAGACTATTCCTTTTAGCGAGCACTTATGAAGGCCAGCACGGGGCACAAAGGGGTGGGTGACCACTACCACACACGGCCGCCTTTGTATCCCCAGTGATGACTTTTACACAGCACACGAGGTATTTAAAGCTGAGTCGACCTAGGGGAGACCCATGACAGGTTCAGATTTTCTTAACTTTTGCTGGTAATGAACGTGAATCGTACTTGGGTCGCCGTTTCGCAGCAGTGCGTCAATCGCTACACTACCGCTCCCGAGTGTAAACCACACAGTAACATGCACATATTATAGACACGCCACAAATACATGCACTCCACACGCATGTGCAGCTCACATAGCATAACCTGTGGTTTAACATTCTTCACCTAATTTGAGTAATCATAGCTCATATTAAGTCTGCAAGCCTCTTAAATCATAAACAAGGAATATGGAATATTCAAATGTTTTTTTCTTCTTCTTCTTCTATGCAGGCTATGTTGGCCTGAATGGAGGCCAATTCCAGTTTAGTAGAGGCTCAGGTGGCCAAGTAGCACAGCGAACGGCTCGTAATCGAAAGTTCAAATCCTGGTTGGGGTTTGACTCAGCCCATCGTCCCTTCCAGGGTCAAAAATCAGAATATGTATTTATACTGGAGGAATCCGATGAGCTATAAATCTCTTTTTCACAGATGACAATAACTTAAGTGCCACTTTGCTGTGGTTGCCATATGAATATACTTGCTCTCATCATAGGAATGTGGAAGTTTCGCCACAAGCTCAGCGGCTGTTCAAGAGGATAGGAGCACCAATGACCTCAATACTTGGAATATCGCTTTGGCAATGCCTTCCTGAAAGCGAGCCTCGAGCAAAGATGAGCCTTTAGAGAATAAACAATTTTTTTTGGTATTTTACCAGGTGAGGCCAAGTTATTGAGCTCTTTTTCAGAAGCGACCTGGCCACAAATGATAACTCAAACACAACGGAATATGGTGTGGTGCAGAATACCATGGCAGGTGGCCAGCCAGAGGGGGGGACAAAGAGAGCCGGCAGCAGTCACCACCTTTGACTTTGTCCAAGTTTCTCGTGAAGGGGGATGGGGGGGAAGGGGGAAGGGGTATCCGTACCTCATGAGGGACCTCTTGCAGACGGTCGAGAGCTCGGATGTGGTCCAGCGTGTCGATGGAGGGGGAGAGGCCTCCGTGCAGGCAGAAAATCTACACGGCACACGTGCGCCACCACACACCATCATCAACCAATCCCACCGGGTGGCGCATCCCGGCAGTGCCAACTCATTCCTTCGCAGAGGAATTGTTGTACTTGTGAGAATCAATCAGTGAGGAATGCAGGCTGCAGCATGGATACCATGCAGGAGAAATTTCAAATGTGCGCGGGCCACATCAGCGTGGTGTTACGGCCAAAAACACACTTAATACACGACATGAAACAAATACCTATCACCGCACTCGAGCTGTGGATGTGTGACCTTTCTGGATTGTGGCCTTGTAGCCTTGTGCGGGGGATGGGGGGGCATGCGGGAAGACCACTGATTAAACATTTATGCAAATGTTTCTCCAATGTTACCTTTGCGACAAATGGGACAAAAGACAGGTGAACCAAAGCAAGCAGAACAATGAGAGGTTACACACAAGACCAAACCATGACCTCGAACCATAACAATTCCTCTTATAGCACACGGGCAAGAATTGTTAGAGAGATAATCACCGCAGCCAACTAAAACCAAGTGCCAATTTCCACTGAGAAAGAACGCTCCCCCCCCCACCCCCCCCCCAATGTGAGATCCAGCAAGGGCCAGTCTCTACATCCGGACCCCTGCTGCACACGTTTTGAGCCCACCAGAGCAGAACAGCAGCGCCGGCTACACCGGAGGCGTGCAAGCGAGCTCTCGCGTTCAAATGATGTCAACTCAATTACGATTGCGCAACATCCGATCTGGCGCCACGCAGACGCCCAGAGCGAGCGCTGCTGGCCGTCCACTGCGGCAAACAGCCGTGCTTTCATGGTTGTGGTTTGTTTTTCTTCTCTTTTGAGAGTCCTTGAAAATTACGTTTAAAATTCGAAAAGAAATCCAAACGGTCGGACGATGGGGCCGGCCACACAGCGCCCATCATTACCGACTGCGTACTAACAGGGAAGTGATATGAGGATGAAGTTTCAGGAAATGACCCCGACTTGAGGTTTCCGTTTGTGTGCGACTGGCAATCAATGCAGGTCAGAACAGAGAATATTTTTGTTGAAGCTTTAAAATATAACACGCGTTAAGCGACTTACATCACATCTCAAACACTTATAAGAGCACCCACCTCCCCAAGGGGCAGCTGTCCCTGTGTGGCACAATGTATACTTGGCATCTGGTCTGCAACGGGATTATTCCTCTACCAGTGGGGGAAGGGGACCAGGCAATGACTGCCATATATAATCTCAATGGAGTCATTTTTAATGAGTACACGCAAAACTCTATAATTTGTTTGATTTCCTATTAAGACTATAAAAAAGTGGACAATTATAGGAGGCAGCAGGACACACTGCTAAATTCTACACTACCCAGTGGCTCTTACCTGGCACTGATCAAAGGCACACAACAGCGTGAAATGAAAACGTATTTCTTTAGAACTGCTTTCAGCGTTCAGTTTGTCGCCCTTACCCGGCACCTCCGATTAGCGCAGCTGGCTCGGCACGGTGCGAAAGAAGTTCAACATCGCACACACACCAGATCCGGCACCGCGCTCGTACCTGTCTGTCGACGAGCGCTGTGAGGGGGAGGAAGTCGAAGAGGTCGGTGAAGTACTTCCACACGTTGGCGTTGCCGTACTTTCGCAGGCACTCGTCGTAGAAGCCGTAGACCTGCGTGATCTGTCGCGACTCGTGGTTCCCGCGCAGGATCGTGATGCGTTCGCGGTAGCGCACCTGCCGGGCCGGGGCGCGCACAAACGCCGCGTCACACTCGGCGCACACTCGGCACGCACTCGCGGCAACCCACGTTGCGAGCGTTGCGCGTTTTTAAATTGTCATTTATCACCGGGAAACAAACGCGTTCGTCACACTTGCGCCATTTAACTATTTTTAACTTTTTATTTTACCAGGCAAGGCTCAATGAGCTATGTAGCTCTTTTTTAGAAGCGACCGACCGCAAATGATGGCTCAAAGAAGTAGCTTATGTTGACGATTATAGCATACATACATAGCAGTCAAAAATCCACACCACCACGGGGAGAACATCCAAACTCCAAATATACAGTAGGCGACAGGGTCGGGATTGAACCCATGACCTCCTGTATACCCGACGAGGTAGTTAATATTAACAGTCAACAGTCTTTGCCTATAAACACATCATGGTGATGCACTGCATGTCGACACCAGTCTAGTGCTTGCTTGTGCTGAATAAATGCTGCTGGGATTATTTACCCCCAAAAGGCCATGTGTTATAGGTTATATTTGCCTGTTTCTAAATGTAACTTACTCACTGCCGCGAAGAGAACGTGGTTGTCACACTCGCGCCATGAGTAAAAAGTCAGAGCGATTTCCGGCTCGCATGAGATATTGAGGTGCTGCTCAACGCTGAGCCAGTGGTGGAAATTCCACGTTCCTATGGTGGGGGCGAGTCTATCTATAGGGCAACCAACGTTGACTTCCCAATTAGGCTCCCGCCTGGTTAATGGTCATGGAACTGACGGCAAAACTAAAACAAATTCACAGTCCATCAGTCACACACGGCTACAAGGAGTGCATAATTTAAGCAGCGTTGTATCACAAGCAAACTACATTTAGGGCCATCGTGCTATTGACGAATGTGTTGAGTATGTCTTGTGTGCGTGTGCAACACTGACAACGCAACATCACCAAAAATACTTGTTTGACACACGTTGAAAATTCACATATTTCATTTAACCAGGCGAGAACTCAAGGGACAGGAATAATGCGACAAGGCTAAGGACAAATGTAGTCTCATTGAAAGAGTGACCCTGGGTCAGTGGCTTCTGCTTCCAACTAAGGGGTGCCGCGGTGGCAAGATGTTAACTACCTCGCCTGGTATAAAGGAGGTCGTGAGTTCGATCCCGACCTTAACATCTGTATATTTGGAGTTTGCATATTTTCCCCGTGGTCGCGTAGATTTTTCTCCGGATACTCCGGGTTTTTCCCTCCACATTTAGAAACATGCGTTTTAGAGTATTTGGCTGCAATACATGTCCACATGATAAACCACTTCATTGGGCTATCATTTGTGATAGCCAGGTCGCTCCTGAAAGAGCTATATAGTATAGTAAAATATTTTTTTAAAATAGTTTTTATAGTTTGTCGCCCCATCTCTACCTTGAGCGCAACGAGCAGCGACACAGTCTCCACCGAGTAATATCCCCGGTCCACGTAGTCGCCCATGAAGAGGTAGTTGGTGTCCGGGGACTTCCCGCCGATGTTGAAGAGCTCGATGAGGTCATGGAACTGGCCGTGGACGTCCCCGCACACAGTGACGGGGCAGCGCACCTCCTGCACATTCGACTCCTTCGTCAGGATCTCCTTGGCCTGAGAGAGGGTGGGGGGGGGAGATGGTGAGCGAGATTCGCAGCCAACGCATGGCACCATCAGCACCTCTCGCTCATTTACTCAAATATTAAAACATAAATATGCTCGCTCACACCATTGCTGGGGTAACGGCCTCCAGTAGCGAGTTCTAGAGAGTGCTTTAGAGAATATTTAGCCACCCGGACCAAGGGTCCACCCTATATCGTCCGATTTTACTGTATCCACATTTTGCCACACCACATGGAACATGTCAATCAACTGGGTGGTTTCCTTAACAGACAAATTACAACAAAAATATATAAATGATTGAAATTTATACACTCAGATGCGGTCTACAAATGTTCTTTGATCTTGGGCTATAAGTGAATCGTGGCTTGCTGGGCGACAGGGCTCAGCAGGTATGTTCTATTTTTTACGCATTTGCCGAGCAGACGCAATGGTTCCTACATGTTGAGTGGCCAGCAACACACGGCAGCACGATCAGAGTTAAAATAGACAAGTGTTAACCTTTCTTGAATTGAGCAAGGATGAAAAAAAAAGCTTGGGAAAGAGACAAGGGGGAAGAGGGGGGAAATAGACGAGGGGAGGAATTCCAGGCTGCAGCAATGCAGAGAAAGAAGCAGAAAGAGAAGTGAGATAACTTGCAATTTGGTGAGTCGATGAGTATGTATGTTGAACGTCTTTTTCACCATAGTAGCCAACCATGCGAATCGGAGGTGCAATGAGTGTGGTATGTATAGTATAGAGGCTCAACACAGCCCGGGACGGTACTAAAAATGGATCAATCCGAGCATGTGGATGGAACATGTACTCTGAATAACAATGCTATACACGTCCACTCGTTCTTTTGGCCGGTACCGCTCCAACCGTTATATATAACTCAAAGCCAGTAGTGTCGAATGAAATGTCCATGACAGGAGGACGAGTTGCACAAAAGACACTGCTGCTGCTATGATACGGCCGTGATGGGAATGATTTAAATGCCGGCTTGTTCCGTTCTGTGTTCTACGGGTTATTCGTATCACCATGGGCTCCTGCCTCTTCCATCTAATTCACAACTGCGAATTCCGTATAACTTTAGTCGCAATTGTATTTCACACGTATCCTCGTCTCTTTACATACCGAGTGTAATTTATCCTGAGCAGGGTTTTGTTACAGGAAATACATTTAAGTTTGATTTATTTGTGCGTGCGCAGTTGTTTTATTCAAAAATTTTGCATTGATATTATTTAGTGCAGTCTTCATCAGTGCTGGTCCATTTGGAATATTCTGTTACGTATTGACATTTAGTTATGACGGCTGTGCGATTCTCAATTTAAATTATTAATGCTGTACACCGTAGCAATAACGCCTATGTTATTGAGACTATGTATCAATACTGTATACAGTGACAATTCACATTGTCACTGTTAAACTGACAGTGATAATGTCTGGGTATAAATTCTATTCACAGCAGCTATGTCTAGGTATCAATATTACATAGTAGTTATGTCTATGCTATGGACACTAATTAACGGAGTATGCAGTCACGCTGTTGATACTGTAACATTTGTTATTACAATTGTTTATTCAGGAAATCCTCTGCGAGTCTCAAGACTATTTTTCAGGAGGGTCCCTCCTTTATTGAGCTATCATTTGTGGCCAGGTTGCTTCTGAAAAATAAGTTTATACCCCAGTGGGTTTTAACGAGTAAGATGGGGATGGTTTCGTTTTATTTGTATGTGTTTTGGTGATTCGTTTACCTTTCATGTACTTTGCACTACTATCATGTTTTTGTATTGTTTGTTGTAACGTTCTTACCCGCCACACTGGACATCTGTTAAGAGCTTTAGAGCTCATCGGATTCCTCCAGTATAAATACATATTCTAATTGCTGGGTGTTTCCCAATTAAGTTATTTCAGTTTTTTTTATTTGACCAAGACGCCAGCACACAATGGCCTACTTTTTCATGAATGATGTTAGGGGATTTTTAACATCTACGGTTAAGCAAACAGTACAACATATGTTATGGTTGTCACACCCAGGGTGTAACCAGGGCGGCCTGTACAATACGAACCTCTGCAAACAAACCTCTGCAAACAATGCTGTACAACACAGTAACTGTTTATCAATGAAAGTTAAGTAAATTTTGTTTATCCAAGTGAAAACTCGAGAGACCAGTTAAAATATCAGTTGCAAGAGCGACCAGGGTGACCAAAATACAATTTACTTAATAAACAAATAAAATAAGGTATAACAATGGAGCAAATATAAATTAATACAACCAATTGTGTCGCATGAGAAATTGGAAATATTTAATAAACAACCCAGTTTTCATTAATACATTATCTGTAGCACAATTCGGCTCGGGCAGATCTTTTTAGTCCGATCATGGCACAATTAGAATTGTTACAGAATCACATGCAAGTCGACAAGGATATGTCAAAGTCAATTGAAGTTATCAAAGAATCGACAGTTTAGCATCGCGTTGTTATTCATAATTGGATAGTAGCCAAGGACATTCTTGAAGTGACGGAACACCATGAGCTTGGGGCATAAACAGAAAAAGAGTGAAACCCGTGAGAGATTCCTTCTGTCCTTGGTAAAGTGAACACGGTATTGTGGGCTTCTACGTTCGAGGGTTTTGGTCATGAATAAACGCTTGGGATTGGTAAGGGGTCGAGTTATGTTTGTATGGATAAAAAAAATAATCATGCACCCAATGAATCTCCCTGCCAGTTGAAAGGGCATGATAAATGGTCTTAGATTAAAAATACGAGCGGAATACCGTAGTTTGTAAGATAAACAGTTTGACAGAATGAGATATAAGGTTTGGCTAATCCAATGGTCCAATACTCTTTGGTTCTATTCGGTAAAGTCACGTAGGTAAAAAATAAAACAAAAATCACGACGTTTCGGCCACAACACAAGTGGTGTAATTGTTTGATTTGCATGACACCAGCAGAGTCTATGACATGTATAGAGGTAGCATCTATCAAATGTTTTAGCTAAAGATCTTTCGTTTCTTTACAAATTTCCCATCGTCATTTTTCATTACTTCCTTAAATACTTTTGACGAGGATTGAAGTTGAGATGAGAATCAAGCCAGATGCCAAGATAGTAGATGTGGAAGGAAAGATGTTCAAGTGCTGTGCGACAGAGTGGTTATGGGCAAATTGCATTGGCTCGGAGCTTTCGTAGAGCAGGGGGCTCAAAGGAACAAGCTTGGTCTTGTTTGCACTAAGGTGACATTAAAGCGATAACATTTTTTGAATGGTTATAAAATCGTCTTGTTTTAGTTGTACATGAATGTAGATGGCTGGCGTATAATCATGTCATCGGCATAAAGTTGAACTTCAGAATGAGCTATAGTTGAAGCTATTACTCTATGTTGAACGTCTTTCGCACCGTACTACGACCGTGCTAATCGGAGGTGCGTTGGAAGGACAACAATCTTAAACACAAGCAGCATTTTTCTTACTGAATGAGAATAGGACCGAGCACAAAATTCCGTGGAACACGTTTGGTGAGTGAAATTAGAAGGTTGACCATGGTAGGTGGGTTGGGGAAGGAGATCCAGGCTACGGGGCAAGTAGAGAATCAGCGACTTCCGGCTATGCAGATATTCACGGAGGGTTTTGAGAGGCCATTGCCAATTTGAGCACAGAACAATGTGGGGGGGGTGGCTGGGATTGGATTGTGAGTCAGTGGATCCCGAGTACTAGGGGGTGATGTGCCTTCGTTTACAATGATGTAAACAGTAACAAATGTATGAAAACTAAGAACAAATTTTACCCTTTCTGGCAATAAAACAGGAGGCGTTAAGATAGAAATCTTTTGCAAGGAATAGTCTGCATTAACCACACACGCCACTTGTGGTGAACATGCAAACAAACATGCTCTGATAATATATGATGCATTGTTTTCGAAACCTATTGGTCTACACCTTGTTTAGGGCCTTATCTCACTAGCGTCATACCTGAGAACGCTAAAAGGCGAACAGTACAAAGACAATCCACGATCAGAGCATTCACAGCTTGGGGTGAGCAGCTACAAAATGGGATACCTTTATCCAGTAAAGCATTAAAAGGAGAAACCTAATCTTATTTTTTTAATACTTTGATACTGGCAAAAAGGCCCATTTAGTAACAATAGTATTGTTATGATGCGTATCTGTTCAAAGCCCCGCAACAAGTCACACAAGGTGGAGAACAAGGGTCGGTCAACCATAATAACATGAGCCATGATTTTTTTCGGATTTCGTAAAACAACTCGATATTTCAAGAGCCGCAATGCAATGTGAATACGAGAGGGCCCTTTAGAAAATAACGCAACACAAAGCGGTCGTAAAGAGCCGCAGGTTGCCGACCCCTGGTCGAGAACTCCCAATCGCCCACCCCGTCTCTCCCCATCGCAATGCGTTGTCGACTCCCCGTTAGGGGGGGGGGGGGGGTCATCCATTTAGTACGTACGCATGGAGGGGGCAGGGTTAACCCAAATGCCTACGCTTGTGTATGGGGGTCTACTGACAATGTACGTACGCATTGTAAACGGGGGAGGGGGTGAAGCCTCGATAATTTGTCTACATTGGCCTTCAAATGAGTTAGTCCGGCGAGGTATAAAAAGTACGCGTGCGTACGGGGGGGGGGGGGGTCAAGTTGACATTTTTGCGTAGGTACTAAATCGATGGCCCCTTACTGTTCAAGTCCAGGCTCACATCCCTGTCTCTTTGTTCCTTTCGTTTTGGTCTGCCCGCCCGTTCGGAAATATCCATCAATAACATTGGCCTGCATTGGCAACGTATCGGGAAAATGGTCCGTCATGGTTGTAATTCAGGGTCCTTTATGCATGAACGCGTCACCCATTATGTATTTTGTTCACCATAATTGCACGTTCCATTTTTGAGTTTCGCGAGTGCCATTTGATGTACAATCGCATCCAATCCGTACGTTAATGTACGAGTCCACACAATAAAACCCATTGTATGCGGGGCACGGTATAATATCCGCCCACGTTATTTCGAGGCCCCCCGCTACCCACCCACCAACACTGCGCTCCGCGAGTCCCCAGGGTACTGAATGGGGGGGAGGGAGCCGGTCTCAGAGAGCGAGCGGCGACCGCGCGCCGCGCCCTCGGCCAATAGCAAGCGGCGACACTGCAGGCCGCCGCGACCTCGGCCAATGGGGGGGGACGCGGAGCGCCGCGGACTCGCGGACCTCTGCACCAATGGCAGCGCCCGACAGAGGAGGCCCGCCGCGCCCTCGGCAAATGGAGAAGGGCGGCAAAGAAAAATTCGGTGGGCCCCCCCACCCCGGAGGCCTCCTGCCCAATGGGAGTGCCCGACACGGAGAGCGCCGGGGCTGCCGGAGCCTCCCCGAGCCGAGTCTCCCGCCTTACCCGTTATGGCGCCGCCTCTACACCCCAACACAAACCCACCCTGCCGTGCTGGAGCCGGTAAAGGAATGGAGGAGACAAGGGGTATATGGGAAGGGGGAGGCAATGCGAGCCCCGGTTCCCGCGTTCTCACGAACACCCCCGCGCGCACTCGCTCGCTTTGCCCGAGGCCCGAGACCCGAGGCCTCCGCCCATCCCGCTCGCTCGCCCGCCCGCCCGGTCACCCACCTTCTCGCATAGCGTCTTGACTTGGCCCTCGGACAGCTGCTTGCACTCGGACAACTGCTCGATCCACTGATCCAGTTCCTTCACCGAGGACTTTTCCTCCATGGTCGATTTTCACCGCGCGGCGGTTCGTGTGCGAGCGGGCGCCGGTTCCTCGCCTCCACTCAGCAGCTCCGCCGTTTCTCGCCCCTTCTTCTCCCTACCGCGCAATGGCGGCCAGAGACACGTGACGTCACCGCCTTCCTGTCGTGGAACGTCACGGCCCGCCTTCTCGTGACGTCACCGCACCCCCCCCTGACTCGGATATTAGGTACCGCCTCTAGATGACGTCACCAACTGCCCACCCCGTTTTGGATAACACGCCCCCTGGCCTTCTCGTGACGTCACGCGGGAAAATCAGGGTCCCTCCTCTGTAAAACTTCAGCACCCGACCCCCTCCCCTTCATCTGAAAATAAGGCCACGCCTCTTTGTGACGTCACACGAGGAGGCGTCGCTTGATGACGTCACGACCACCCCGCCCACTACTCCAGTCAAGTGACGTCACGCGGCCTGCAGGGGAGAAGGAAGGCCGCGCGTTCGCCGTGCCGCTCGCCGCATCTCCCTCGTCCCCTCCCCCCGCGCCGCCATGAATTTCCTCCGCGGTGTCATGGGTAGCCATGCCGCGGGGCCGCAGCCCACGGACGCCGAGACGGTGAGAGGCGGCCGCGCGCAACGCGCTTACACGGGGTGGAAGGGTGGGCATGGGCGAGGCCGTGTGGTGCTAGTGGCCTCTGCCCGGCGCGGGGCGCGCCGAACCCGCGGAATGAGCAGGCGAGGCCGTTGCTCGAGTGCAGGCCGCGGCCTCGGATGTTGACGTGTCAGACCCCGTCGCAGGGAGCCGCGCCCCGGGCGCTTCTCGAGGTCCCCGTGCCCCGGGGTCCCCTCTCCCCTGGCTCACGACGCACAGAACTCTGCTGTCCTGGCTCGCCTTCGCTGCATTCCCCTCTCTGGGTCTCTCTTACCCTTATTTTCACTTTCCTGATCGATGTTTTCCCTTGGTCTCTCCTGCGTCTTCTTCATTGCATTGCCCTTCCTGGTCGTCCTCACCCTGGTTGAACTGCCCTCCCAGCTCCTCGTTAAACTTGACATCACTTTTCCACGTCTCGCTTCCCTTGGTTGGACTCTCAACGTCTTCTGACATTCCGTGGATTTCCCTGAATCTACATTCTCTTGGTTTCACCTCCTACTCTCTGGGTCCTGATTGATTTCCCAACCCTTCCTTGGAATTCTAACCCTTGGCATCCACATATTCCTTCGTCTCCTCCAAGGAATGCTTTCCAGCTGTCTCCTAACACTGGTTGGACTGCCCCCCCCTCCCGCACTGGTCCCTGGACCCTGAGCGCTTATGTGGGGCCCCGGAGTTTGTGACACGTCATTGGTGCGGACGCGTTCAGAGTTTACTCCGAGCGCCTGCGACAACTTAATCCTTCTTTGCCTGTCTGCCGTTCCGCGTCAGTGTCAGATTGTAATCGGGTTCATTGTCACGCGCATCGACGATGCATATGCACGAGAGCCACAAAACCTCTCTTTGCATATAGTTCTTATGGCTACGCGCCGTGAATACCGCCTCTTAGCAGATCCACAGTGGAGTCGTGGCCCAGTGGTTAGTGCACTGTGCTACGAACCCGCTGACCCGAGTTAAGAGTCCATGCGTGGCTTAAATCGATGGCGAGTGATGGTCTAAACCGGTTCAGTTTCAGTTTATTTATTTTGCTATAGCCCTGTGAGCCATTCGGCTCTTGAATCGGGTGCAAACACAACAAACAAAAAAACACGAACAAGAAAACATCTTAAAGTGACTATGTGACTGTGAAAACAGAAAATCCATGAAAAAAAAAACAGCTAAATATTCCTGAAAAAAAGCACCGTACACCAACGCTGTGTGCAAAAAATCCCAGTGGGATGCAAGTCAAATAACAACCACAAGGAAACTTCGATAAAGGCCATCAGTCTAACTCCGTACCACAACAAAACAAACATGTCCAAAACCAAAATACGTTTTTGAAATCACCAAAAAATAAAGCCATAATAGCAACGTAACAGTGATCATAGGGACTGCGACCGAATTTTTACAATAAACTACACTCTGAACATCTACCCCCCCTCTCCCCGCAACCTTCACCAGCCCGCACGTACCAAATTGTATGGTCGAACAACTCCCATAGCGGACAACGTGGAGAGGTCTTCAACCAACAGTGGATTCACAAAATGCTGTTTTGTAATTATATTTAAAACGGATGCAAGCATGGTAGCGACACTTAATTAAACAAATAACATCACCACATTTGTCATTAACACTACCACATAACAGAAAACATCCCCGACATTTATGTCAACGGAGAAAGGTCAGAACGAGTACAGTACCTTGTATTTGAATATTGCACTGTATTTAGCTATGTTAAACCAAGTGATTTCTCATAAGCAAAACATTTTACAACTGCAGAGTCTTAAGGTCCTTTGAAGTAGGATTGTTAAGTTTTTGGGTTTTTTCCGTTACCAGTAACCGGTTGAGAAAAAAAACTTGGCAGTTTACCGCACTTTAGAAATGTCTAGAGCAATAATCATAACATGTGTTGACCTTCTCAACTTAGAATGGAAGGGTACTACCGAAGTGTAATGGTTAGTGCACTGGACTTGCAATCTACGAGGTGGCGTTCACCCTAGGAGGTCGACTTTAGCCTCGCCACACCACACACGGGAAGGGCTTTGTGAAATCGACGTGCTGTGCATGCCGTGTTGATATTTCTACAAGTGTTACCGAGTGGACGTTTCTGTACCGAGAGATATTTGGTCATGTTGCGCGGCATTAGTGTTGTTTCTTTCTCATTTGCGAGAGACCCGCTGTGTCTGTCGCATTCCTGTGATGCACCACGCAGTCTTTTCTAGTTTGGGTTTTTGGTAAATAGCTGCCATTCACACCGTATCGGCGGCCGTGATAGACCGATTGTAATAAATACGTTATGTGTTCCGAGCAGTATTTGTGTTTATTATTTGTAGCAAAGAAAACACGACGTGAATGTTGTTGTTTGATTAACAAAAAAATGTGATCTCAACCGCAGGGACAAAGTACAAGGACTGTAGTCCAGACTTATCGCTTCTATTTGGCAAATGACACAATCCTGCATGGTAAAAAAACACGCAGCACATTTGCGGACTGGAGATGTCAAGGCAGGCTGAGCGTCAGTGCAGATACCTTTGGTGAATAAATAAAATAGGGTAAGCAGACAGTATACCTACCCCGTTTATCTGTCCCTCCACATCAAAAATTAAAATGTCTTTTACTCATCCTATCAGCCGCATTATTTTGTGATGGTGTATACATTCAGCTGCATTGGTTCAACACAAGCAAAACTCTGGGTTGGTTTTGATATTCAGTATCTCACGCGCTGAGTCAGGCCATGAACCAACCTAGTGAACTGCCAGATGATTATATACACAGGGACCTCTGTTAGATATGGATCCTAGGTTGATTAAAAAAACCGAAATAAAATGTAACACAAAGTAACCACACTGACGCTAATCATAACCCAGATGCAGGCAAGGTGGATCAAGGTGACCCAGGTGAGGGATCTATTGATGCTGAGCCCTGTGTGTGTCTGCGTGTGTGCGGGGAGCAGGTGCAGAAGTTGTGTGACCGCGTCGCGTCCTCCACACTGATCGAGGACCGGAGGGGTGCCGTGAGGGCTCTCAAATCGCTCTCCAAGGTTAGGAGAGCACTCCTCCATTGAACAAGCGCATGGGATTGATTTCCATGTGTATTGTATACACATACACTTACAAAGTATATACTGAATTCATCACGGCAATGCTAATAGTGATCAGTCACATTTTGTATAATATGTGGTAGATTCACCCAAGGTGCCCTTATAATAACCTTAATTTTAGTAGCTGGAATGGATGACATGAAACTATTACCATATTTTCAGGATAATAAGGTGCTCTAGAAAGTAAGGCACATCCCACACTTAGTGCCAGTATCAATAAGTTGATACGAATCTGGCCACACACACCCAGTAACACTCACACACACCTACCGGATTATAATATGCATCCTCGACTCTTCCTTTAAACTACAGGTGGAGAAAATGTCTCAATCTAGACATTACGGTAATCATGCAGCATTCAGTAATTTACCACGCTTGCTACTTCTCAAGCCTCACAATAGAGTGCATCGCACGTCACCATAGCACACTTAAACGCGTGTCATGCTGCGGTCATTTTTAATATGCCTTACCAAAGAGCCATGGTGTGACAGCCTTAACTTAAAATCAGACAAAGAAAGACGTGCTCCAATTTGTGCCGTTATTTTTGCAGCGATGTCGGCGCTAATTTGACACGTGCTCTGTCCCCCGGCGCGAGCCACATGGCTCAACAGAGACCACCAGGAGAAGCCAGCTTGCCGATCATCGTGGTTGGGGTTATTGGGGGTAATGAGCTGTATGAGATGAGTTCCCCGTCAAGACCCCTGAGTGTTGCCTTGCATCAGGCTTGCTGTTCTCAGCTGATTCGTAGCAGAACTAATTAACCATTGTGTTCAATTAGATATTACCATCATCCTTTGTATTCTTCGTGTCCTTCCCAGCAGCGATTAAATCGGCGACCACGTTGCGCTCTGTGCCGTGCAGCTAGAAACACAATGTCTCTCCCAAGCGTGCTTCTAAGCCTGATTGTTGACATCATGTATGCTCGCCGGGATGTTTGCTATTATAAGCTCTGTAAAAAGAGATGGGCTTAATTAGTGTCCCAGACTACAGCCGACATCACGCTGGCCTTGTGTGTGTGCATGTGTGCTCTGCTCTCCCGCTCACGACAAATAAAAGTGACGAATATCTTAACCTGTTCTGGGCTTCCTCTAGTTTGACTCAACCTTAAATGAGTACCTGGTGCTGTGTGTAAATATCAGCACTGGGGAGACAAAGGCGGCCGGCGTGGTGCTAGCCACCCACCCTCTCGTGTGCCATGCCTGCCTGAATAGGCGCTCGCGAACAGCATTTTCCCAAACAGCTAAGGCTATATGGGGGACATTTGTTATTGTTTAATCCCTGAGCTTAACGGTTTTGCTCATTGTAGAAATACCGCATGGAGGTCGGCACGCAAGGCATGGAACACCTTCTGCACGTCCTGCAGACTGACCGGTACGCACACACCCCTGTGTGTCACTGCTCTGCTCACCAGGAGCCTGGCTGCACAGCTGCACACATGCATTTGCATCATAGATGCAAATATAGGGACATACGTTTCCTATGCGAGGTTCCAGCGCAGTGCCCGGACACTCCACTCCTGTCTTTCCACGTGTCTACCACTCACGCCAGCTGCACATCCTCATACAAACACACGAGTGGATTTTTTTTTTACTTTCCACAGTTACTGAGCACAGCGGCCAGCAACAAACAGCACTGTAGAATTCTTACAAAAGATTGGGCAAGGTTATTTTCTAAGAGCTCTGGAAAAGAGATGGTCTGGAGGGAATTCCAAAGTGGAGCAGGGCGAGGGAAGAATCAGTAAGAGAAGTGAGGTGACTTGGAGCATGGTGAGTGGACAAGGGAATGGATGGGTGAGCAACTGATTGAGTGGGTAACTGAATGAATTGGTGGGTGAGGGAGTGAATGAGTGTGTTGGTGGGTGAGTGTGTTGCTGTGACCTCTGGTGCAGGGATTTAACACAAGGGTTGTGAATGAGAGGAAATCGTGTCCGGTAGAGAGTCCTCTAAGCGGGCGGGGAGGGATCGATGAAGACGTGGCCATAGGAAGCTGGGCCAGATTAGGTGCCCACATAGCCAAGAGTAAAATATCCCCAGTGCAGGGTTTCACCTTCACCTTTCGAACTGAGAGGCGAGGGCAAATGAACCACGTGGTGTCTCGGGCCACTGTGCCGTTTGTACGTTCACACGAGCAATCAGTGCTCTCGTTACTCGCACTTCACTTTAAACGGTGACCGGTTCCTGATTTTAGGAACTGGTAAACGGTTCCCAATACGCTAAATGGTTAACGGGATGTCATTTTGTAAATTCTGGTTTTATGACGATGACCTAACAGACGCAGCTGGCCATGGTCTCTCTTACTATCCACATGTCTCTCGTCACTCAGGTCCGACGCGGAGATCACGGCCTTCGCGTTGGACACGCTGTGCAACATCGTCTCGAACGACGTGGGTGAGGAAGAAGGTAATTTGCGCTCACAGCGCCGCTGTCCCCCACGCCCTTTCACCGTTTCTGCTGCCGCCGCTGCCGCCGTCCTCGTTGAGTTGAGTTGCGGGGAGTGGCGTGCGAAGCCGGCTGACGGTGGCCCGTGTGTTCCGTTCATGCTCTCTTCTCTGTGTCCCCCCTTGCATTCGCCGGATGTCAGAGGACGCAGAAGGTAAACGACGTGACGTCACGCCCGCTTGTGGGAGGAGGCTTGCCTGCATGCCGCACTAACACACGTGGTGTTGCTGCGTGCCCCCGCGATACTTGGAATGCCTCTAACTCTTTATCGGCTGCGCACGCGGGACCTTAACGGATGGATTTAACGCTCTGTTTAACCTCTCGGATGGCTTCGTTTTGGGATAAATTTCACTCGAGCACGCAGAACGGCGCTGCTGCCCACGACGTTGATAACACCGCACACGTGGTGGTGCTGCTGTGGTGTAATAATGGCTTTTCACGCTGGTCGCCGATTTGATTCCCACCAGCGCGGCAGTCAAACAACGGTGGCAAGTTTCTTAAATCGTACCCGCCTCTGTCCACCCAGCAGCAAGCATGGGCACACCACAGCAGGTCAATGAGCAGGTTACTGGCCATGGTGGAAGAGTAGGCCAAAGTACCCTCTGGAGGGGCTATCTAGAACCCCTTTTGCGTGAGCAAGCAATAGCAGGGCTGCTACCTTGCATTTTAAACGTAATTGACAAAGGTAAAAGGCATTGTTGTCACAATCCTGCCTAAAATTCCACGTATATTTTGTCATCGTAATGCATTGGAGGAAGAGGTTGGTGGGGAGCTCGGGTTGGGTGGTGGTGTTGTGACTCGAGTGCTGCCGGGGGATTGCGTATGGTGCGGCGGTCTGAATGCCATGCGCGAATCACCGCTTGTCGCCGCTGGGCGGTGTGAGGGTGCCGGGTACGAGAGGCGGTGCGGCCCCAACGTGCGGGTCGGCTCTTATCTGGTAGTTGCATCGAAGGTTATAAACGCTCGTTTTGAAAGTGGAGTCGGCCCAAACGTCCTGATGTAGGACCACAGAGCTTAGGGGAACATTTTTTGGCAGCGCCAGTTGTGGCTGCGGTTTTCCCGCGCACGCCTTCGTGTGATGGCTGCGCACGTCACGAATTTGTTCCTGCAGTGTGCACGAATGGCACTCTGTAAGAATAGAACGTTACGTTATTATTGTAAAAAATATTACTCTTCGGGTTATAAGATGCTCCAGACAGTGAGACGCACCCCACACTGAAACCTGGTGTCAATATAGTTACACAAACTGAGTCACGAAGCCAAAGGACCCCCTGTTTAGCCTTAATGGACTGTTGTATCAAACGCTGTTAGCGAGCACCTATGAAGGCTGCCACGGCACACGAGGGGGCGGGTGGCCAGAATCACGCCCGATCGCCTTTGTCTCCCCAGTGACGATGATAACACACCGCACCAGCTACTAATTTGAGGCTGAGTCGACCTAGTGGAGGCCCAGGATAGGTTCAGATAATCGTCGCAAGCTGGAATCGATCTCGGTTCCCGGGTACTTAGCGCGGTGTCCACTCTAACCACTACACCACCGCTCCCCACAAACCTAGTGACACACACAGTGACACACTGACACACATGCAGCTACTGGATTTTAAAACAAACTCGCCCTTCCCCCAAACTTTTATCTTAAAATTAAAATTAAACAATAAACAGCAAAACAAACAACGAACGAATATGCACGAACAATAGAAGCAATAAATTAACCACAATATGAACAATAACCAACGATAAATCAACTACAATACAAATAACATAAACCATTAAAACAATACAAACACAACAAAAGAAACAATACAATAAACAATATGAACAAAGCACTTGGCTTTTATGTAGTCGTCTTCGTGCAGAGCACATCAAGCCGCTTTACAATAAATAAACAAATAACAAAATCACTTGGTCAACTCAAAGAAATTATAAATAACAAAAGAAATACGTCCGCTTGCCTTACATGCTAGACAGAACCATATACGATACAGTACTATATACTGCACTGCAGCGTTTCCGCAGAGGGGGAACGGCAGCTGCCGTGGGCCACTTGAAGAGTGAACAAGTTTGACACTGGGACGTTGAACAGTCACGTTCCGACCACTAATGAGCCCAGGTGCACAGTTTAAGTTTTTCAGTTTCATTTATTTGGTATAGCCCTTTGAGCCGTTCGGCTCTTGAATCGGGTGCAACTGCAACAAACAAAAAACAAAAACATGAACAAGAAAACATCATTTAAGTGACTATGTGACTGTGCAAACAGAAAATCCAGGAAAAAACAGCAACATATTCCAGAAAGAGCACTGTACACCAACGCTGTGTGCAAAAATCCCAGTGGGATGCAAGTCAAACAACAACAACAACCACAAGACAACTTAGATTAAGGCCATCAGTCTAACTCCGTACTCCGAGATAAGAGCTGCCCTTGCACATGTGTGGGCGTTATAGGGCGCGTCTGGGCTTAACATCTCACCGCGGTGGTGAAATGTTAACTACCTTGTCTGGTTTGTAGGAGGTCATGGGTTCGATCCCGACCCTGCCGCCTGTATATTTGGAGTTTTGCATGTCTCTCTCCCCGTGGTCACATGGATTTTTCACCGGTTCCTCCGGTTTTTCCCTCCACTTTTAGAATCAATGTGCGTTTTAGAGTATTGAGCTGTCATTTGTGGCCAGTTCACTTTTAAAAAACAGCTTTATAGCTCAGTGGGCCTTACCTGGTAGATAAAAAAATAGTTTAATAGTTTTAATCGTTTAATGGTGCGAGGTCATAACATTCGCTTGTCCCATGCGGTTGTCACCGCGACACGCACCGTGACCTCCCCCTCCGCAGAGGAACAGCACCACCAGCAGCAGCAGCAGAAGACGGCCGCAGAGGAGGACCTGGGCGCCCAGTTCACCGACGTCATCATCCAGAAGCAGGAGAACGTGTCGCTGCTGCTCTCCTTCCTCGAGGTATCCCGAGTCTCGACCCCGTCGAACGTACACGCGCACGAACGAGCGACACGCTCTGTGCAGTGTCACTGCACTGACTCCCCCCCCCCTCCCCGTATGTACATATTTATGTTGAACTTCTTTTGCACCATAAGTAGCCAACCGTGCTCATCAGAGATGCGCGGGAAGGATAACAAAAATATAATACAGCTATTGGCTTCACGTGATGTCACTCCACAGTACCGCTCTGATGCGATGTTGCACCACCACCACCATGTCACAGCACGTGATTTCACTCCATGTGATCCCTTCACGACGATGTCACTCGATCGAATGTGATCAACGTTCGTAGTCGCGTCCCTTTCAGCTGGCGACTGGGCAGGTGGCCACGTGTGTGTGATCGTGTGTGGTGCGGTGCGGTAGTGTAGTGGTTAGCGCCCTGCGCTATGAACCCGGTAACCCGGGTTCGATTCCCGCTCACGGCCAACACCAGTGACGATTATCTGAACCGGTCCTGGGCCTCCCCTATGTCGACTCAGCCTGAAATGAGTACCTGTTGCGGTGTGTAAACATCGCCATTGGGGAGACAAAGGTGGTCAGGCGTGGTGCCGGCCACCCACCCCCTCGTGTACCGTTCTGGTCTTCATAGGTGCTCGCTAACAGCACTTGCCCCTACAGTCTGTTAAGGCTATACGGGGGATCTTTGTATTTTTTTGTGAATAAGTGTGTGTGTTAATGTGTGTGTGTGTTTCGCCCACAGGAGTTTGAGTTCCCCGTGCGATGGGCGACTGTGAAGCTGCTCACGGTACTCTTGAAGAACCGTGGACCGGCCGTGCACCAGATCATCCTTGTCACGCCCACAGGTCAGCCTCTACCGATCCTCATCCCCACCCTGCCCTGTGTCACCCTGACCCATCTTTACCTAACCTGTTCTAGCCCGACTCACCCTACCCCAACCCATCCTTACTCGAGCTCTGTACCACCCAGTCCTCTCCCACGACCACCTTCCTCGCTTAATTCACTCTTTGAATCACCCACCCACTCTTGCAAATGAGACTCATCCTAGTCTCTTTGAGTTCTCAGCTGGTCGCGTGTGGCCGCATGGGCCAGCCGTCGCGTGGAAACACGGGGGCGGTGGGGGGTGGTGTTTGCCGACGGAAGCGGTGCCGGCCGTGACGGACGACGCTGTCACGGTCGACCCTCCGCGTCCCGTGTCGTCCCTTGTGGGGCCCCCCACTGTTGTTGTCGTAGCTGCCCTCACTGGCCCCTTTGTCCCCATCCCGCCACCCCCGCAGGAGTGTCGCGCATGATGGACCTGCTGGTGGACACCAGGGAGGTGATCCGAAATGACGTGAGTGGCGTCGGGGTCGGGGGGGTGGCGGGTTGACACAGCACGGTGTGGTGTGGGGGGCAGAGGGAACAAACAGCACGCTGCTGCTATAGTGTGGGGGCAGAGGGAACACACAGCTGCTGTGCATGGAGGAGCCACCCTGGCGTGGGGAGCCGTGCTGGTCGCCGCGAACACGAACGTTTGCCGTGTACCGCGGTGCGCAGGGGCTGCTGCTGCTGCAGCAGCTGACCAAGGGGAACGCGGCGATCCAGAAGATCGTGGCCTTCGAGAACGCCTTCGAGAGGCTGCTCGACATCGTCTCCGAGGAGGGGCACAGCGACGGAGGTAACCGCCGCCGCCACTGCCGCTCTGATGCGCCTCCCCGGCGGGCACAGTCGCCTGTCGAGACGCACGGGGGGCGAGACGTGGGCAGGCAACGTGGTGACCTTGCTCAGCGTCGAGACACGTAATGACTCTGTGTCCCCCGCTGCCTCCCCCCTTCCCCCCCCCCTCCATCTCCCCCCTCCCCTATTCCACTCCTTCCCCAGGTTTCCCTCATTAGGTTGGTTGTTCTCCTGCTTCCCCAGTTCCCCCCCCCCCTCCTCCCTCCATTTAAATTTTCATCCTCTCCCCGACAGGATGTCCCCACTTGGCTGTGGCAGTTGGCTCGGTTTGTCTCATCTTTGACCCCCCCCCCCTCTTTTATATGGTTCAGTTGCGTTGGGACTGTCCTCCGTAAATTGTGACGCCTGGTTGAGTGAGCTGTGCGGCGCGCTGTACCGAGCTCTTGTTTTGTTCCAACAACAACAACAAAAAAAACATTAACTTTGTCCATCGCTGCCGCGAGAAGTGCCGGTTTGTCGCTTGCTTCATGGGCGTTTTCGCGCCTGTGAGAGTGCCGTGGTTTGTGCCGGGGTCGGCAGGGATCGTGGTGGAGGACTGCCTGCTGCTCCTGCAGAACCTTCTCAAGAACAACAACTCCAATCAGAACTTCTTCAAGGAGGGCTCCTACGTGCAGCGCATGAAACCCTGGTTCGAGGTGACCGAGGAGAGCGCTGGCTGGTCGGCGCAGAAGGTCACCAACCTGCACCTCATGTTGCAGGTCGGCGCCAGCGGTGGGCACGCACGTGGCCGCCCCCGGGGGCCGTTTTGAATCGCCGGGAGCAAATACAAGAATCCCTCGTTTTTTTTACACGCTCGATGCGTCCCTGAAAGTTGGCACGCAAAGCGAAAAACCGCGTTTAAGCGAGCGATATACCGAGTTACTGAATCACGTTAGCGCTTTCAAATCGGCCTAAAGTCGGTCATCCCACGGCGGTAGAAAGAACGAGGGTGCGTCGCCGAGTACTGTATCACTCCACGCGCTGTATCGTTCAGCGTACTGTATCATACTGCCCAGCCACGTGGCTCAAGAAAGTAGTTTGTCGTCAACCGCTCGGAAACCGCGTTTATAACAGTGCGTGCTCGTTTTACCCAGGAAAGCTTCGCCCCCCGGTACGGCTCTTGCTTAAATGCCTCGGCAAATGCATCGCGTCTAAAACGTTCGAAGGGCACCCCCAGCGGCAGCTCTCCCTGTGCAGCGCAAGGATCTCTCGGCACTGGCCTGCGAGTGGGCATTTGCCTGCTGCCTGGAGGGGGGGGGGGGCGATTTTACCCTGGGTATTTCAAATTGAGTAATTTATCTGCTGTGTGAGTTTTCATCAAATTACAGCGCCCCCTACTGCGAAATACTTGGCAGTACCCTGCTGCCAAAAGGGTCTTTACGCTTAGTGAGGCTTTCCGGGGTGATCAAGCATAACAATATTAATAATAGTGGTAATAAGGCATGTTTTCTGACGAATGTTGTGAGTGGGTTTATTTGTGTGTTTGTGTACCATGGCGGCCTTCATTTTTTGGCTGTTCTCTCCTCCCTGCGCCCAATCTCGCTTTCGCTCCTTACCCCTGCTTGCCCCCTTACTCTGGAACAAACTCTTTCTCCACATCCGACTCTCCCTTTCGCTCTCCTCTTATACCCACCACCCTCGGGTCCTATCTGTTTTCTCTACTCCGCCTTTTCCCTTCCTTTTTCCGCCACCCCTACCAACACCACCTAACGCCCCTCCACTGCCGCAGCCTCCACCTCGCTGCCTCCTCCCTCGTCACTACCCGATCCTCCCCATCCCCTTATCTAGCCATTTTGTCCTGTAGTCGGCAAGCATTGTCAAGCGCCTTGGTGAAAGGCGCTTTATAAAACCAAAATTGAATAGAATAGGTGCTCGCTAACAGCACTTGCCCCAACAGTCTGTTTAGGCTATAGGGGGGATCTTTGTCTAACCGCGCGTGCACGGGTAACACTGCGTGTGTCTCCATGTGCCGCCACCGCCCCTCATCCCCCCGCACCCGTCCCGCCCCACGACCGCAGCTTGTGCGGACGCTGGTGTCTCCGGCGAATCCGGCGGGCGCCGTGGCGGCGTGCCAGAAGGCCATGTTCCAGTGCGGCCTCCTCCAGCAGCTGTGCGCCATCCTCATGGCCACCGGCGTCCCGGCGGACATACTAACCGAGGCAAGGGCCCCCGGAGGCAGCCTCCCCATCGCACCGCGTCCCCGGCGCCCGGTGTCTCGTCCCGTCACCCGACACTCCACGCGGACCGCTGTGGAGGACGCGTGCGCTCGCTGACGCGTGTGTCCGTGTTGCGCGCTGTTGTCTCAGACGATCAACACGGTGTCGGAGGTGATCCGAGGGTGCCAGACGAACCAGGAGTACTTTTCGGCGGTCAGCGCTCCCTCCACGCCGCCGAGGTGCGTGCCGCCCACCCCCACCTTGGTTCCCTCTCCCCACCCTGCCACCCCCCGCCCCCTTCGTGTGTGTGTGTGGGGTATTTTACATGTTCGCGGGGGGGGGGGGGGGGGGGTCTGCGGTTGTTAACGGTGGTGCTTTGTTGTTGCGCTTGTGCATCATTTGTGGTTGATTGTGGCGTGTGCACGATTGGTTCTTGTGGTTTGTACCGTCGCAGTAGGTTCTGTCTGTGGGACCTTCTTGCCAGTATCAAAGTATGAAAAATAACAATAGGTTTCGCCCTTTCTGGTGTTAAAATATTCAAACGCCAAATAGATACCTTTTTGCATTAATCACACAGAGTACTTGTGGCAAAAAAAAAAAACACTTGCGGTGTGCGATTGGTAGTTGTGATTGTTGCGACCGTGCGCCGTGGTTGACCGTGGTGGTCCGCGTGTGGGGGTGGCGTGCAGGCCGGCGCTGGTGGTGCTGCTCATGTCGATGGTGAATGAGCGGCAGCCGTTTGTGCTGCGCTGCGCCGTGCTCTACTGCTTCCAGAGCTTCCTCTACCGCAACCCCGGGGGGCAGGGCCAGATCGTTGCCACGCTGCTCCCCTCCACCATCGACGGTGCCGCCCCACGCCCACCCCCACACGATGCGCACAGTCCATGGAGGGGGGGACGACCACCAACGCCAACCCCCACGCAATCCTCCTAACCGCTCACCCTCGCCGGTTTCACCAAAACCACCCTCATCTCACCAACCTCACCCCCTATCTAACCAACCCTGCCCCCACACCGGCTGTTGAGGCATGCGCTCTTAGCGAGCGCCTGTTAAGGCGGACATTGCGCAACGAAGGGGCGGTGTGGACAGCACCACGGCCAGCCACCTTTGTCCCACAAGCGCTGATGTTTTATACACGATACGAGGTGATGAAGATTATGATGATGAAAAAGGTTATCGTGGTGGTGGTGGTGGTGGTGGGAGTGATCACGTTGATAGGGGATAGGGGTGTGTAAGAACAGTTGTCTTGGTGTGTCAATGATGATGATGATGATGATAGCGATAGTGATTATAATCACCACTGTGGAAGTATTGCGTGATAGCGGTGGTATTGGTGGTGGTAGTGATGTTGGTGTAGTGTATCGTGTGTGTGATAGTGATTGTGGTGGTGGTGCTTATGATGATGATGGCGGCGGCGATGATGTTGACCAGGGTGCGTGGGTGCGTGCTTGTGCGCGTGTGTTTGCGCGTGCGTGCTGGCACAGCCAGCGCCATCTCTGCGGGACAGCTGCTGTGCGGGGGGCTGTTCTCGGGCGACGCTCTCTCCAACTGGTGCGCCGCCGTGGCGCTGGCGCACGCCCTCATCGGCAACGCCGCCCAGAAGGAGCAGCTGCTGCGCGTGCAGCTCGCCACGTCGCTGGGCAACCCGCCCGTGTCGCTCCTGCAGCAGTGCACCAGCATCCTGTCGCAGGTGCTCGCCGCAAACAACTTCACCGCCCACGAGTAAACGAGGCGTGTGGGCACTCCCACCTCTTGGCCCGGCGTGGAAGGAGAGGCCAAGTACCCTCTAGAGGGGCTCCCCCCTCGAGCTGCCTATTGTGCGAGGCCCTTATTTGTCAGCATTTGTCAGCAAGCAATTGCAGGGGGCTGCACCTCTGTCTTTTATATGGAGGCTGTACACTAGGCGAGGTGGGGTGGGGGGGGGGGGAGCATTGTCTTGACTCGCGGATGGATAAATGTCATTGTCGAGTGAATTTCTGCGCAAATTGCCATTGAGGAATTGTCGCTCATCTCCTGTTTCCAGCAGCCCTCAGCCATTGGTGGTAATTGCACATTCCCAAGGCATGGCCGAGTTTATCCACAGCAAAATCACTGTTGACTTCCATGCAAAGTGGTATTAATTTTATCACCCCCCTCCCCCTGCCCGGAGTGCGGGATGATGGGTCGAGTCAACCCTCACAACCCGGATTCGAACTCACAACTTCCCCATTACGAGCCGCTAGCTCCACCATTGAGCCACCTGGCCGGGTCGCAATGCAGCGCGGGCAGCTGCACCTCAACGCGCACACCCCCAGTCGCTTGGGGCACTGCAAGGCGTCCGTGTGGCGACAGCAGTGACTCAGCACGGGCAAGGCAATTAGAAACGCTTCGCCGCTGCCATGCCGGAGATATCACCCACTGGTACCCGATTGGTGTTGCTAAGACGCTTGCGGTGCGGGTGAACGACTAAAGAACCGCCTGCATGTTTTGTCCTCTCTACGATGCGCTCCAGCGTTGGTGGGGGGTGGGGGGGGGCGGCCATCTGAGACGACCTGCACGACCCTAACGTCAGTGCTTATGGGCCCCCTCCCGCCCCCCCACTCCCCGCACCACCGCTCTCCTACCTGTATCTCACCCCACTCTGCTCCCTTCCTCCTCCCCGTGTGCCCGTTACGGAAACAGGGCGACAAGCTGGTGAGACGGGTAAGTGTGGCTCGCGTCCTACCCCCACCTCCACCACAGGGGGCGCCGGAGGCACCTAATTTCCCACCCCCCCCTCGCCAACCCCTCCCATCGACTAACCCCCTTTTCCTGTTTAACTCACGTCGTCTGCTCACCTGTGGCTCACCTGTGGCTTACCTATGAGCCTGTGTCATTGCTGTGGGTTTTTACCAATAACGTCTTCATGTCCTATTACCGCTAAACCGGGGCTATTAATGCTTTTGTGGTTGCATTGTCCTTGCACTGGTTCGCCTTTTGGTGGTCTTTTCTTTAGCACTGGTGAAACATTTCCGCAAAAGGAGGCTGTTTCGTGCAGGCCAATGAGTTTCAAGGACGGTGCATACTCTATAAAAGCATATTTGTTTGCGTTTTTTCCCTGCCACAAGTGTGTGTGTGGTTATGCAGACATGGTGCCGTGTCATTGGCGTCTATTTGGTGTTTGGACACCTTAACATCCGTGTTCACGCCGGACAGGACAAAGCCCCCTTTTTTTTATTGGCGAGATGTGTGCCGTAGTTTTAACGTCTTTAGGCGGTGGGGGTGTCCCAACGCCAGCGCCGTTGGGCCCCGATTGCTGTCTGCGTGTGGGTTGCGGGTGGGTGCCTGCGGAGACGGAGTTGGGGGTGTGCCTAACAACTTTGTTGTCCTAACAACTGTGTCCCAGGGCTTGTGTCGGAGTTTGTGTTGGCGTTTGCGGTTTCTTCTAATCGTGTCTCACGCCACTGCCCTCACTCTGCACCCATGCTCTGCACAGCCTGCCGTGATGTTTAATTGATTGGTTACCACCTCAGCCCCGGTGCGGCTTGGAGCGGCTGTCACTGCTCCCCAGTCTCCTCCGTTCAAACACAGATCGAGTTGTTACGTGCTGCACGCGACCGATTATTGGTAACCTCCTCCCGCGTGATGTTGACAGCGCAAATTTGAATGGGACACAGACAAAGGTGCCCCTGCATGGCCTCTATCAAGCTGTTGGGGACAGGTGCCGTTATTGAGCACCGATGAAGATCATCGGTGTGGCACACGGAAAGGGGGTGGGTGGCCAGCACCACGCCCGGTGGCCTTTTTCTCCAAAGTGCAGATCTATACACACGAGTGTTTACACACTGCACCCAGGTACTCATTTAGGGCTGAGTTCACCTAGGGTGGTGCCTGTAAGCTATTGTTATTTCTCTGGGGTGCACACCTATGCACACAGCACACAAACAGAATAGCTCTATCTCAATGTTAATCATCGCTCTGTACGTCCAGTGGGGATGTCTCTGCCAATCGTCAGGCGCATGGAGCGTGTGTTTTAACCATTGAATGGAGACGAGTGTTAAATCGTTCACTAACATCTCGCAGTGCGCACGACTGGGTGACCCCCCACCGTAAAGTGGTACAACTTGCCCTCCAGTGCGAGCGAGCAAACGTAGGTCCGTGCACCTGTAAGCGCCGCGAGAGAGCGCGTGTTGGCTGTGCGGGTTTGGCAGTGGTTGGCAGGGGATGGTGGTGGTGGGAATGGGGGAGCGAGGTAGTGGGGGCGTGGTAGGTGAGGCGGGGGTGGGGGGGGGGGCTGCGTGTATGGAGCGAGTGCCGTTCGCTGCAGTGCTCGAGTCCACCGCTCTCGGCACGATGATCGCCGGGATGTTTGGGCAAGGCTGCTCTGCCGGATACGCGGACAGATGTCCGGCCGCGTTCTCCTTCGGACGTTCGCTCGCTCGCACGGGTGCTCCGTCTGCCGGATGTTTCTTCCGGATTTTTTGGCCAGGCGCCTCAGCTGGATGCTCGGGCAGATATTTGGCCGGATATTTCGAGCAGACGTGAAGCCAGATTGTTTGGCCAGAGTTTTTTTTGTGGGACGCTCGGCCAGGTTATTGCTCGGATATCCGCGCAGATATTTGTCCGTGTTGTCATCTGGATAATTGGCCAACTTGTCGGTCAGATATATGGCCGACTGTTCGACCAGATATTTAACTGGATTGATGTCTGCATTTTTAGCAGTATGCTCAACCCGGTTATTGGCTAGATAGTCGGCTGGATATTTGGCCTGATCCATCGTCTGGCCGCTTGGCGGGTTGCCCAGTTGGATGCTTGATGGATCACGCTGGCGCCCTTGCTGGCCCCAATGGCGACGGCCGATGGTGTGCGCCCCGCGTTGGTGAAGGGGGCGGTACTTCAGAGAGGCGGTGTCCTGTGTGCGTGCGTGCTCCGCTCGTGCAGGGCAACAAGGTGCAGACGCGCGTGGGCCTGCTCATCCTGCTCTGCACGTGGCTCACGGACTGCCCCATCGCAGTCACGCACTTCCTGCACAACCCCGCCAACGTGCCTTTCGTATCCTGCCGTCAGGGAGGAGGGGTTGAAGGCTTCTAGTCAAACAAAAAAAACTACGGCTGGGCGTTGGAATGATCTTACTGTCACGGTACATGCATCGATTGAAAATCACTAGATTATAAAACGTTCACAATGCCACTGTATATTCACACCACTGTAGTTTTTATATATTCACATCGTATAGGTTTTGATCACTAGATTCGCGACATTCACACCAGTATAGATTCTATAGATTGACACCGCATAGACTTGCACCAATGTAGATTCAACCCCGACGTGGCGTCTCTGCTCCACAAGGGCAAATACAGAAAGACAGACAAGCAGGTACACAGACAGATGGGCAGGCACACACAGACAGGCACGCAGACAGACAAACGGGCAGACAGACAGTTGGACACATCGCGGTCGTTGCGCCGCTGGTCTTTGCACTGGCCCTTGACGGCGCTCGCTGCAGCTCACGGGACAGATCTCGGAGAACCTGGGCGAGGAGGAGCAGCTGGTGCAGGGCTTGTCGGCGCTGCTCATCGGCATCTGCATCTTCTACAACGACAACTCGCTCGACAGCCACACGAGGTGCCGCTACCCAGGAAGGCTTCACCGAGCCTCAAGACTCATTAAGTGTTTCACAGTATGGAGTGGGACGTTGCTGTTGCGTGTAATCCCAATTGAGTATTTTTTACAGGTCATTTTTCAGCATTGGGTTTTTGGCAAATACCGGTTACATTGCATGGGTTTATATATTTTTTGGCTTGCTATGGGAGGAAATCCGGAGAACCCGGAGGATATCCATGCCCCCTGTGATCAGTGTGTTACACCTTTGTTGTGACCTGTGCGTCACAACACTCACTCTGCGTGGGACCTCCTTTGCCCCCCCCCCCCCCCACCCTTAAACCGCTGGCTGCGGATGGCTCAGACCGAAGCTGAAGCAGCTTGTGGAGAAGCGAATCGGCAAGGAGAACTTCCTGGAGAAGCTGGCGGCCGTCTCCAAGCACGACCTCTACTCCAAGGCGTCGCAGAAGCCCCAGCCGGCGTTCCCCGGGCCCGAGCAGGTGTTCTTCGACCACGAGTTCACGCAGATGGTCCGCGAGATTGAGGGTGCGTTGTCCGCCTGTCTGCCTGTCCACATCTCCATCTGTTCATCTGTCTGTTTGCTTGACTGCCTGTCCCTCTGTTCATCTGTCTGTCTGCTTGACTGCCTCTGTTCACCTGACAGATGAACGGCTCGTCTGTTTGTCTGCTTGCGTGTCTACATGTGTGTTTGTCGGTCTGTGTCTCTCGGACAGATGAACAGAGACAGAGAAAGATGACAGTCGGTCTCTGTGTTGATTCATCTGTCCTTAAATATGTCTGCCTGTCACTCTGTCTACCTGTCTGTATGCCTGCCTTCCAACCTGTCCTGTCTTATCTTCATACTCACACTTGTAAGCCAGCATTGTCTCCTCCGTCTCTCCAGTAGTCCATATGTCAGGTCGACTGCCCATCCGTCTGTCATCTTCTCCGTCCGTCGGTTTGTTTGAGCGAGTGGCGGGGTTGTGACAAGACCGCCCTTCATTGCGCCCCCTCCCTCCCCCCGCGCGCGTGGCGAACCCAGGCTCCATCGTGAAGGCCGTGCAGAAGTCAGCGGAGGAGGACCGCAAGGAGGAGGAGGTGCACAAGGCCATGCAGCAGCACGACAGCGTCATGGCGCAGTACAAGGAGCTCATTCGCGAGCAGGTGAGAGGCTCGGCCCACCCCTCCGTGTGGACTGGAGTGGGGGCGTGGGTGCGGAGTGGGGGCTCGGTGGTGGCAGAACGATGTGTGGCGCTGTCCCGTGTACTGCACACTCGGATTTGGGGGAGGGGTGGGAGGGAGTGGTAGCTCGTGATCTGTACTGGTATCGGTGTACGGGACGCTCGGATCGGGTGATGGTAGACTCGCACGTGTATCGGTATTGATTGGGCCACGGTGATGAATAATATAACACTTAGTTCGGCGCGGTGGTGGGGCATCGTAATGCGCGTGATGGAGGTGGTGTTACGTGACGCGCGTGGTACAGGACACTCAGATCGGGGAGTTGAAGAAACAGGTGGCGTCGCTGGGCATGCAGCTGGAGCAGGCGCAGGCCACCGTGAGCCAGCAGGCGGCGCACGTGCAGCAGCTCAAGGACCAGTACAACCTGCTCAAGGTTCAGGCCGGTAAGTCGCACTCGCACGCACAGGGCACACAAAGACAAAGGATATGGACGGACGGAGAGACGGAGCTAATCTATGTATGTATGTTGAACTCCTATCGCACTGTATGTAATCAACCGTGCTAATCGGAGGTGCTTATGTATAAACTTGTTGAACATTCGTTGGAAAGGGTTAAGAACAAACAACGACAGCCGCCATTCGCCGCTAAGTGGTGGTGGTGGTGGCATATCACCACAGCACTTGTGCCAGGCTAAGTGCACTTTGAGGCCACATGAGATGTCAAAGACTCGCTGGCAGGAGGAGGTAACTGGACAGACCCAGGTACCATGGGTTGGCTCACTGAGATGACTCACTGATAATTAATTACTGGCAGATGCCAATAGACATACAAGATAACACAGATCCCCTTTAAAGTCTTAACAGACTGTTGGGGCAAGTGGTGTTCGCGAGCACCTATGAAGGCCGGCACGGCACACGAGGGGGTGGGTGGCCAACACCACGCCCGGCCGCCTTTGTCTCCCGAATGGAGATGTTTACACACCGCCAGGTACTCATTTTAAGCCGAGTCAACCTAGGGGAGGCCCAGGACAGGTTCAGATAATCGTCACTGGCATTGGTGGCCGTGAGCAGGAACCGAGTCACCAGAGTGCGGCGCGCTAACCGCTGCGCAACCGCATACGTACACGGCACGCACAAAGGCGCGCACGCGCGCAAGACCTCTGGCGACGAGTGTTGACGTTGCCATTGGCTGCGCCGGGCAGGAAAGGACGGGCCGCAGGCCGCTCACGTGGAGGTGAACGGGCTGGGCGCCGGGGCCGACGGGGACGAGGCCGCCGAGCAGCTGCAGAGGCTGCGTGCCGAGCTGGAGGAGCAGAGGACGCGTGCCGCTCACGCCCTCGGCCTGCTCGCCGAGAGGGAGGCGCAGCTCGGCGCGCTGGTGACTCGCCTACGCACACACACACAAAGACAAAGATCCCCCTTATAGCCTTGACAGACTGGAGGAGCAAGTGCTGTTCGCGAGCACCTATTAAGGCCGGCATGGCACACGATGGGGTGGGTGGCCAGCAACACGCCCAGCCGCCGTTGATTCCCCAATGTTGATGTTTACACGCAGCACCAGGTTATTACGGAAGGCTCTGTTGACCGAGGGGGAGGCCCAGGACTGGTTTAGATATTCGTCACTGGTTTTTGATGTGAGCAGGAATCGAACGCTGGTCGAACTTGCCGGGTTCGGAGCGCAGTGCGCTTGCAACTGCGCCACCGCTCGCACGCTTTCGCAGCAACATCAAACCCCATTCGCCACTAAGTGGCGGTGACGTCACCACGGCGCTTGTGCCAGGCTATGTGCACTTTCAGGCCACGTGAAGTGTCGAACGCCCGCTCGCAGGAGGTCCACGGGACATACTCGGGTGCCATGAGCTGACTGACTGAGATGACGGGCAGCTGCACCACCTGTGCACACGCACACATATACGCATACACGCACGCACCGTGAGCAAACCACAAAGCCAACACCTCGACCCGCACGTGGACACTCACGCCTGTGACGCCCCCACCCCCTCCCTCCACCGCGCGTGTCATCTTCGGCAGAAGTCGGGGGTCGCGGTGTCGGGAGACAGCGACCACGCAGACGCCCCCGGCAACCAGGTACCACGGCGGGGCCTGCCGGGCGCCATCGCCGGTCATCCCCCCCTCCCCCCTCTCCCACCTCGCCCCCTTGGGCCGTCGCCAGGCGAGGTACCGAGCGTCGACGGGAAGCGGCCGAGCAAAGCGAGCCGTCACACGGGTAGTCGGTCGTGGTGACGAAGCTGCATCCTGCGGGACGTTGTGACGTCACAACGTCCCACGTGCCGGCGACTTCCCTGTGACAGACAGTAACTTGATACGGACACGAGAGTGTTGGTGTGTAGTTGTCTCACCGCTGTGTGGTGGTGTGTGTGGTGGTGTCGCTGCTGTGTGGTCTTGTGTCTGGTGGTATCAACGGTGTGTCGTGGTGTGGGTGGTGGTATCACCGCTTTGAGGTCTTGTGTGTGTGGTGGTATCACCGGTGTGTCGTGGTGTGGTGGTGGTATCACCGCTGTGAGGTCTTGTGTGTGGTTGTATTACCGCTGTGTCGTAGTGTGTGTGGTGGTGTCACCGCTGTGTGGTGGTGTCACTTGGTGTGGTGGGACCACAGGAGGTGGAGGCCCTAAGGAGCCGGGTGTCGGCCCAGGAGAAGGAGCTGGAGCAACTGAAGGGCGAGCGGAGTGACCTGCAGGAGCGACTTCAAGCCGCAGTACGTCCACAACGTCACCGTATCCACCGACTCCACCTCCGCATCCACCATCGTCACCCTCACCACCTCGACCCTCACCACATTCACCACCCACCTTCATCATGACCACTGTTTCAAAATCACGGTTGCCATCTTCAGGATCCGCAATTGATTTGCCCCTGCGCAATTGATTTGCCTCTCATCCCACTACTCCCCTCCACTCTCCTACCTCTAATCTCACTCTACTCCCCTCCACTCTCCTACCTCTCACCCCACTATTCCCTCCACTCTCCTACCTCTCATCCCACTACTCCCCTCCACTCTCCTACCTCTCACCCCACTACTCCCCTCCACTCTCCTACCTCTCACCCCACTACTCCCCTCCACTCTCCTACCTCTCACCCCACTACTCCCCTCCACTCTCCTACCTCTCATCCCACTACTCCCCTCCACTCTCCTACCTCTCATCCCACTACTCCCCTCCACTCTCCTACCTCTCATCCCACTACTCCCCTCCACTCTCCTACCTCTCATCCCACTACTCCCCTCCACTCTCCTACCTCTCATCACTCTACTCTCCTACCTCTCATCTCACTCTACTCCCCTCCACTCTCCTACCTCTCATCCCACTACTCCCCTCCACTCTCCTACCTCTCATCCCACTACTCCCCTCCACTCTCCTACCTCTCATCCCACTACTCCCCTCCACTCTCCTACCTCTCATCCCACTACTCCCCTCCACTCTCCTACCTCTCATCCCACTACTCCCCTCCACTCTCTCCTACCTCTCCGCCCACTACTCCCCTCCACTCTCCTACCTCTCATCCCACTACTCCCCTCCACTCTCCTACCTCTCATCTCACTCTACTCCCCTCCACTCTCCTACCTCTCATCTCACTACTCCCCTCCACTCTCCTACCTCTCACCCCACTCTACTCCCCTCCACTCTCCTACCTCTCATCCCACTCTACTCCCCTCCACTCTCTCCTACCTCTCATCCCACCCTACTCCCCTCCACTCTCCTACCTCTCATCTCACTCTACTCCCCTCCACTCTCCTACCTCTCATCCCACTACTCCCCTCCACTCTCCTACCTCTCATCCCACTACTCCCCTCCACTCTCCTACCTCTCATCACTCTACTCTCCTACCTCTCATCTCACTCTACTCCCCTCCACTCTCCTACCTCTCATCCCACTACTCCCCTCCACTCTCCTACCTCTCATCCCACTACTCCCCTCCACTCTCCTACCTCTCATCCCACTACTCCCCTCCACTCTCCTACCTCTCATCCCACTCTACTCCCGATTCACATAGAGGCTCACAGACACGCAAAGATTCACACAGAGACGCACAGATTCACACAGAGACATATCGCCTCACATAGAGTCCCCAGAGCCTCATATAGAGACCATGGTTGAGCGTGTTTATAAATGAGGCACGTCCTCGCTCTTCACGGCGCCTGTAGAGGCTACAGAACCTGACCACCTGCGCCACTCATGCCTCTGGTGTTCTCCGCCCCCCCACCCCCCCCGTACCCCCCGCCCCCGCCCCACAGGATGCACGGGCGTCCGCCCCCGGGCTGGCGCTGGCCCCTGGCGACGGCGACGCGGCGAGTGGTGGCGCCGCGGCGAAGCTGGGGGAGCTGGAGTCGCACGCCTCCGCTCTCGAGCAGGAGAACGAGCAGCTCAAGGTGGGGTGCGCCGCCTGGCGCAGCCGGCCCCGGCAGCGCCAGGGAGCCCGTCCGCGCACAGCTTTCTCGTGGACGACCGTGATGATGATGAGGATGATGATGACCGTATTTTGCGTCCGAACTCAGACATTGGGTATTTTGACACAGACGTCGGATGGACAACTGCAGGAAAATTAAAAGGTGCGGTGTCCGGAAAAATGTAAGGAACTGGAAAGGGAGGGGGGGAATACCTCGCCGAGAATGGCTTGACGACCACAAAAGAGATCGGCGCCTGAGAGATGTCGTGCTACTTGAGCATAATGGCACAAGACAGGGGAAAGTGGAAACAAAATGACGAAATGTGCCGTGGACACCTGTGGGCAATCTGCCCATGGATCATGATGATGACGGTAGGACATTCGATCTGGCAGAGAGAGGGGGGGGGCTTTCCTATGGATTTCTGGCAGTCCACCAGTGTTGGCTCAAGTAGTCCCTGACACATGAGACCGTGTATCCAAATACGGTCCAGGGTTGTGCTTGTGTTCAACCATTGCTGCTGAAATGTATGCACTCCCAGAAGGCCGTGCCACTGATGGGATGAGTAAAGAAAAATGGACATGTATGTGAAAGGGGCGTATTATCCGCTTATCTATTGCTAATCACGAATGGTGGTGGTGACAGTTGTGAAAGTGGTTGCTACGGTGGTGATGGTCGTCGTTTTGGTGATGAAAGTGTTCATGGAGTTGATGGTGGTCGTGGCGTTCGTGGTGGTCATGGCGATGATGGCGGTAGACTTGGTGGTGGTGGTGATGATAATGTCGTTAACTATGAACGTGCTGGTGGTGGCGGTGGTGGTGACGTTGGCTGCGTCTCTGCCCAGGACACGGTGCGGCTGCTCACGGAGGAGAAGCTGGCACTGGCGGAGAGCGCGGGCGAGACCGCGCGCCTGCGCTTGGAGGTGGTGCGCCTCAACAAGGAGGCGGGCGACACGAGGAAGGAGCAGGACGACCTGCTGGTGCTGCTCGCCGACCAGGACCAGAAGATCATCGCGCTCAAGGGCCGCCTGCGCGAGCTGGGACACGCGGTGAGACGCGCACCGCACGCACCGCAAATACCGCGAACACAACGGCGCTTGACGCGGCTGTTTTGGCACCGATTCATGTCTGGCTTCATTTTGCCTTGTGCTTGATTTTGTTTTGTTTTTTCGCTCTGGTAGTTTCAGTGGGCCAGGTCACGCCCTCTCTTGAGTTGGCACCTGGTTACACAACATCGACTGTGACACGTGGCTCTGTGGGAAGTGTGGGGGTTCCACGTGCTATGACACGGGCTCTGTGGCATGGGATGCACTGCGGCACAAACTGCGTTGATGCCGGGTCGGTACTGTGGCACGTGCGTTGTGGCACACCGACGTAACGAATGGTGGCACGTTCAGTCGAGTTGACCGACACGCCGAGCGTGGTGTCGTGGTGACACTTCGGTACGTCGAGTTGTCGTGACGGCCGTGGCTCGTTGTGCCGTAGCCGCCTTGAACCGCTCGCTCGTGCCGTGGCAGGTGGAGAACGACGAGGACGATGATGACGATGAAGATGACGACATCTCGGAGGGCGGAGATGACGAGGGTGCGGGGGGCGACTCCCCGGATGAGTAGAGAGGGTCGCGCTGCGCGTCACGCGTCGCCGGCAACCCCCCCACACACACACACACAGAGAGAGAGAGAGAGGAGCAACGGCGCAACCGTGACCAGAAGGACGTCGCACGTCCCCCCAGCCACCTTCCTCTCGCTCCCCAGCCACTGCCTTCATCGTCCCGCTCCCCGCCTTCATCTCCCGCTCGCTCCCTTACCTTCATCTCCAACTCTGATCTCCCACCCTCCCCAACCCCCATCCCCCCTTTGTCTTCAATCTCCCTGCTCCGCTTCGAGGCGACGACGCGCGGCGCCGGTAACGTCCACCCTCGTGCAGAAAACCGCGGCCTGGAGCGGACAGGGGTGAGGGTTGGGAGGGGGGGGGGGGCGGGGGGAGATGTGCGGAGGGGGGCCGGCCCCCTAGTGGGGGGCACCCCAGGGTTGTCCCTTTAGTCGCCGCACCCATCCCTCCAATCGCCGTGCCCCCCGCCACCGGCGCTGAGATGCCTCCCGCAGGACGGTTTGTTCACGAAACCCATTAGAACAATAGAAGTGTTCCGGGGGCGAGATTGTCCACACGGTGTTCACGAGTTGACTGACGACGGCGGCGGCGGCGACAGCGGCGGCGGCGACCGTGTACTGCGATGTATACAAAGTATACTCTACTAGAGAGACGACGCGTGCGTAACGAAGAGGGGCGCGGCCGTGCGGGGCGCGCTGGCACTCGCTGCCGTGCGGGGCTCGCTGCCGTGCGGGGCTCGCTGCCGTGCGGGGCTCGCTGCCGTGCGGGGCTCGCTGCCGTGCGGGGCTCGCTGCCGCTGCCCCAACGCACCGGAGTCAGGCCGCGAGCTGAGCGCGTCGTCGGTTGCGAGCGACGGGGGAATTCCGCTTGTCCCGTCGAGAGCGGCGGCGTGGTGGCCCAACTGGTTGCTCGGCTGTGGTGGACCCCCCCCTCCGCTCCCCCGGCATTCATGGGCACGGGAACAAGGGATTGATGAGTGTCAGCATTATGCAGAGTTGTTTTAGCAGGGCTTGTGGTTAGGCTTAGGAATGAAGGATTAGGGTTGTGGTTTTGATGTAGAGTTGGGAACAGTGCCCGGGCTTAGCCTTTGGGATAGGGTCTGATCTTGCATTTTAGATATTATTGAAATTATGGATAGAATTCTGGATAAGGTTGAGGCTTAGCGTGTTTGGGTTAGGGTTATGCGTAGGGTTGGGGTTAACGATAGGGTTTGGAGTTGGGGGCCCGGTCGAGGGACAGAGATGGAGTTGGGCTCAAGGGCTGTGATGGGCAGCTGCACTGCCTCTACCAGGGCAGCTGCACTGCCTGAACCAGGTCAGCTGCACTGCCTGAACCAGGTCAGCTGCACTGCCTGAACCAGGGCAGCAGTGCTCCTCCACGCCCTGCTGGCCTGCAGCGCTCCCAGTGGCACGTGGTGGGGAGGAGGGGCCCTGGGCCATAGGCCCCCCCGAGGCGGGTGCCGTGGTAGTATTTAAGACGTGCGTCCACGTTGGTGCATATAGAGAATGTGTGTTGGATCGCAAGAAGAAGATATATTTTAGGTTTCATCGATTTACTCGGTCTGGAGGCTGCCCTTCCCCCCCCCCCCCCCAGCCACTGGCTGTTGGTTTCGTATGTGATTCATAAAGCCGTTCCTACGACAAACTATTCTGCTGCTGTTGATTCTGGTGCCGCTGCTGCTTCTGACGGTGGCTAGGAGATGTTAACTCCGTTGCCTGGTATGGAGGAGGTGGTGGGTTCGATCCCGACCCCGACGCCTGCTGCTGTATATTTGGAGTTTGCGTGTCTCTCTCCCCGTGGATTTTTCTCCGGGGTCCTCCGGTTTTTCCCCTCCACATTTATAAACACGCGTTTAGGGCATTTGGCTGCTGTAAATTTCCACGTGATGAGCCACTTCATTGCGCTACCCCATTTGTGACCAGGTAGCTTCTGAAAAAAGTGGTTTATATAGCTCAGTGGGCCTCACCTGGTACAATACACAAAATAGACTTGGGAGTGACTGTTTAGACTCCTCAACCCAGAGACTATATACTCCAGCCACAGACTTGTATATAAAACACAACCCCTGCATAACAGTCGACCAGCAACAACACACACAGCCATACTTACTAAGATTTATTCATCATGCAGTGGTTACAGTTATCTCCATTAACACGTGTTACAGGTTAGTATAAGAAAAGCACCTGCAGGGGATAGGATGGACGAGGTTATCGAGTGTAGGGCTATGAATGCAAGCACACCGCTAGTGTTACAGTGAGGTACTCCTCTACAGTGTTACATAACCACAGTGAGGTACGCCTCTATAGTGTTACATAACCACAGTGAGGCACACCTCTATAGTGTTACATAACCACAGTGAGGGACACCTCTATAGTGTTACATAACCACAGTGAGGTACACCTCTATAGTGTTACATAACCACAGTGAGGTACACCTCTATAGTGTTACATAACCACAGTGAGGTACACCTCTATAGTGTTACATAACCACAGTGAGGCACACCTCTATAGTGTTACATAACCACAGTGAGGTACACCTCTATAGTGTTACATAACCACAGTAAGGTACACCTCTATAGTGTTACATAACCACAGTGAGGCACACCTCTATAGTGTTACATAACCACAGCGAGGGACACCTCTATAGTGTTACATAACCACAGTGAGGTACACCTCTATAGTGTTACATAACCACAGTGAGGTACACCTCTATAGTGTTACATAACCACAGTGAGGCACACCTCTATAGTGTTACATAACCACAACGAGGTACACCTCTATAGTGTTACATAACCACAGTGAGGTACACCTCTATAGTGTTACATAACCAGAGTGGTACACCTCTATAGTGTTGAACAGAGTGGTACACCTCTACAGTGTTGAACATCCAGAGTGGTACACCTCTACAGTGTTGAACATCCAGAGTGCTACACCTCTACAGTGTTGAACAGAGTGGCACACCTCTACAGTGTTGAACATCCAGAGTGGTACACCTCTACAGTGTTGAACATCCAGAGTGGTACACCTCTACAGTGTTGAACAGAGTGGCACACCTCTACAGTGTTGAACAGAGTGGTACACATCTACAGTGTTGAACATCGAGAGTGGTACACCTCTACAGTGTTGAACAGAGTGGTACACCTCTACAGTGTTGAACAATCAGAGTGGTACACATCTATAGTGTTGCACTACCAGAGTGGTACACCTCATCAGTGGTGAACAGAGTGGTACACCTCATCAGTGGTGAACAGAGTGGTACACCTCTACAGTGTTGAACAATCAAGAGTGACACACCTCTATAGTGTTGAACAAACAGAGTGGTACACCTCTACAGTGTTGAACAGAGTGGTACACCTCTACAGTGTTGCACTACCAGAGTGGTACACCTCATCAGTGGTGAACAGAGTGGTACACCTCTACAGTGTTGCACTACCAGAGTGGTACACCTCATCAGTGTTGAACAGAGTGGTACACCTCTACAGTGTTGCACTACCAGAGTGGTACACCTCATCAGTGTTGAACAGAGTGGTACACATCTATAGTGTTGCACTACCAGAGTGGTACACCTCATCAGTGTTGAACAGAGTGGTACACCTCTACAGTGTTGCACTACCAGAGTGGTACACCTCTACAGTGTTGCACTACCAGTGCGAGTGGTCTCCGTGGTAGGCCGGCCGGGTTCCCCGCGTGTCTCCATCGCAACACGGCGCCTCAAACCCCCCCCCCCCATGCCCCCGGCGCGTTCGCTGTTTACGCGAGAGGCCCTCGGTCCGCGACCGACCGACCGATCTATCGATTGAATCAGGGAAGCCGTAGCACAACCGTGAGAGGGAGACAGCCTCCTCCCCCCCCTCCCCCTTTGCTTTCACGGCAGTTGAAAGAGAAAAGGCGGCGAGGCTCGCAGTGGCCCCAGGGGGTGCAGACCCGCGCGCCACATTCCCTGGTGTGGTTCCCCCCCCGCCGCTCTAACGTCAACCGCTATGTGTGTATATATAAAAAAACAAAACCTTAGAGCCGCCCTATCGTGTGGCCAACGGAGGCCGCGAGGAGTTAATTGGTTTTAAATCGTGGCGGTGGTGGCGAGGGGACCACGCGCTATAAGCCGGTGCGCAAACACGTGCCCCGACGTTGCCCCCCCGAAACGTTGGGGCACGTGGCTGGTCCCTTCGTTGAGCCAGCAGCGTTCCATGTTTACGGAGGGGGGTTGCTGGGACTGCGGTGACCTTGAAGGCAGGAAGGGGGGAGGCATCTTTAGGCGGAGCTGTGATCGTGTTCATATCATCACCGTCGTCACCACCGATGACATCAACGTCACCACCGTGATGCCATCGTCACCATCGGCCACCTTGAAATCAAGCAATGTCCTCGCCACCATGTTACTACCGTGAATGCATCCTCGTGATATACCAGCACCATTACCGGTCAGCGTAGCGGCGGCGTAACTATCGCCAACGCTGACAAGATCACCATAGAAATATCACCGTCGCCATCATCGCCGACGGCATCATCACAGGCACCATCATCGGCAACTTGACCAGCAACGTTCATTCATCACCACCCATTATTTCATCATTGTCGTCGTCATTCACCCCGACATGATCACCATCGCTACAAATTAATAATCGGCATCATTACAGAAACCTTGTAGCTGATGGGCTGTCATTGTGCATGACGAGGTGAAGGTATGTGGTGGGGTTGCTGCACGTGTTGTTGTTGTTGCGGGGCAGGGGGCGGAAGGGAGGGTGGAGGTGCTTAGAAGAGCAGAGCCTCGTCCACGTCGTCTGTAAAACAAAGAGATCATCAGCACCACGAGTAACATCACCATCATTAACATCACATCACTGACGATCATCAATATCACCACCATCGATGTCGTCATCTCCACCATGGTCCCATTGGGTCTCCCTGGTCCCCCCCCCCCCCCGGGTCCCACCAAGTCCCCACTGGGGGCCCACGTACCGGGCAGGAGGCCGAAGCAGGCGCCCCACTCGGGCAGGGAGATGAGGCGGTCTCCGTCGGCGTCGCAACGCAGGAAGAAGCGCGTGGTGCAGTGCTCCATGGGCACCAGCGGGGCCCGCAGCGGGGACAGCTCCGAGTGGGACAGGTACCTGGAGCGTGCCCAGCACACCGGGTGAGTGGGACAGGTACTTACACAGGTACCTGGAGCGCGCCCAGCACACCGGGTGAGTGGGACAGGTACTTACACAGGTACCTGGAGCACGCCCAGCACACCGGGTGAGTGGGACAGGTACTTACACAGGTACCTGGAGCGCGCCCAGCACACCGGGTGAGTGGGACAGGTACTTACACAGGTACCTGGAGCGCGCCCAGCACACCGGGTGAGTGGGACAGGTACTTACACAGGTACCTAGAGGGTGCCCAGCACACCGGGTGAGTGGGACAGGGACTTACAGAGGTACCTGGAGCGTGCCCAGCACACCGGGTGAGTGGGACAGGTACTTACACAGGTACCTGGAGCATGCCCAGCACACCGGGTGAGTGGGACAGGTACTTACACAGGTACCTGGAGCGCGCCCAGCACACCGGGTGAGTAGGACAGGTACTTACACAGGTACCTGGAGCGTGCCCAGCACACCGGGTGAGTGGGACAGGTACTTACACAGGTACCTGGAGCGCGCCCAGCACACCGGGTGAGTAGGACAGGTACTTACACAGGTACCTGGAGCGTGCCCAGCACACCGGGTGAGTGGGACAGGTACTTACACAGGTACCTGGAGCGTGCCCAGCACACCGGGTGAGTGGGACAGGTACTTACACAGGTACCTGGAGCGCGCCCAGCACACCGGGTGAGTGGGACAGGTACTTACACAGGTACCTGGAGCGTGCCCAGCACACCGGGTGAGTGGGACAGGTACTTACACAGGTACCTGGAGCGTGCCCAGCACACCGGGTGAGTGGGACAGGCACCTACAAGGCGTAGAGATGCTCATCGTGCAGGGTGCTGGTATCCTGTGGGGGGGGGTTCGTGTTGTATGCCCATGTGCTGGCACCATGTACGGACACTCCGCGGTGGTTGCTACGCGGCGGTTGCCACGCGGCGGTTGCCACGCGGCGGTTGCTACGCGGCGGTTGCTAAGTGCCGGTGCCGCGCGCCGTCGTCTTGCCTGTCGGCCGGGCGTGAGTCGAGCTGGGCGAACTGCCAGTGCACCGGGTAGATGTACATGCGGTAGTTCTTGACGAAGTCACGTTGCAGCAGCTCGCGCGTGTGGTCACCCTGCCGCAGGCGCCGCTCGTCGCTCACGATCTTCCGCAACTGCGGAAGCCAAACGCCGCCCCCCCCACGCCCCGCCCGACGTGGTTAGCGCAGCGAGCAATTCACACGTGTACGGGCAACACGGCAACCGGGCCAATCGGTCGTCAAGTAACAACGCCGTTGTTCAACGCGCCCCACGGCTTTCTGCTCCCTCTCGGACAGAGCGAGAGCCGGAGAGCGATCCAGAGGCGCGGGAAACCACGGACGAGCGGGGAAGACAGCTAGAACCGCCCCCCCCCCTCCCCCAACAATTGCCCAAGCTCTGTGGTCCTACATCGGGATGTTCGGCCAACTCCGTTTTTTCGTACAAAGACAAAGATCCCCGGTATAGCCTGAACAGACTGCTGGGGCAAGTGCTGTTAAGTGAGCACCTATGAAGGGCGGCACGGCACACGAGGCAGTGGGGTGGCCAACACCACGCCCGGCCGCCTTTGTCTCCCCAGGGGTGATGGTAACACCACACCAGGTAGTCATTTTAGGCTGAGGCAACCTAGGGGGAGGCCCATGACCGATTCATATAATCGTCACTGGTGTTGGTGGCCGTGAGCGAGAATCGAACTCGGGTTGCCGGGTTCGGAGCGCAGCGTGCTCACCGCTACGCTACCGCTCTTTGTTTTTTATTTTTCGTACACACATATACTGTACTTGCACAACAACCCACGTCGCTGTGTTTGATGATGCGGGCATAGCCCGCGGCAGTTTTCGCGGTGCGGGGCGATGTTGCCAAATGTTTTTATTTTATTTTACCCAGTCCAGTAATCCGCGGTGTAATTTGGCAAATTCGGACCGTGGCGCCGGCACACGACGGCCGAATATTCTTGTTCAGGTGACTTCATGGCAGGGGGGTGGGGGGCGGTGGGACTATCCTATATCGTTCACCGTGAAACGTACGGGCACATGGTATTTTCACGGTTGACAGCGCACCGGCAGTATTAACCGGGACGGGCTGTGCGACTCGAAGCACGGACGTCGAACCCAACCCGCGAGCGCGCCACCGCTCAGCCGTGTGACCGCCCAGCCAGCCTGTGAGTCGGTCTGCCAGTCAGTCAGACTCCCCGACGCTTAACGAGTCAGACAGTCAGTCGGTCAGTCAGTCAGCCAATGAGCCCCGGCCCTGTCTCCGTACACGAGGTTTGTCACAAGCGCCCATAAACACAATCATACCGCCGCTTGCCCACCCCACTCACCCCGTACCCTCCGTATAACGCCCCACCCCCTCGTACCCCCTCGTTCTACCCGTGCTTCCACAGCACCCCCCCCCTTGTACCCCCCATATACCCCCCTACTTACCGCTCTTGCCCCCCACCCCCCACCGCCGTGTCTCCTGTACCCCCCTGCCCCCCTTGCACCCCCCCCCCCGTGCCGTGCCTTGCGCCTCTGCTTGTCGGTGAGCAGCTCTCCGCGCTCCTCATCCCTCTCGTACATCTGCACGACGACGTTCTTGAGCCAGTCGCGCATCCGCAGGGGAAACTCGGTCAGCTCCACGTCCAGGCACGGCGTGATCTCTGTGCCCCGGGTGGGGGGAGGTGGGGGGTGGGGGGACGTGGGGGGAGGTGGGGTAGGGAGGGCAGTGACATCAGAGCAGCATCACAGAGAGCACGACGGAGGACGTCACCGGACGTCACTGGAGACACACCCGTTTGACGCACACGCCATCACACCGCGCGCCGCGCTACGATTCCTGCTCACAGCCAACACCGGTGACGATTATCTGAATCGGTCCTGGGCCCCCACTAGGTCGACTCGGCCTCAAGTGAGTATCTGATGCGGTGTGCAAACACCGCCACTCGGGAGACAACGGCGGCCGGGCGTGATGCTGGCCACCCGCCCTCTCGTGTGCCGTGCCGGCCTTCATAGGTGCTGCTCACGCTAACCGCACTTGCCCCAACAGCCTGTTGAGGCTATGCGGGGGATCTTTGTCTTTGCATACCCTTGCAGGGCCCGATGTAGTCGAGGTGCAGGTGCCGCCCCTTCTTGGTGCCATCGAGGGCGCAGCGGTGGGCATCCAGATGGCAGCGCGACGGATATGTGTGGTTGTCCGTGCCACACAGCTGCACCACCACCATCAACACCATCATCGTCATTAACCATCAACGGCATCATCATTGCATCTCCGATTTGCACGTTTGGCCATGTACATTGCAGAAAGTTCAACATACATACCTATCATCGACACCACCACTATCATCATCATCGTCATGAATATCACCAACAATACCACCATCATCACCATCATTGAGCATGTGTGCCTATCCGTGCTGCAGAACTGCACGACCACAATCAACATCAACAACATTATCATCAGCATCATTAAGTGGATGTGGTTATAAGTGCCGTACAGCTGCACCACAATCTAGACGACCATAGACATCAATAAGAACAGCACCACCCCTATCATCACCACCATCAACAACATCCGCACTGACCTGGATCATTCCAGGATAAATCTTTTTGCAGATGACACGATACTGATTACTGCTGACCTCTCTCCGGATGACGTGATTGCTAAGCTACAGGGTGATTTCAACAAACTACAACATCAGCTAGTTGCTCTTAAACTAGTTCTGAATACCTCCAAAACCAAGGTGCTATGCTTCTCACCAGGACTAAAGCAGGAAGTTATTTTTCCCCAATTTCATTCCTTAAATAATTATCAAATAGAGCAAGTCAAGATCTATACGTATCTTGGGGTCATCCTGGATTCAAAACTGAATTTTGAAGATCACATTGATTATATTGGTAAAAAGACAAAAATATAAATTGGTTTTCTGTATCGACATAAGCACTGCTTCCCCCCAATGTTCCGTTTGGAATTGATAAAAGCTACCATACTGCCTCTACTTGACTACTGTGACATCGTGTATAAATCAGCCCCAAGTACTGTACTGAAGAAGCTTGATTCCATCTATCACTCGGCCTTAAGATTTACATTGAACTGCCCATATAGGACTCACCACTGTGATCTCTACATTGGGTCAAACTTAACATCTCTTAATGTTCGACGGCTTGTACACCAGATCTTATTTATTCACGATGTACTTACGAAAAGATCCGCAGACTACCTGCTGGATCTCCTCTCTGTTTCGAAGAACAAATTTGACCTCAGGCCTTCGCTCATTTAACAGCTTCACATTCCCTATTGCCGTACAAAAACTGGAGGAAGGGCCTTTGCTATTGATGCCCCCAGGGTCTGGAATGCTATTGCCAATAAACTGCAACTTGAATCGCTACCAATGAGATCTTCTCTCAAAACTGCTCTAGAGGAGTTGTACACCCCTAGCTGCCACTGCTATTCATTGGCGTAAAATAAAATGTTTCGCTCCGGATGACGCTGCAAAGTATTATCTGTATTTTGATTTAGCGTGCTGATCTTAAAGGTGCGTTGAAAAATTTGATACTCCGACTGATGCTTCTGTTGTTGTGGAGTAACTCGTGCAGCCAGCTATGGCTCTAGGATTTGGTGTTACATGTTATTTATGTAGTTTTTTGTAAAAATTCGGTCACAGTCCCTATGATCACTGTTACATTGCAATTATGGCTTTATTTTTTGGTGATTTCGAAAAGTTTTTTGGTTTGGACATGTTTGTTTTGTTGTAGTACGGAGTTAGACTGACGTCCTTAATCTAAGTTTTCTTGTGGTTGTTGTTGTTTGACTTGCATACCACTGGGATTTTTTGCACACAGCGTTGGTGTACAGTGCTTTTTTCAGGAATATTTTGATGTTTTTTTCATGGAGTTTCTGTTTGCACAGTCGCACTTTAAGATGTTTTTCTTGTTTGTGTTTTTATTTTTTTGTTTGTTGTGGTTGCACCCGATTCAAGAGCCGAATGGCTCACAGGACTATACCAAAATAACAAACTGAAAGTGAATCAACAATAGCACCGCTACCATCACCACCTATCGACATCAACAGCACGATGTTGCTGCCGATGGTGGTACGGTTGTTGTTGTTAGTTTCATAAAAAAAGGCCTTTCACCAGCATGGAGCTGAGCTCTTGTGAACAGGCGATGATGGTGGACGTCATAAGCCAGCGAAACCTCGGATAGACAATCGTCAACATTTTGTTCGCTTCTCAACACCCCTCCTCCTCCCCCCTCGCTCCCCCTTCCCCCCATCCCCATCCTTCTCTGGTATGGCAGAGAAATCAAATCACTTGGCGTGTGAGCACACTGACGTAGCAACTTGATTTGGTTGGCTCTGTCGCTGGGTGGTGGAGGGGAACTGCTAAACGTTTTACATGATACCTACGACACGATTTAACCCAACAGAAACTAATTGCGGATAATTGTTATTGTTGGCTGCGATGACGATGTTGATGTTGCCGTTAATGTTGACAATGTTGACGACGATGATGACGATGGTGGCGTTGACGATGAAGGCATCACCCACCATGGTGTCAACACTGCTGCTTGACTCGCAGGTGTCGGCGCTCTGGCAGATGCAGACAGGACGCGACTCCACGTCCACCTCGCACACACGGCCCGGCTTGCAGGCGAACCCCAGGCACGGGTCTATACCGAGACACGGAGACGTGGGATCACGGGGTCATTGAGACACAGGGACACGGGGTCATGGGGACGTGGAGACACGGGGTGACGGGGACACGGGATCACGGGGTCAATGAGATGCGGGGTTATGGGGTCATTGAGAAACGGGGTCATTGAGACACGGGGGCATGGGGACATGGGGACATTGAGACACGGGGATACGGTGATGCGGAGACACGGGGTCACAGGTAATTGAGACACATGGACATGGGGTCATTGAGACACGGGGACATGGAGTCACGGGGTCATTGAGATATGGGGTCACGGGGACATTGAGACATGGGGTCACGGGAACATTGAGGTATGGAGACACAAAGACACCGAGACAATGAGACACCACGGGAACGCAGGGTCATGGGGACATTAAGACATGGAGATGTGCAGTCACGGGGACACGGGGACATTCAGAAACGGGGACATGCCAGCCGGCCCGACTTACAATTGAACCCCAGGCAAGGGTCTACACAGAGACAAGGGGTTATGGGGACATGGGGACATTGAGACACGGAGACGAGGATAACGTGAGGAGGTTGATGCATATACACATGGGATCACAGATACATGGGAACATGGAGACACAGGGATGCGGAGACAAAGGGACAGGGAGACAAGGGCACGTGAGGACGTGAGGACTTACTGATGAGGGGGGTCTCTTCCTCCTCCTCTTCCGACTCCTGTTGGAAGAGAAGGACACGCGTTAGACACGACTAGAGCAGGAGTGAGGCCTGTGTGAGTCTCCATTACGCTAGAGCAGGCATGAGGCCTGTGTCATGCTCTGATACTCTAGAGCAGGAGTGAGGCCTGTGTGAGTCTCCATTACGCTAGAGCAGGAGTGAGTCCTGTGTGAGGGTCCTTGACTTAAGCAGGAGTGAGGCCTGTGTGAGAATCCGTTACTCTAGAGCAGGAGTGAGGCGTGTGTGAATTCAGTTCATACCTCAATCACCACCTCCTCCTCTACCACTGGAGTTTCCTCCACCACCACCGCGTCCTACGGGCACAGAGATACACTCTTCATGTGTAGCCCTAACCAGAACCCATAACCCTCATTCTAACCCATAACCTAAACCCTAAACCAAATCCAGAGCCTAACCTAAACCCTAACCATAACCTTAACCCAAACCAAATCCTAACGCTTAACCTAAACCCTATGTGTTGACTCTAGCACTAACCCATAACCCCAACTTAACCTTAATTCTAACCCCTTACCCGTAACCCCTTAACCTAACTATAACTTTAACGCATCCTTAAATGGAGCCCATAAGCCTCACCCTAACTGAGAGGTTGGCAACCAAATTTCGTAAAAGTTAAATAGGCCTAGTGCCGAAATGTACTGTGGTGAATACGAAACGGAGGTCCATAATCGATAACGTCACGAAGCAGTCCTTAAAGAGCTGCAGGTTGCTGACCCCTGCCCATGGTAAACTGGACTCCCATGGTAAACTGGACCTCCATTGTAAATTGGGACTCCCATGGTAAACTGTACTTCCATTATAAACTGGACCTCCATTGTAAATTGGGACTCCCATGGTAAACTGTACTTCCATTGTAAACTGGACTTCCATTGTAAACTGGACTTATATGGTAAACTGGACTCCCATGGTAAACTGGACTTCCATTGTAAGCTGGACTTCAATGGTAAACTGCACTTCTATGGTAAACTGGACTCCCATTGTAAACTGGACTTTCATTGCAAGCTGGACTTTCATTGTAAGCTGGACTTATATGGTAAATTGGACTCCATTGTAAACTGCACTTCTATGGTAAACTGGACTTCCATTGTAAGCTGGACTTCCATGGTAAACTGCACTTCTATGGTAAACTGGACTCTCATTGTAAGCTGGACTTCTATGGTAAACTGGACTTCCATTGTAAGCTGCACTCCCATGGTAAACTGCACTTCTATGGTAAACTGGACTCCCATGGTAAACTGCACTTCTATGGTAAACTGGACTCTCATTGTAAGCTGGACTTCTATGGTAAACTTGACTTCCATTGTAAACTTGACTCCCATGGTCAGGGGTCGTCAACCAAAAATAACAAAAGCTGATTTTTTTTTTAGAATTCGGAGAAACCCCCCCCCCCCTCAATATTTAAAGAGCCGCGTTCGGCTCCGGAGCCACAGGTTTACCGAGCCCTGCCCTAACCCACATTTCATGACCCCCACAGAGTTACTCACACCCTGAGTCTCTTCCTGCATCTCTTCCTCTCCGGTCTCATCCTGGACCTCTTCCTGCGCCTCCTCCTCCCCCCCAGTCTCCTCTCCCGCGGTCTCCTCCTGGATCTCCACGTCTCCGTCGTACTCCTGCACCTGATGGGAGAGCACGTGGGGACCCCCACTGTCGACTCCTGTTCTAACCCCCCGCAACAGCCCCCCTCTCTCCCTCCCCCCCCCCCCCCCACAAAATTCCAGCCCCCGATCGGCGAGCGCCTATTAAGGCCGGCGCGTGTCCAGCGTTGGACGACTGTTGTGCAGGAGTCTCCGCGGTGATCAAAGTGTTCGTCCTGGTTCCTCGTGGTCGTGCTGCGTGCACGTGTCCGTTTGTAGTACGTGTCGAGTGGGGAGTGGTGGCGCAGTCGCTAGCGCACTGCGCTACGAGCCTGGCGACCCGAGTTCGATTCTCGCCAACGGCGACAAACACCCGTGACGATTATCTAAACCGTTCCTGGGCCTCACCTAGGTCGACTCGCCACTTGGGGAGACAAAGGTGGCCAGGCGTGGCGATGGCCGCCCGGCCCCTCATAGGTGCTCGCTAACAGCACTTGCCCCAACAGTCTGTTAAAGGCTTTACAGGGGATGTTTGTGTGCACACATGCGCCTAGCCTGGCACCAGCGTAGTGGTGACTTCAGGGCTCTTTAGCGGTGAAGGACAGTGGTTGCACGTGTGTTTTGGTTTGCGCCGTAGCAGTCTGTCGAGGATAGCCAGGGCATCTTTGTCTGCGTGTGTGATGGGGAATTTACTCCGGGCGGGTTCCAGGCGTCGTCATCGCCGGTCCGGACGTCTGCTTCGTACTCATCCATCGCCTGCAAATGCCAAGACAGCAGCCCAGGTGAGACCACAGTGACCCAGGTGAGACCACAGTGACCCAGGTGAGACCACAGTGACCCAGGTGAGACCACAGTGACCCAGGTGAGACCACAGTGACCCAGGTGAGACCACAGTGACCCAGGTGAGATGACAGCGGCCCAGGTGAGACCACAGTGGCCCAGGTGAGACGATAGTGGCCCAGGTGAGACCACAGTGGCCCAGGTGAGACCACAGTGGCCCAGGTGAGACGATAGTGGCCCAGGTGAGACCACAGTGGCCCAGGTGAGACCACAGTGGCCCAGGTGAGATGACAGTGGCCCAGGTGAGACCACAGTGGCCCAGGTGAGACGATAGTGGCCCAGGTGAGACCACAGTGGTCCAGGTGAGACCACAGTGGTCCAGGTGATACGATAGTGGCCCAGGTGAGACCACAGTGGCCCAGGTGAGACCACAGTGGTCCAGTTGAGACCACAGTGGCCCAGGTGAGACCACAATGGCCCAGGTGAGATGACAGTGGCTCAGGTGAGATGACAACGGCCCAGGTGAGATGACAACGGCCCAGGTGAGACCACAGTGGCCCAGGTGAGACGACAGTGGCCCAGGTGAGACGACAGTGGCCCAGGTGAGCTTGGGTGTGCACTAACAGCGAGCAGGTTTGTACTGTGATTTCCCAGATGTGTGAAAGGAGTGCCCATGTGTGCAGGGACTCACGGGGACGGCCAGGGCTGACCCTGCCAGACCAAGCAGCAGCAGCAGTGCCCACAGCTTCATGGTGACAGCTCTGATGGGAGACACACTGATACACAAAACAAGACAATGATCCCCAATATAGCCTGAACAGACTGTGGGGCAAGTACTATTAGCGAGCACCTATGAAGGCCGGCACGGTACACGAGGGGGTGGGTGGCCAGCACCACGCCCGGCCGCCTTTGTCTCCCCAGTGGCGATGTTTACACACCGCACCAGGTACTCATTTGAGGCTGAGTAGACCCAAGGGAGGGCCATGACCAGTTCAGATAATCGCAAACGGTATTGGCCGTGAGTGGGAATCGAACTCGGGTCACCGGGTTAGTAGCACTAGCCACTACACTACCGCTCCCCGCACACATAGATACAAAGACAAAGATCCCCCATATAGGCCTTAACATACTTTTGGGGCAAGTGCTTTTTGTGTGAGCACACACGGATAAGTTCGTGCACAAATGCGTTGGCTTTGTTTGCCACTCGTTTTCCACACCTCACCCACCTTCACCAGCCCCACCCTCACTCACCCACCCTCACCTGGACCGCCCTCACCCTGCCTCACCAGCCCTCACCCACCCATCCTTAACCAACCTCACCAGGGCTACCTTCACACGAACCTCATCAGGGCCGTCCATAAATGACGTCATGCGATTTTTGACCCCCCCCCCCCTCGTCACACATCGTCACAAATGTCTGACCCCCCCCCCCTCCTCCCTAGATGCGTGACGTCATTTATGGACGGCCCCACACCAACCTCACCAAACTCGCGCAGCTTCACTCGTCCGTGATCGCAAGCGGTCATTTGATGGAGCTCTGGGCTCAGACCCAGTTCCCTCGGGGTCCCCGAACACCACATCCCAGAAGTTACTCCCAGGACCCCACGACAGGATGTCCTGGGAACCCGCTTCCCAGGCCCCCTGTACACAGCTCTCTCCTGGGACCTGACTCCTCTTTAGGGACCCCGTCTTCCCCCACGGCCCAGACTCCCAGGACCCCTCTCTAACGCCCCTCTACAAAACTCTCTTCCCTCTGGAACCCCATTCCCTGGGACCCCTCGTCCCAGAATCCCTGTACAAGACCCCCCACCACCAGACCCCCCCCACCACCAGACCCCGCCCCACCAGACCCCCCCACCAGATTCCCCCCACCCGACACCCCTACCGACCAGACCCCCCCACCCACCAGACCCCCCCCCCCACCAGACCCCCCCACCACCAGACCCCTCTCCCCCCCGCCCAGAACTCCGCCTCTCCGCCGCCCCCACCGAGACCGCGGTGGGACCCGGCTCGGCGGCCGCGTGACCTGGGCCAGAACAGAACCACAGAGAACCACGGAGAACCACAGAACCACACAGAACCACAGAACCACACAGAACCACAGAGAACCACAGAGCCACAGAGAACCACAGAGCCACAGAGAACCACAGAACCACAGAGCCACAGAGAACCACGGAGAACCACAGAGCCACAGAGAACCACACAGAACCACAGAACCACAGAGAACCACAGAGCCACAGAGAACCACGGAGAACCACAGAGCCACAGAGAACCACAGAGAACCACAGAACCACAGAGCACCACGGAGAACCACAGAGCCACAGAGAACCACAGAGAACCACAGAACCACAGAGAGAACCACAGAGAGAACCACAGAACCACATTGAGAACCACAGAACCACAGACGACCACAGAACCACATTGAGAACCACAGAACCACATTGAGAACCACAGAACCACAGACGACCACAGAACCACACAGAACCACACAGAACCACAGAGAGAACCACAGAGAGAACCACAGAACCACATTGAGAACCACAGAACCACAGACGACCACAGAACCACAGACGACCACAGAACGTGCCCGCCGCGCCTGGCTCGGTGTGCCCGCACGAGCAGACGGGACAATGCCGCACGCTGTTGCTGGGTGAAATGTCCTGGGACCCCCACCCCTCCCACGCTCTGCGGCGCTCACAAAAGCCTCTTTATTTGGGTTCGGGTTTCCAGGGCGCGCGGGGTCTCTGGTGGAGACCGTACAGTGCGAGTGGGGAAGGGCAGCTTCGTGGATTCCATTCCGACTGACATCACCAGCGGCGGCAGTGAGAGGCTGCGTTGGCGTTCGCAACGCAGCCGCTAACGCAGCAGCAGCAGTAGTTCTGATCGGCAGTTGTCATCAGCTATCACAATCGGCAGCAGATATGTCATCATCGGTAGCAGACGGAGTTGCCGCCTGTCCTGGTTTTCCCGGGACGTTCTCTTGTTAGCAGTTGCATAGCAGCAGAAGCATTACACGATGTAGCACCATATTTGTTCCTGGGTGCTGATTGTTATGTTTTAATTGCTTATGCTTTTCAGACCAGGACTTCATGTGAACGGAAGACACACATGCACACGTTTTCTCACTGAAAATAAAAATATATATATATCACTGACCTGCTCACAAAAGCAAAGTTTGTGGGGAATAATATCCATTTTCTGTACTTTTGAGGCGTAAGCAATTAGGAAATAACACTACCCAGGAACACGTTTTTTTTTTGTTACACAGCGAATTATCAGGAGTGTGCGTCAGCTTCGCCATCAGCAGCAGAGTTACGTCAGGATCATCATCAGCAGCGAGAAGTTGCCACTTGTCCTGAGTGAGGCAGCAGCTGTCCTTGGGGAGTGTTCCTTAATATCGAGTTCTGGTTCTTGCCACTAACGTAGCGATGACAGACAACAGTGATCCACTACTCGAGACGACGCATCCACCCGGCTCTCTCCTCTCTTCCGCTAGCGTGAGAAGTTTCCCTCCCCGTTCTCCACGATTACCTGCCGGTTTTTTTTTGTGTAACTCGGAGGTGGCAACCTGATCCCTCAGCAACAGCTGTAACAATAACATCAACATAGTCAACGTCATTATCCGAGCTCTGGTTGGCTAAACCTAAATTCTGAAACCCGATCCTCAACATCCACCTGCAATTGAATCCACCTATTTCTAACCCTACCTTTTGTACAGTCAGGCTGTCCTTGAATCCACCCATCTGAGTCTACGCGATCTACAATCCTGATCAACAATCCGCCGAACTGATTTACAAACCACCTGATTTATAATCCACCTGATTTACAAACCACCTGATTTACAAACCACCTGATTTACAAACCACCTGATTTACAAACCACCTGATTTATAATCCACCTGATTAATAATCCACCTGATTTCTAATCCACCTGTCCAAGATATGTCAGCCCAGCCTTGACACCAATTCCCCTGATTAAGAATCCACATAATTCACAATCCAGGTGGATTTTAAATCAGGTTAGTTCTAATCTTAGGTGGATTCTAAATGAGGTGGATTATAATCCAATAAATTAAGTTGATATAGAATGCAATGGATTTATCTTCCACCAGGTGTACAGTCCACCGATTTACACTCCACCTGGACTAGAATCCACCATTATTTACAATCCACCTAGACTGGAATCTACCTTTATTTACAATCCACCTGGACTAGAATCCAACTTTATTTACAATCCACCCGGGCTAGAATGCACCTTTATTTACAATCCACCTGGACTAGAATCCACCTTTATTTACAATCCACCTGGACTAGAATCCACCTTTATTTACAATCCACCTGGACTAGAATCCACCTTTATTTACAATCCACCTGGACTGGAATCTACCTTTATTTGCAATCCACCTGGACTAGAATCCACCTTTATGTACAATCCACCTGGCCTAGAATCCACCTTTATGTACAATCCACCTGGACTAGAATCCATCTTTACTTACAATCCACCTGTGCCAGGTGTTATCAGCCCAGGTATTTGGCACAAACACGAAACCAGGCGCCGCGTTCGAATTGTTTTGCCCAATCGGCCCAAAACGGATCGCACTGCACGGGGAGCTGTCCCCATTGTAAGCGACGGAGATAAGGGTTTCGTTTCGTCAAAACATCTCTCCAGACGAGGGGACATTCCGCCAACAATGCGCCGAGCTGAACCTTTGACGTTTGGAACGCCACCACAAGCAGTTGAAAGTAAAAATAACATTTGTATTTGACCAGGTGAAGCCCGCTGAGCGATGTGGCTCTTTTTCAGAAGCGGCCTGGCTATCGCAAATGATAGTCGGACAAAGTGTGGCTTATCGTGTGAACATTTAAAGCAGCCAAATACTGTAAACGCATGTTTTTAAATGTGGAGGGGGGAAACCGGAGGACCCGGAGAAAAATCCACGTGACCACGGGCAGAGAGACCACGCAAACTCCAAATATACAGCAGCAGAAGGCGTCAAGGTCGGGATCGAACCCACGACCTCCTGTATACCAGGCGAGGTAGTTAACGTCTCACTGCCGTTTCACCAAGAGTAAGCTGGCCCACCTCGCGATGGGTTGTAGCCGGGCTGGCCTAGAACCCCCTCCTAATGGTCGTAAGAAGGAGCCTCAAAGAGTCCATGCCGTCAAGGGGAACTCGAGAGACAAGAAGAGTGTGATGGCGGTGCTGATCGTGGTGGTGATTACGGTTATTGGGGTGATGTGGTGGCGTTGATAGTGTTTGCGATGGTGGGGGGGGGGCCTAAGAAGGCTTTGTTCATGGTTGGTAGTGAAAAGTGGTCGGTGTGGTTGTGTTAGTTATGTTGGAGATGGTGTTAGTGTTGGTGATAGTGATGGTGCTAATGGTATTCACGGTAGTGGCGATGGTGAAAGTTAAGGTGGTGATGGTGACTGCTGAATATGAGAGGATTGCGTGAGCACCCTAGATAGCCTCGAATGATCTGGACACAATCCCATCAGTGAATTCCTCCAGAAGGCGAGGCTGCGTTGGCTGGGTCATGTCGCCCTCATACCCAGCCACCTGGATTCAGCTTCTGGATACAGGTTTCTAGACGGGCACAGCAAAGGCTCGAGATGAGATGCGGTGCAGGAGGATGTGGAGCTGAGTGGACTCGCCGATGACTGGTACCAGTGGTGTCAAGATCGGCCTCTGTGGAGGACGCTACTGGGCAGCTGGAGGCAGTCGCCCTCCACCAACCATGGAGTGAAGAGGAGGGACGCTCACAACAACGAACGGAGCGCCGGGTGTATAACACGTCAGTGGGATGGAGCACAGGTGGTGCATCTGCCAGTCATCTCAGTCAACGCGTGGCACATGGGTCTCTCCCGTGACCTCCTCCTGTCAGCAGCGAGCCTTGCAAACGTCTCGCGTGATCGCCTCAAGGCGCACCTAGCCCAGCACAAGCGCCGTGATGAAGCCAATCGATGCCACTGCGGTTGGAGCCGATGGCGATCGCTGTCGTAGAGATGGTGGCGATAGTACTTAGGTGGTGGCAGCTCTGTGGACAAAACGAACCACTCGCGAACCCATCGCCAGCGAGCTGTGCGGTTCTGGTGGCCACGGTGCCGTCCTGGCAACTGGACTGAACAAAAAGCTATTAACAAATGTTTTTGTTTTAAATTTTGATTTAAAGCTTTCGTGACTGCAGGGATTCATATTCTTGGTTCTTTTGGTAAAGTCACGTAGAAGGGAAACAATAAAATAATAAAAATATAAAACAATTAAATTCTCACGACGTTTCGACTGCAACACAAGCAATCATCATCAGGTGTGAAACCCACAGCAATAAAATTTGACAAAAGTGGCGTTTTTTTTAACGTTAGCACCACGGAGAGCGATTTGACAGTTTGTTCAGATGGACGAGTCCATCTATGTTCGGAAAAGAGGAGGGGGTACGAAAATAATGGATGCGGTCTGAAAGCCACCGTAAGCGTGAACAAAGCCGTCCCTTGGTGTGGACCAATCAGTTTCAAGGACAATACATATATTATCATAGTATGTTTTTTGTTTGCATTTTTACTACAGGTATTGTGGTTAATGCAGACATGAATCCTTATAAAAAGGTTTCAGTTTTGTTGCCAGAAAAAAGGGGAAAAACCTTATTATTACATTTTGGTACTGGCAAAGGAGGTCTAATGATGACGTGAACAATCAATTAAGACCCGAAATGGTTTATCAAATCCTTCCAATTGTGTTTTATCAGATAAAGGCCCACTGAGCTGTAAACTCTTTTTCAGAAGAGACTTGGTCTATCACAAATGGTAGTTCAGCGAAGTGGCTTTTCGTGTGGACATTTATCGTAGCAGCCAAATACTCGGAGCGCGTGATGTCGATTCTCTCAACCGTCCACGATGAGAGAGAGAGACACGCGAATCCCAATCACACGACAGACGTCACGGTCGGGATCGAACCCAATAACCTCCTGCATACCAGGCGAGGTAGCTAACATCTCATAGCCACAGTGGCGAGATGTTCTACCGTGGGAATGCGGACCGGTGCCCCACACCTGCCCAGCTCAGAGGCCAGACCGGGCCCGGCCGCGCTCGCATCGTGGTCGTGGGAACGCCGCATGGGAGACGGTTGCATACCTGTGGTGGCTGATCCCATCTCTGAGAATGTGCCGCTGGTCAGGAAGGCGAGGCGCGCGCGCGGTGCAGGAGGAATGCGTTGCAGCCCCAGGCGGGGAGTCGGGGGGAGGTGGAGGGACGGGCCCGGTGGGATTCCGGGGGGGTTGGGGGCGCTGTTTAGGGGCGCCCACTAGTACCGTGTCGAGGATCCATGGAGTCCCTGTTGTGCTGGTGGTGGTTGTTGTGGTGGTGGTGGTTGTTGTTGTGGGGTAGTGTTGCGGTGAGCGCGCTGCACTACGGGCCTCCCGTAGGTCGACTCAGTCTCAAATCGAGTAGCTGGTGCGGTGTGTAAACATCGCCACGAGAGAGACAAAGGTGGCCGTGCGTGGTGCTGGCCATCCACCCCCTCGTGTGCCGTGCTGGGTGTCATAGGTGCTCGCTAACAGCACTTGCCCCCACAGTCTGTTCAGGCTATACGGGGGATCTTTGTCTTTGATGGTGTTATTAGTGGGGGAAATGGTGTCAGTTATGATGTGAGTTATGTTGCGAGTCATTGTGATATTGATGATGTTAGTGATGGTGATAGTGATGTTATTGGTAATGTTGGTGATGTTAGTGATGGTGATAATGATGTTAATTGTGGGGGTGATGATAATGTTGGTGATAGAGGCGATGGAGTTAGTGATGGTGGTGGTGGTTGTTATGGTGATTGTGGTTTTCAGTGATTGTGGTGGTATTGGTGATGGTGTTAGAGTTGGTGATGGGTCTTGGTGATGTTTGTGATGGTGGTGATGTTAGTGACGGTGATAGTGGCTGTCTCGTCGAGAACTGTGACCGGTTCCTTAAATATCTCTGCATATTCAAGCGCGCAGTCGAAAGCGGCAGTCTATAATTAGTCTACAATATATATAGTACCGTCTATATAAATATACTGTATATACACAGCACATGTGTGGGTGTGCTGACCAATTGGGGGCCTTTGACAAAAGTTTTATACACCCCCCCCCCCCTTGTGAGATAATAGCGGAGATACAGACACGGGAGAGACTGTTGAAAATGGTAAAGGCGCAGACCCGCAATTACTCGCTCACGCCACTGGGGGGGGGGGGGATCTGCTCGACTCTCCCACGCCGAGTAGAATTATCGCATGTACCCCTCCACGTACCCCACCACGTACCCCTCCACGTACCCTCCACGTACCCCTGCATGTACCCCTCCACAGCCACGTGCCCATCGACCGTGGCCGGTCCCCGCTTACAAAGACGCAGATCGCCCGGCGTAGCCTTAACGGACTGTTGGGGCAAGTGCTGTTCGCGGGCACCTGATGAAGGCCGGCACGGCACACCACGGGGAGGGGGATGGGTGACCAGCCAGCAACCCACGCCCGACCGCCTTTGTCTCCCCCAGCGGAGACGTTTACACACCGCGCCCAGGGTGACTCATTCGAGGCGGAGTCGACCTAGGGGAAGGAGGCCCAGGACCGGTTCAGAGAACCGAACTCGCCTCCACTGCTGCGTGGACAGAGACAGCCGGGGGGGGGGGGGGGGGGCTGAGCTGACAGACTTTACCCCCCCCCTCCCCCCCACTGAACGCAACTGCCGCGCCCGGAGATCGAATCGCCCTCTGGATTTCGAGTCCAGCGGCGTGACGCCACCGCGACCGTCTCTGCCTTCTCAGTGTCAAGAGCTCAAGACGAGGATGGCGTGAATAAATCAGTACGACAGTGATCATCACTGCGCGCACCTCGCCCTGATGGGAACTGTGACAGGGGCCGCGCCATAAACCAAACCACAGCGGTGCGGGCACTGAGAGCCGAGGGGGCCTCTTAGAGACCCAAACCCCCAAACCTCGCAGTCGCAAAACGACGCAAATCGGTGCTCAGCCGGTTTTGTGTTTGTTGTAAACCGGTGTCTTCACGCGGTTACCGGTTTACGCAAAAACAATTTTTAAAAAGATGCACGTGAACAACCCTGCTGTAGTGAGAGAGAGAGAGAGACGGGTGAGTTCCGCTGTGACCTGCAGCTCACTCACCTGAGAGAGAGAGAGTTTGTGAGCCCTGAGAGTGACGCAGCTGAAGGCTTCCACTCACTCCGCCAGATCGACGGTTCGCGGTTTAAGCCACTGACTTGAAGCTCTCTCCTCTGTCTCACTCAGTCCCACCCTCTGACTCCCTCCCACCCTCTCACTCCCTCCCACCCTCTCACTCCTCCCACCTCCCGATCAGCCTCCTCTCACTCCCACCCTCTCTCACGCTCTCCTCCCTCACTCCTCCACCTCTTGGGTCGCTGCCCCCCTCCTCCCCCATCCCCAACAATCCCCCCCCACTCTCCCCTCCCTCCTCCCTCCTTCCCTCGCCCCTCCCTCCCCCCCACTAGCCCCACCCTCCCGCCAATCTTCCCTCCCTCCCTTCCTCCCTCCCCCCCACTCTCCCCTCCCTCCCCCCTTCCCTTCCCTCCCCCTCCCTCCCCCCCACTCTCCCCTCCCTCCCCCCACTCTCCCCTCCCTCCTCCCTCCCCCACTCTCCCCTCCCTCCCCCCTCCCCCACTCTCCCCTCCCCCCTCCCTCCCCCCCACTCTCCCCTCCATCTCCCCTCCCTCCCCCCCACTCTCCCCACCCTCCCCATCCAACCCCCCTACTCTCCCCTCCCTCCCCTCTCCGTCCCGCCCCCCTCCCCCCTCCCTCCCCCAACTCCCCTCCCTCCCCCTCCCTCCCCCCACTGTCCCCTCCCTCCCCCCTTCCTCCCCCACTCTCCCCTCCCTCCCCCCACTCTTCCCTCCCTCCCCCCCACATCTCCCCCCACTCTCCCCTCCCACCCCCACTCTCCCCTCCCTCCCCCCACTCTCCCCCACTCTCCCCTCCCTCCCCCCACTCTCCCCTCCCTCCCCATCCCTCCCCCCACTCTCCCCTCCTCCCCGTCCCTACCCCCCACTCTCCCCTCCCTCCCCCTTCCCTTCCCTCCCCCCTCCCTCCCCCCCACTCTCCCCTCCCTCCCCCCACTCTCCCCTCCCTCCTCCCTCCCCACTCTCCCCTCCCTCCCCCCTCCCCCCACTCTCCCCTCCCCCCTCCCTCCCCCCCACTCTCCCCTCCATCTCCCCTCCCTCCCCCCACTCTCCCCACCCTCCCCATCCAACCCCCCTACTCTCCCCTCCCTCCCCTCGCCGTCCCGCCCCTCCCCCCTCCCCCCCAACTCCCCTCCCTCCCCCTCCCTCCCCCCACTGTCCCCTCCCTCCCCCCTTCCTCCCCCCACTCTCCCCTCCCTCCCCCCACTCTTCCCTCCCTCCCCCACTCTCGCCCCCCACTCTCCCCTCCCTTCCCCCACTCTCCCCTCCCTCCCCCCACTCTCCCCTCCCTCCCCATCCCTCCCCCCACTCTCCCCTCCCTCCCCCCGTCCCTACCCCCCACTCTCCCCTCCCTCCCCCCACTCTCCCCTCCCTCCCCATCCCTCCCCCTACTCTTCGCTCCCTCCCCCTCCCTCCCCCCCACTCTCCCCTCCCTCCCCCCACTATCCCCTCCCTCCCCCCTTCCTCCCCCCACTCTCCCCTCCCTCTCCCCTACTCTCCCCCTCCCTCCCCATCCCTCCCCCCTACTCTCCCCTCCCTCCCCCTCCCTCCCCCCCACTCTCCCCTCCCTCCCCCACTCTCCCCTCCCTCCCCCTCCCTCCCCCCCACTCTCCCCTCCCTCCCTCCACTCTCCCCTCCCTCCCCATCCCTCCCCCCTACTTTCCCCTTTCTCCCCCTCCCTCCCCCCCACTCTCCCCTCCCTCCCCCCACTATCATCTCCCTCCCCCCTACTCTCCCCTCCCTCCCCATCCCTCCCCCCTACTCTCCCCTCCCTCCCCCTCCCTCCCCCCCCACTCTCCCCTCCCACCACCCACTCTCCTCTCCCTCCCCCCTCCCTCCCCCCCACTCTCCCCTCCCTCCCCCCACTCTCCCCTCCCTCCCCCCACTCTCCCCTCCCTCCCCCCACTCTCTCCTCCATCCCCCTCCCTCCCCCCTACTCTCCCCTCCCTCCCCCCCACTCTCCCCTTCCTCCCCCCACTCTCCCCTCCCTCTCCCCCACTCTCCCCTCCCTCCCCCTCCCTCCCCCTACTCTTCCCTCCCTCCCCCCCACTCTCCCCTTCCTCCCCCCACTCTCCCCTCCCTCCCCCCTACTCTCCCCTCCCTCCCCCCACTCTCACCCCCACTCTCCCCCTCCCTCCCCCCACTCTCCCCTCCCTCCCCCCACTCTCCCCTCCCTCCCCCTCCCTCCCCCCCCCCCACTCTCCCCTCCCTCCCCCCACTCTCCCCTCCCTCCCCATCCCTCCCCCCTACTCTCCCTTTCTCCCCCTACCTCCCCCCCACTCTCCCCTCCCTCCCCCACTATCCTCTCCCTCCCCCCTCCCTCCCCCCCACTCTCCCCTCCTCCCCCCACTCTCCCCTCCCTCCCCCCACTCTCCCCTCCCTCCGCCCCACTCTCCCCTCCCTCCCCATCCCTCCCCCCTACTCTCCCCTCCATCCCCCCACTCTCCCCACCTACCCCCACTCTCCCCTCCCTCCCCCCTCCCTCCCCCCACACTCTCCCCTCCCTCGCCCCACTCTCCGCTCCCTCCCACCTCCCTCCCCCCCCTCTCCCCTCCGTCCCCCCTACTCTCCCCTCCCTCCCCCCACTCTCCCTCCCTCCCCCCCCACTCTCCCTCCCTCTCCCTCCCTCCCCCTACTCTCCCCTCCCTCCCCCCTTCTCCCACTCTCCCCTCCCTCCCCTCCCTCCCCCCTCCCCCACTTTCCCTCCCTCCCCCCCACTCTCCCCACGCTCCTCCCACTCTCCCCTCCATCCCCCACTCTCCCCTCCCTCCCTCCCCCACTCTCCCCTCCATCCCCCCTCCCTCCCCCCCACTCTCCCCTCCCTCACCCCACTCTCCCCTCCCTCCCCCATCCCTCCCCCCTACTCTCCCCTCCCTCCCCCTCCCTCCCCCCACTCTCCCCTCCCTCCCCCCACTCTCCCCTCCCTCCCCCACTCTCCCCTCCCTCCCCCTCCCTCCCCCCTACTCTCCCCTCCCTCCCCCTAATCTCCCTCCCTCCCCACCTCTTCCCTCCCTCCCCCCCTCCCCCACTCTCCCCTCCCTCCCCGTCCCTACCCCCCACTCTCCCTCCCTCCCCCCACTCTCCCCTCCCTCCCCATCCCTCCCCCTACTCTCCGCTCCCTCCCCCTCCCTCCCCCCACTCTCCCCTCCCTCCCCCCACTATCCCCTCCCTCCCCCCTTCCTCCCCCCACTCTCCCCTCCCTCCCCCCTACTCTCCCCTCCCTCCCCATCCCTCCCCCCTACTCTCCCCTCCCTCCCCCTCCCTCCCCCCCACTCTCCCCTCCCTCCCCCCACTCTCCCCTCCCTCCCCCTCCCTCCCCCCCCCCCCCACTCTCCCCTCCCTCCCTCCCCACTCTCCCCTCCCTCCCCATCCCTCCCCCCTACTCTCCCCTTTCTCCCCCTCCCTCCCCCCACTCTCCCCTCCCTCCCCCCACTATCATCTCCCTCCCCCCTACTCTCCCCTCCCTCCCCATCCCTCCCCCCTACTCTCCCCTCCCTCCCCCTCCCTCCCCCCCACTCTCCCCTCCCACCACCCACTCTCCTCTCCCTCCCCCCTCCCTCCCCCCCACTCTCCCCTCCCTCCCCCCACTCTCCCCTCCCTCCCCCCACTCTCCCCTCCCTCCCCCCACTCTCTCCTCCATCCCCCTCCCTCCCCGCTACTCTCCCCTCCCTCCCCCCCACTCTCCCCTTCCTCCCCCCACTCTCCCCTCCCTCTCCCCCACTCTCCCCTCCCTCCCCCTCCCTCCCCCTACTCTCCCCTCCCTCCCCCCCACTCTCCCCTTCCTCCCCCCACTCTCCCCTCCCTCCCCCCTACTCTCCCCTCCCTCCCCCCACTCTCACCCCCACTCTCCCCTCCCTCCCCCCACTCTCCCCTCCCTCCCCCCACTCTCCCCTCCCTCCCCCTCCCTCCCCCCCCCCCCACTCTCCCCTCCCTCCCCCCACTCTCCCCTCCCTCCCCATCCCTCCCCCCTACTCTCCCCTTTCTCCCCCTACATCCCCCCCACTCTCCCCTCCCTCCCCCCACTATCCTCTCCCTCCCCCCTCCCTCCCCCCCACTCTCCCCTCCCTCCCCCCACTCTCCCCTCCCTCCCCCCACTCTCCCCTCCCTCTGCCCCACTCTCCCCTCCCTCCCCATCCCTCCCCCCTACTCTCCCCTCCATCCCCCCACTCTCCCCACCTACCCCCACTCTCCCCTCCCTCCCCCCTCCCTCCCACCCACTCTCCCCTCCCTCGCCCCACTCTCCGCTCCCTCCCACCTCCCTCCCCCCCTCTCCCCTCCCTCCCCCCTACTCTCCCCTCCCTCCCCCCACTCTCCTCTCCCTCCCCCCACTCTCCCCTCCCTCTCCCTCCCTCCCCCTACTCTCCCCTCCCTCCCCCCTCCTCCCACTCTCCCCTCCCTCCCCTCCCTCCCCCCTCCCCCACTTTCCCTCCCTCCCCCCCACTCTCCCCACGCTCCCCCCACTCTCCCCTCCCTCCCCCCACTCTCCCCTCCCTCCCCCCACTCTCCCCTCCATCCCCCCTCCCTCCCCCCACTCTCCCCTCCCTCCCCCCACTCTCCCCTCCCTCCCCATCCCACCCCCCTACTCTCCCCTCCCTCCCCCTCCCTCCCCCCACTCTCCCCTCCCTCCCCCCACTCTCCCCTCCCTCCCCCCACTCTCCCCTCCCTCCCCCTCCCTCCCCCCTACTCTCCCTCCCTCCCCCCTAATCTCCCCTCCCTCCCCACACTCTTCCCTCTCCCCCCTCCCCCCACTCTCCCCTCCCTCCCCACCCCCTCTCCGCTCCCTCCCCCCACTCTTCCCTCCCTCCACTCTCCCCTCCCTCCCCTCTCCTCCCGCCCACTCCCCCCTCCCTCCCCCAACTCCCCTCCCTCCCCCCTCCCTCCCCCCACTGTCCCCTCCCTCCCCCCTTCCTCCCCCCACTCTCCCCTGCCTCCCCCCACTCTCCCCTCCCTCCCCCCCACTCTCCCCCCACTCTCCCCTCCCACCCCCACTCTCCCCTCCCTCCCCCCACTCTCCCCCCACTCTCCCCTCCCTTCCCCCACTCTCCCCATCCCCACCCCCACTCTCCCCTCCCTCCCCCCACTCTCCCCTCCCTCCCCATCCCTCCCCCCACTCTCCCCT